ACTTTAACAGTATTAAAAAAGCTTGTGTTTATTCAAGTTAAATAAAAAGAGCTTGTAGAGCATACATTCTGCTTTATTAAGATAGATTGAACTGATTAAAGATTATACATTCAACTTATACTAATATAGTTATATATATAGAATATTAAAAGAATCTTAATTAACATTTATCAGAACTGAAAGTCTAGTTGTTTATCTTCTGCAGTCAGTATACTTGATGCAATATCAGAATAAATTAAACTGACTTTAATATTTAATGATAGAAAAAGTAAAAGACAGAAGAAATCATCTACAAATTAGTAACTAAAATAAATTAATTTACTGCTATTCTACTCTCTGCTGCATCTGCTTCTCTCTTCTTCTCTCTCACTTCAATTACATCTTTTCTCTTTATTCAGTTATAGCTAAATATATCTGTATCAGGCCTGTCTCTAACTGAAGATACTGAAGCTGATTTGCTTGAAAGTATAATCAGGCAGTCTGAATAAGCTTATTTTGATAATTCTTTTGCACTGATCTTATGTTCTGTCCCTAAACCAGAGACTTCAACTGGTGAGGAGGCTCCTGAAATTTAAAAAAAAAAAAAAATTCATTATAATTCAGATTATGCAGATGGTTTATAATACTTAGTTAGTTTCTAGTAATTAAAAAGCTTCTGAATCAGGTTCAAAACCCTCAAGTTTAAAAATATATATATTCCAAATTTTATATGTTTTGGACCCTTTATACATGCATTATAAATATATGGTTGATCTACAGTTTCAAGCTTGTGACCTGTGGTTCAATAGGTTGTGTCAGATAAACATTTTCTGACAGTTGCCTGAAAAGCTCATTTTTCCGGTATGGTAGCTTTTGGCAGTCATGTGATCAGAAGGTATCGTCCAACTTGGCCGCCTAGGATGATGAGAATCCATAACTTAGTTACTCTGTACTTTTCATGTGCTCATGCTAACCCTGGAGGAAACCTAACTACAAATTGATATTACGTACAAAGCGGCCCTGCTAAACTTGAATTCAAGAAGAAGTAAGTGCTCATCCCGTCTAAACAAGGGATGATCACCTTGCAATAACAACTGAGGTTTGCGAACACACGGCTGCCAAGTGTGAACAGTATCAAAGCATAAAGGGTTATGTAAACATCCTAGTGTTGCCATTGGTATTAACTAGCCAAGATTCCTATTATTCACTCCACTATGGAGTACTCCGTACGGAGTACTTACATTTAGGTTACATGGTTGAAGATGTTCTGGGGCTGGAGGCCCACCCAAGATGTGGTTTGGCTGCTTGCCATACTTTCTTGATATTGGGTGATACCTAGAGCTCTGATGAGCAGATTAAGCCACTGTGTGAGCTGGATAGATAGGTGGTTGTGGAGATATTTCAAAAATTAAGTCTTGATGGTATGGGGTAGTTTTTCTCCTATTTAGCGGCGTTGAGGTCTCTGATTAGTCAGCCTTCCCGGTCAGCCATAGTTAGCTGGGTGGCAGGTTGCGGCGGGTTACTACCCAGGCGCCCTATGTAACCTGGTTAGACAGGGAGTTAGTCAGCAAGACCACAAAAATAACCAGGTTTTCTGAGGGGTTGATGTCATATGGTTATCTTGGCAGTTGCATACTAGCTGGTACAGAAGATAGTGCTGAGTCAGTCATTTGGACCAGTAAGAGTTCTTTATTACAGAGATCTTTCAGACAGTGCTGTATGACTGGAACAGCAGTATCAGAGTGCACCCACCAGATAATCAAGTAACCATCTGTAATAGCTCAGATCAGCAGCTGGAGATCTCAGAGAAGATTCTGTAGAGCAGGCAAATATAGATTCTGTAGATAGCTAGATACCTATATAGTATAATTATACTATTCTCTATTTCATACAGAACAGAGTGTGTATATAGCAGTGCTGCTCAGTATCAGCATCTGATGTAGTCATGATGCTGTCCTGATGCTTAGTTTGTTTATATACATCATACTAATATATTATACAGCAGGTAGTATCAGAATCAGTAAACAGTAAATTAAGCATCATCTTGATAACAGATTTTCTTTTTCTTTCTTTCTTCTCTTCTCTTTTCTTCTCTTCTCTTCTCTCTTTCTTTTACTCTAAGTCTGTTCATCAGAGTCTTTATTATTACTATTGCTTTGCTTCTCTTATAAGTCTTTCTGCAGATTATGCATTAGTTATTATCTATTAATTGTATGATAGCAAGCTGACTGACTTACAGAATAATTTCACAATTTTATATTATTATAATATTCTCTATCACTAAGATCTCTGCTCACTTCTTCTTTCTCTCTCTCTTACAAATCTGAGAAAGAAAATGTCTGTATAGCCCTGTATATTAATGAAATGCAAGAAGAAGATACTGACTTGTTAATATAGAGTACTTGTTTAATGAATTCTCTTTCACTCTGATCAGATAAAGTAGAATCTTGCTGAAGCTACTATTCAGATCTAAACTGATAATCAATTATTCTGTCTTTTTGTTGGACAGAATCAGCTGATTCCATACATTTACTTCTCTTAGTTACAGCAACTGCTTGCTTAATCAGAAAGAAATATAAAGTTTGTTCTTGAATAAATCTTTCTCTATCAGATTAACATGCACCACTAGTTATACATTAATGCAATTCTGATCTAGTCATGCAGAAGAACTTTGCACTGGAGCAGTATCTGTAACAGATGCACAGAAATAAAGCTTATAGCTTTATTTCTATTGTGCTGCTATATGTATGATCACTTTAAAAGTGCATGCAGAAACTATAAATAACTAGACTATGCATTCTGCTGCTTTCTGCATGGCAGACCAGAATCTGTAGTGAGATATAATAACAGAGAACTGAGTTTGTACAGAGCTGCTAACCACTCACACATATTAGATAGCAAAGCTAGTCTGGAACTGTCTTCTGCTTACTTAATTCTTCTTCTTGAGAGTGGGACAGTAAATAATTCCATTCATGTTAAAATTAATTTCTCTCTACTCTGCTCTGGAGATCTGCTGTTGATCTTTCTATACAAGATTAAGAAGTCTGAGAAGTCAGAAAATGACTCTCAGAGCAATTCTATTATTTTAAACTAAATATGCATGAACTTTCTTTTCTGACTTATCTGCTTTCTTTCTTTTCTTTATGATTTTTTTCAACTGCTCTTGTCTAGTTATACAGATTCTGTATACAGCATCTGAATATAATTTATACTTCTATACAGTATTCAGAACCAGTAGCTCTAAGAGATAAAGCTAAGCAAATTACTATTATATATTCAGCATCTCTTCTTCTTTATCTTTCTATTGTATGACAGGCCATGCTGAATATAATAAATAAAATTTGTTATAATAAGAATTAGAGCAGTTTCTTTTTTACTTACAGTATTCTGAATAATCTGTTCAAACTGAGCTTTTTATACTGTTATACAAGCTCTAGTTTCTTTACAGCAGCACTGCTACTGGCACTCTTTTATCTTTATCTGTTAATATAATCAATAATCATCTTTCTTCTGTTGTAGACCATTCTCTTTATATTATCTGGCTGTTATTTTGCTCTGTACAAGATATCTAGACTCTGTACTGAAGAGCCACTCTCCAGATTAACTGTCTATTTCTGCTACAGATCTGAAACTGTAGTGATTGTATGAGAAAGCTGGTATGTGACTGGAACAGAGACACTAGCAGAGACTGGAGCTATCTCTAATAAACAGACTGAAGCTTGTGCTTCTCTAAATACTATAGAATTACTGTCTTTCTTTTTATCTTTATCTTTAAAGACAGCAGCTGCTGTCATTATTCTTTAACTAGCAGAAAATACTTATACAAGAAAAGAAATTTGTTCACTGGTCAGTACTTCTAACTAATTATTAATTTTCTACAGTTCTGTTTCCAGAACAGTATATAAATAACTACAGGCTACATTTAAATTCTGCTGTATAATATACAGCTGATCTGTTACTATAAGTACTGTCTGCTGCAGCTGTATTTCATACAACTTCTCTTTATGAATGTTAGTCATTCAGACTGCCTCTGCAAACTAACAATAGTTCTCTCTCATGAATACAGAACTAGTCTACAGAGAGTAGTCAGAAAAGAGAGACTGAAGAATAATAAAGTTCTGCAAGAGAATTATACAGAGATAATAAAGTAGATATAGAAACTCTTGAGCAGTCAGATTATTCTTATTCAGCTGTACAGCAGAAAATCTTCTGAACTGATTTCAAGAATCACTCTGATTTGAAAATCTTCTTAGTTCTGATCTCTGGAGACAGAAGTTGAAGTTCTAGATATTATATGACTCAAACCACCACATCCAGTTGTTAATTCAGAGCCAGACAGTACACTCCAGTGACTCAGATACAGGCACTCTAGCCTGTGGCAGATAGAAGTTCTCAGATATGTGAGAGTCAAAGCCAGCCATAATCTATACAAACTTTCTGAAGATATTAGTCAGATAGCACTGGCTGAGAGCATTATTATTTTATCTTTCAGTATAGTAAATCTAACTCTTACTGACTCCAACCTGCTCTGCATGTCTGGCTCCAGCAGCTTGTTCAGTATAAGTCTTCTTCAGGCCAGAAAGCTCTGTCTTACTGTAGATATATTAAATTCAGTTCAGCTGAATCTTATATAACAGAAACTTTCTTACATCATCTCTCTTGATCAGATGCAGCTGGTACCAGTTCTGACAGTTATGAAACTGAAGTGATGGCTCTCATACAATATCTTATTAATAGAAGAGATAAAAGACTGTCTGTACAATAGTGCAGAGCAAGAGATTATAATAGCATATTACTGTAGCATACTTAATCTGGTTCATCTAGTTAGTCTTACCATTTCTTATGATTAAAATTATGAGAAAGCAAGAGATTAAGTCTTTATTTGTCAGCTCCAGAGTGAAGAGATCAGCCAGCTGTGCTGTACAGCAGGATTCATTACAGAGAAGCATGCTGTAGCTTATTAGAAAGTCTACTGCAGTATGAAGATATAGCTCTACTGACTAGCTTTTTTTGAACTCTGATCAGCTCTGCCAGCAGTATTCAACCAGCTGTACAATATTCTTCTCATGATATCTATTCAGCAGAATTTCTGTATCATAATTTACAAACTCTGTCTTCTTGTGTTCATACTTCTGTTTTGAATGAGTTTCAAGCAGGGCCTGGACAGCCTGGCCAACTGGATAAAGATAAGAGTTTGTATAACAGCTCTATTAGTAGCTCCAGAGATTAACAATTACAGTCTTGTAGATCTTGATAAATAATTAGTTCAGGGTTTGCATAACAGACTCTCCATTCTTATTTATATAGTTGCAGAAATGGCAGAATCTTTTGACTGAACAGTTAACTATATATTCAGACAGAAATCAGAGTAGCTTCTGCTCTGTCACCAGCTCTTCATTCTGAAAGCTCTTTATTTAGCAGAAATGCTAGCAAGTAGAAGTCAAAGAGTATCAGTCAGGCCAATGCAAATATCTTGTACAGTATAAGAACAGAATAGAAGAGAGCAAGAATTAACAAGAGAATGCATATAATATAGATATCTACTCTTTACTTCTCCTGACATAACTTATACTGCATCTGAGTCTTTTTTGACCAGGTATTCAGAGCACTATCAAGTACATGCCATACACATACCTCCATCTCCACCATCAGGGCAGACTGGCTGTTCAGAGTTGGAGTGACCATGCTGTCTAGTGTTGCAGAGAGTATGTCAATTAATGTAGATTCATCAGAAGCAGAAGCTCCTGTATAATACAGAATGGATTGAGATGGAGCTGAATTGGTGATCTTGATCATGCTGTACTGATTATATAATATACCTCCCACCCTCCCTGGTCCAAACAGGTTATTTGGCAGCTTGGCAGTAACCAGGCAGCAACCTGGGTGATCACCCACACTAAACCCCCCCCATCTAACCGCTAGTTACAGGGCGCGCCGTGATGTACTCCATAGCTTGTTAATATTTGTGTGTGTATATAGTACTCTGTACTTTACTCTGTACATTAACATATACAAGAATAAGATGGTTTAACCCTGGTATAATGTAAGTTGTAATAAAAATACTTTTTTTGTTGTTGATAGTTGTACGAGTTCCCTGTACTCCGTACGGAGTACTTGTAATTCAAATCAGTTAATTTATGGAGTACGGAGTACACAGAGTAGATAAGGTTGGTGGCTGAGGTCACTTGGTTTGAAATAATGTTACTCTGTAGTTAACTGCTGTATGTAATGGAGGACTTGTATGCTTGTCATTCACTAAGCTACCTAAAGGGGAATCTCGGCTAATCTATGTGAGTCACGTGAGCGAGGTGCTAGTTGGATTACCTAACACCCCCCCATGCAACAAGCTCCAGCAGTGAGTGAGAGCCACAAAGATCCAAAGCTTCCAAATCTCTCAAATCCACAATAAAAATTAATTACAAAATCCAGATTTATTTCTTCTTTAGGCTTAGCTCCATTCACCACAATACAGTATTTTTGCCAGCTTTACTGATAAACCTCCATATTTTCCTGTATTAACCCATCACCTCTATTGTGCTCACAAATTGAGCATAGAGATCCATTGCAAGAGTCTTCATGAGCCTGTCAGCTTTATTTGCATCACTTCCAACATGCTCAATCAAGATTTCATCCTTTTGCATCCAGTTTCTTAGCATATGATGCTGAATCTTAATATGGCATGCTCTTCACATTATAGCTTCAGCTTTGGCTAAGTCAACAGCTCCCTTGTTGTCAACACTTAATTTTGAGCTTCTTAGCCTTGCTGAGCCTTCACTAATTACCCCAGCATCTATCAACAGGTTGTTGATCCAAACCAGTTCACAAGCAGCTTCACTAGCTGCCAAATACTCTGCTTCAGTTGTAGATTTCAAGACAGATGTCTGGTGCTGTGATCTCCATGAGATTGGAGCTCCATTCATGGTAATAATATAGCTGCTGGTGGATTTGTATGCAGGGTCAGCTCCAGCCCAGTCAGAATCCAAACTGGCTGCCAGTTTCAAGCCTTCAGAATCCATATTCCTTTTGAAGACTATTTCTTTTGATTTTGTGCTCTTGAGATAGCATAGAATCTGCTTGAACACTATCCAGCTCTTCCTATTGGGCCTGCTGTTGAATCTCACCAGATAATTGACTGCAAATGCAATATTCAGTCTCATACATGTAACTAGAAACTGTAGAGAGCCCAGGCCTTTCCTGTAATTTATAGGCATAGCCTGCTTATCAACTTCATTTTTGAGAGTCTGATCTAGTGTGAATTTGATGCTTATTTCTTTCTTCATTAGCATTTTGGAAGATTTGCAGTCTTCCATTTCATATTCAGTTAGTAGATTCTTGATATACTGTTCCTGGTTCACAAAAAGGTCTTCATTTGGCTGCTTTTGAACCTGCATGTCTAGGTAATGGCTCTATTCCATAACCTTCTTGATCTTGAAGTGTTTCTGAAGCTTCTTGATGAGCCATTCTATCTTAGCTTCATTGAATCCCATTATACAGCAGTCATTAATGTGTAGGATTAGATAGATTTGTTTTCTCTTGTGATAAAGCCCACATCATATGGAGAGATCTGGAATCCTAGAGATTTCAGATAGTCAGTAGCTGCTTGATACCAGAGTCTAGCAGCTTGCTTCAATCTGTAGAGCTTCTGGCATAAGAGCTCTACTAGATTACCCTGCCTGTGCTTGAATCCAGTGGATAGTTGAATGTATACATATTTGTCCTCTGGAAGAGTGTCATTTAGGAAGGCTGTCACAAAGTCAAAGACTCTAATCTTCCAGTTCTTGACTGTTAAGATAGTAAAGAAGGCTCTTGTTGTAGATCTACTGACAACTGCTGCATAGATCTTCTTGTAGTGAACATCTTCTTGCTGTTCAAATCTGTATATGACCCAACAGGCTTTGAATTATACTGTGCCACCTGTATTGTTGAGCTTTCTATTAAATACCTATTTGCCAGAGAGGATCTGCATTTTGAGTTTCTTCTCAACTAGAATTCAGATGCCTTTCTCTTGTAGTTTAGAGACTTTAACATCTAGAGCCTTCTTTTAATAAAGCCACTCTTCAGAGTATTTGACTTCAGCAATGGATTTTAATATGTCTGTATGTGTGCTGAGCACTGGAAGCTCAGCTTTATTTGTCTCTTCTTCTTCTGTTACATTCAAGAGAATTTCTTGCTCTTCACCCAGATATATGAGCTCTAAAGCCTCTAATTTGCTGTCTGCAAGCTTCTTCATGATTTCTGGCTTCTTCTTCACAAGATAAGCTAGTAGCTTGTGTTGCCAGCCATTCAATGAATCTATGTAATTGTACTCCTCCAGAAGTTCAATGTATTTAGCTTTGGTTAGTGAATTTGTAGGGATTTGATCCAATTTCTTGTCAAATATAACATCTTGCAAGATCATTATACTGTTCATTTCTGGGTCCCAAAGCCTGTAGATGTGCATGTCACAATATTCTACAAATTTAATCTTCTTGGATCTAGATTGGAGCTTCAAGAATTGGTTCAAAATTTTCATGTAGATGTTACATTCCCATCTATAAACTCATCTGTAATAAGATTGGTGACCTGTCCAGACTTCAAAGAGTGTCAACAGCTTCATGTTCTTGCATCTATATAGAGACACTGAGATAGGCAATAGATTTACTATCATGAAGACTGTGGCAAGAGCTTCACCCCATAACTTATTGGAAAGTCCTGAGTCTATAAGTACACTTCTTGTGTGCTCATAAAGAAGTTATATTTCTTGTTCACTTATTCCATCTTGTTAAGATGTATATAGAGACATAATCTTTTGTTGTATACTCTTGCTCCTGTAGAATTCAGCCAGTTGTTGGCTTGTCAATTTGGAAGCTTTATTGAACAGTATAGTGCTAATCTTTCATTCAGTAAATGCTTTAATTATGTTAATTCAGTTCTTCAGGATTTCTGAAGCTTCTACCTGCTTCTTCAGGAGGTAGATCTACCTGTATTATGTGGCATTATCTGTTATAAGTAGGAAATACTTCACTCTGCTGTAGCTTAGAGGATTGGAGTCTGTAGATAGAATATAGCTGTTATCTGCAATATCAATAAAAATTTTAGCTCCAGACTTTATAGAGCATGTTCTAGATTCAAATGGATTGCAAGCTTGCTTAGCTTTAGCACAGATTTTACAGAACTCTAGCTTCTTTACTTCTTTTATTTGTATTGCCATTCTCAGATCTCTAGCTAGAATAGCTATATCATGGGCATCAAGATGCCCCCAGTGTTTGTGCCAATTGGCTATCATATTCTTCTTGATTTCTGGCATCTTTGCCAGGTGATTTAGTACCAAAAGTGTGTCATCTTTATTCTCTAGAGTTGCTGTTATATAGCAGGGCTCTAGAAGTTTTGTAGGTACTGAAAACATGTATGCCAGTAAATTATGTATTCTAGACATTTGTAGAACTAGAATATCATTCTTGTTAAGCACAGCTTCAAAGCTCTGCATTTTATCTGCTGATTCTAGTAGAAAGATGTGTTCTCTGTCAATATAAAGCTGTTTCACTGTAAAGCTGTCTTGTATAAGCTTCCCAAAGCTTATAAGATTAACCTGGAAGTCAGGCATGATTCTAATTCCCCCCATGCTCAATTCTCCATTGTCAGTTTGAATACTGGCTGTGCCAAATTCTCTGGTGACTGATTTTGAACTGTTTGCCATAAGCAGTTGTGTTGCATGACTCTTTGGGTCCATTTGAACTAGATCTGTATGTGAGATTGCATGAAATTCAGCTTCAGAGTCAAGAATTCATTTGTCTGTAGATTCACACACTTCTTTTATAGAGAAGGCTGCTTCATGAACTAAATGAATCTTGTCTGTTGCAATTATAGTTGTTTTCTTGTCTTTGTCTTTAGAGTCTTTCTTAGACTTGTTAGGCTTCAAATTCTTATTAGATTTGCAAAATTTAGCCAAATAGCCAGGTTTGCCACAAATATAGCAGTTCCAGTTCTGCAGTGAGCTCTTCTCTGAATTGGATTTGGAGTTCATATTTTTATAAGACTTTTGGGGATCTGAGCTTGTTGTTACATTTGTATTTGATCTTGTAGATTTACCATCTTTCTTCTGGTCTTTCTTGAGAATTCAGTAGAGGATATTCTTCAGTAGATCTTCCAGATTCTTCTCTGGTAGATTCATTCTGCTCTGGCATGCCATATTAAATCAGTTCTGTATGAACTCTCTCCATCAGAATATAATGTTCATCTTCAAGATATTATGTAAGGTGTAGTTTAGTTGTTTGAACTCTAATCTCTCAAATTCTCCACAGATTACTAGAAATTTCTCTATATAATTTCTTTCTGAGCCAGCAGACTGTAATGTCATTCTCACTAACTCTATAAGTAGGCTTTTCTGCTGTATCTCAGATCTCTCTTGAAAGACTGTTCTTACAGCTTTCCAGAGTTTGTAAGCACTAAGATTATCTGATTTCTTAAAGTATTCTCTGGCTTGTACAGATATTGTGCTATTAATTAGACTGTATAGCCAATTGTTCTAAATATTCCAGTATTGTGAAATCTTCAAGCATTCTGATTATAGTGAAGTCTCTTGCCTTTTCAGAATAATTCTCTCAATATCTACTTGACAGACTATCTTTAGAATGGCTTTGCTCCATACTAGATAGTTGCTGGCTCTGGCCAGAGTTATAGACTTCTTTACCATCTTCATGATCTTCATGAATTGGGTGATTGCTCTGCCAATTCATGTATTTGTATTTATAAGATTGCCAATATATTCTTCTAATTTCTTATCAGAATCTATTTTTCAGTTCTTCTCTTCTTCTTGTTGAGCTTTGTGCTCTAGATTCTCCTGCATTATTGCAGGTGTGTTTGTGGTGCTTGCTTGGCCTGATAGAAGATTTACTTGCTGTACCAGCTGTTGTACTATCTTCTGTTGCCTTTATATTAACTTCTGTTGTCTTTGCATCATCTTCTGTTGATTCAGCATTATTCTACACAATATTTGAAGTTTACTCTTCTTCCTAGACTCCTGCTTGTTGTTTGGTGGACTGCCTCTAAGCCTACTTGACTGCCTAAGCTTGGTTTGGGGTGTAGAGAGGTTTATTGGAGCTTTCTAGTCAGAAGTTTGGTGCTCTGGTTTGTCTGTACAGTTCACCATGGCTTTGGCATTGCCAGGTGCTTGATTTGCTTGCTAGGTGTGTTTAGCAGGCATTTCACTCACTTTCTGATCACATGCCAGAAAGCTACAGGGTTCAACTCACTCTTCAGCTTGATGCTAGAAAGCTACAGGGGTTTGCACATATAGAAGATGTCTATCTTGATGTATGCTCTCTTTAGTGCTTGTAAAACCTTGTTATCCACAAGAATAACTGTTCAGAGTGTTGATTGTAAGCTTCAATAACCAATTGAGCTGTAAATCAACCTTATATGCTTGCTCTTCAGCGCAAAGGGCTATAACCTGATGGAGGACTTGTATGCTTGTCATTCACTAAGCTACCTAAAGGGGAATCTCGGCTAATCTATGTGGGTCACGTGAGCGAGGTGCTAGTTGGATTACCTAACAGTATGGAGTTACCTGCAATTACTAATCACTGATAAGATAACTAGTTAATTGATGGTTCCTGGGTGAAAGGGAAAGCGTGGCCACATCCTCCTGCGCTGTTCGGAGGACTATCGAGGATTCTTTTTTTTCTTTCTTCCCCCTGGACTTATTGATAGTAACCAGGTGACTTGATTTCTTTGACTTTCGGTTTCAACTCTTTTCACAGCCAGAAGGGGCTTTATCTTCACTCTTTCAAACACAATTCCTGGTTCTGCGACGCCGACTTTCGCCATGATCCTGCGGCTTCAATCTGTTACTTTCCTGCTTGCCATCATATCTACTGCAAGTAACATTCAAGCATCAGAAATTCCTCTAGACCTTCCTGTTTCATCGTTAATATCTACAGCAAAATCCCACTTGGCCAATGGATCTCCTCGTGATGCACTCACTTACTTTGATGCCGCGATTTCGAGGGACCCCACAAACTACCTGACCATATTTCAACGCGGTGCAACATATCTCTCTTTGGGGAGGAGCTCAAAAGCTATCGAAGATTTTGACCGTGTGCTGAAACTTAGACCTGGATTCGAAGGAGCGCTAGTGCAACGAGCCAGAATTCGTACCAAATCCGCTGATTGGGTTGGAGCGAAGCGAGATTTAGAAGCTGCTGGAAAGCTAGGGAAAGCCGAATTAGAGGAACTGGAAGAGGCCGAAAATGCTGCTATACTGGCGGAAAAGGCAGAGAAGGAGGGTGATTGGGAAACTTGTGTGTCCCGAGCTGGTGTGGCCATTCTAAAAGCAGGGACATATCTGCCGCTTCGTCGGCGCCGAGCGAGATGCCGTTTCGAACGCGGTGAGATTCAAGAGGGAATTAACGATTTAGCACATGTTTTGCAGATTTCTCCAAGCTCCGTCCAACCGCACCTTGAAATATCTGCAATGTTATTTTATTCCTTAGCAGATACGGAACGGGGAATAGCGCAAACACGAAAATGTCTTCATTCTGACCCGGATTCCAAAGTATGCAGTCGTCTGTTCAGAAGAGAAAAGCAGATCTTCAAGTCCCTACAACGCGTCGACAAATTTTTGGAGCAGCGGAAATTCAGTAAGGCTGTGGAATTATTGGTGGGTTCCAAGGAGGAAACTGGATTAATCGATGATGTAAAAGAGGAAGTGGCATCTGCTCGTGCAGATGGATATATTCATGAGAATGCTCCTGATAAACTCTATGCCGATTTGATTGAGAAAACATGTGGAGCATATCGAGAAGTTAGTGAATCTACTCAGACCAAACTTTCCATCATTTTTGCTAATATTTTTACCACTAGATGAACTCCAAACGCAAAGCTAAGCCTTTCTGTTTTGAAGCGCTTAAGTTAAATCCGACCTCTCTTCATGGCCTCATGTCAAAAGCAGAAAATGAGGTTGATTTGGGCGAATATGAAGCTGCGATCCAAACTCTTGGCATCGCCAACGAGCATCATCCAGATTCTCATGCGGTTCGATCCCTTCATCAGAAAGCACAGATGCTGCTAAAGCGATCTAAACAAAAGGATTACTACAAAGTACTGGGCGTTGACCGCGAAGCTGACGATGCGACAATCAAGCGCGCCTACCGAAAACTTACCAAGCAGTATCATCCGGATAAAGTTCAATCGCAAGGCGTGTCCAAGGAAGAGGCTGAGAAAAAGATGGCTGCCATTAATGAGGCATATGAAGTTCTTTCAGACTCAGAACTGAGAGCGCGGTTTGATCGAGGTGATGATCCAAACAATCCTGAAGGTCGTTCAGAACATCCGTTCCAAGGCAGCCCGTTTGGACCCGGCGGTGGAGGGCAGCAGTTTTTTTTCCACCAAGGGGCCGGCGGACCGCATTTTAAATTCTCTCAGCAAGGATTCAATTTCCCTGGAGGGTTCCACTTTGGTTAATTTCTCTCTCTTTTCCTACTGACCTTTCCTTTTATTTCTTTTCCTTTTTTTATCTTTTGTTTTCTCGTATCTGTATGCATTTGTTTATGATACCACCACTTCAATCATTTAACAGCCAAACCCCTATTTTGCTATATCATTGCCTATCAGTAAACATCACAAAACGTAAAAATATGCAAATCACCACCAATGGTCAAACATGGACAAGATCAGAATTAACTGAGAATTTGAGCTATGTATACAGACTCATGTTGCCTGCACATCCAGTCTGAAGCAATGAATGTAATAGTGTGTTTGGCTGGTTCTGCCTCAACCCAAACATCAGTGTTGTTCGAAGCCTGTGCGTCTCAACAAGGCAAATGGGGAGGCTAGGATCGTAGGAGGCGAACTATGGCAGCTGAGATGGATTCACGCTGCACTCAAAGTTACCCACATACACACTATGAAAGATGCTCAACAAATTGAGCAACCATCCTGAACCGAGATCATTATTTTTCAAGTGAAGTTGGAAGTCAAGTAGCAAAGATCCAGCAGGGAATACTTTACTTCCCAAAAACAGAACAGTGTCACAATTGCATCACGTGCAACCATTACCGGTGTCTTGATTTTTCACCACCAAGCCCAAAGCAAAATGAAGACAGTGTAAAAGCGAGTCATGCACCCAATCTAACAATTTATTTGGGCGCATCAGTTAGTGGAACATAGCTAACTCCGAACACTTTTTCCTTATGGACTGAGCCGTCGTCCCTTTTGTCAACCACCCAGATATATTGCGGACCGCCTAAGCCGAACAACCTGGGGCTACCAGCTTCTCCTCCAGACTCAACTGGAATAAACATGCGACCAGGTGCTTTTAGCTGTTCGATCAAAGCTGGATGGATGGTAGCCGCTGCTGCTCCAACGTGAATGGCGTCGTAAGGACCACCTTCCGGCCAACCCAAGCGCCCATCACCGGTAACAAATTTTACTTTACCAGATTCAAGTAGTTTACGGCCACTTGCAGATTTGGCCATATTGCTGCGAGACATGTCGACTAAACCCTGAATATGGTCAATGCCGATGACATGGCCATCCGTAGATGACGGAGGAGATGAAGAGTCTGTAATTAGATTTGCGAGGACGTGTGTTAGATAACCCGAGCCAGATCCGATGTCGAGCACACGCGACCCGGGATGAAGATAAGGAAGAAGATACTCGCAGGCGTGGCCATGCATGTGTGGAGCAGAGATGGTGGCCGAGTATCCTATGCTCTGAGGAGAGTCGGCATACGGGTTGGTTGGAGAGTAGTCACCGCGGTCAACCTGAAACTGTTAGCGCATGTTAAATAAGGTCACATCGGCACCAAAGTCAATTGCATAAGTAAAGCGAGGCCCTACATTGAGCATAGCATTTTTAACTCGTTCAGTTTTGATAAGACCCGATTCAAAGAGGTTATGAACTAGTTGTGCATTGGTAGAACCAGAACAGTACCAGGCCATTGAGGCAAGAGATCTCCTACAGAGGAGCACGGTCACAGTGGTGAATTTGGGAGGAAAAGACAGGGTGGGCACAAGTCCACTGAATTGTCTTTGAAGCAGGGTCTGGTATATTGCAAGGAACAGACAACTGAGACAGGATATGAAACAAAGATTGCGAGACAACACTTTGCTGATTGGTGATGGTTTGTGGAAGAAGTTCCTTGACCAGACAACTGATTAGTTAGTTGTGCCTTCTGACGCAGAACACTAAGATGGGATTTTTGATTGTACGTGTTTGACTGCCAACACTGCTGAGTCCTGACTTCTTGTTGATTGACCACCTGGCTAATATCTTGCATTGTTTTGTGTGATTAAGTTGAGTTTGAAAGTGATGACGTTTTCAACCATTTGGAGGGGAGTCAGCTGGATACCTACCTACAATGTTAGCAAGTCTTGCCTAAGCTCGTGTGGAGGAATGAGTTAGTGGTCTAACTTAGTTAAGTTAACTAACTAATTTATGATGTAAGGATGACTAACTAAGTAACTTGGTTTCTAGAGTTACGGTAAGCTCTCTCGAATAGATGATTATTTAAAGATTGAGGCAAGCTAGAGCTGCCTGCCTATGATCCAAGTGAATTATCACTGTATAGAGTGCCTTGCTGTTCTTATATTATCCAGAGTTCTAGTCTTAGGCTATGAAGCTGTCCTTTACCTGTAGCCTACAGGCCAGGTAGATTTAATATCTGAGGAGCTAATTTCTCACAACACTATCATTCATGAATGAGGTTTGAATGAAGTAAACATGTGTATAGAGTACCTTAGCATTTTTCTTAAAGGTCCTTTTGAAATGCAGCCACCTGAACCAACTAGACAAATTGCACTTCTTCCGGACCTTCAACCGCTATTTCTCCATTTTCCTCACCCTTTCCGGTCCCATCTTGCTTTTCGCCTTGCTTTATATCATCATTATCATCCCAAGACAAGTCATCTCCTTCTGGATGGGTGAAAAATTTGTCTCGTAATGCTTCCTTTGCGCTAGGCCTGTGCATCGGATCCAATTCCAAGAGCCGGTATAAAAGCTTTATTCCTTGTTTTTCTCGGCCAGTGAGCTCTGCGACACAGCTCGACCATTGCACAATTTTTTCCCAGGAAAATCCCCTTTCCCCAATTGTAGGAATCGTGGTTTCGAACACCTGTCCGTGGAGCGCTGCACAACTTCTCATCCTGCGAGTTCCGAATATGCTAGCTAGCTCGATCATTGCATCTACATCATCAACGGAGTGAAAGAAAGGAAAGCGCCTCCCCAAGAGGGTGAGTAAAATCACACCAACCGACCAGATATCGATCTTAGTGGTCTGCGATGTGCATTTAAGCAATACTTCCGGTGCCCGAAACCCGCGAGTTCCAGCTCGATTCGCTCGACGAGACGGCCGGGAGTCACTTTTTGGATAGCCGGCCGACATGACTTGTGTCCTACTAAAATAGGGTGCATCAACAAGTCGCGTCATACCGGCCATGTCGGAGCAGGGGCATGGTTCTCCGCTGAGATACTCGCGCTGATTTATTGTCAAGTTAATTAAGATCAATTACCTGTACAGGACTTAGTATTGTCAAATCCGTCAGCACTCACCTCAGCTAGCCCAAAGTCCACAAGAACACCGCGGCGATGCACTGGGTTATATAGAAAATTACTAGCGAGCACTATCAGAATTTTCGGTTCCGAAATTGTAGTAAGGGGTCATTGGACTGACGTTGGCTTAATGTCCCGGTGTATTATATTTTCTCGGTGAACAGCATGAAGTGCAATGAGAAGGGACCGGAGATATAATCGCATATCTTCCACTAGAAAAGTACGATATAACACTCGGAAATCTGCGTGGGGAAAATATGGTAGGACTGCCACAACCTGGTCATGATGTCTGAATGCAGTGATTATAGGGCAGACTGACATGCAACCCCGGAGACTCAGTAATAGTTCAAGTTCGTTTTGAATCCGAAACGGGCTGCTGGTCACATATATTTTCTTTAACGCAACGTAACGCGCGGTCTTCCTTTTTTTCGCTCTTTGCACTGAGACATCCCGGGAATCCCCAAGACGAGGGCGTTTGGAGGGCGCCCGGTCATGATCACCAATCTCCTCCTGTTCTGAGTCCGGGTCCCAGGCATTGCAGAAACGATCGTAGAGCAAATCTTCTGCTTTATAGACAGTTGAAAACGTTCCTTAGGATCAGCTGTTAGTTTCTTCAGAGTACTTGGTTCTGATGGGAACTCGTTTTACCCACAGCTGGGTAGAGTTGAGATCAAAGAGGCATCACTCCACGAACCTTCTCCAATGCGCCGGATTAAGCGATATCGTTCGGAGAACCCGTCGAAACTGTCTTCTAGTTTTTTCATGTCCTCGATTACAGACTCGTCTGTTTCCTCGAGATCACTATCAATTAAATCATCTTGGTCTGAGATGCCCTGTATTTCTCCATGCTCTTCTCCACTCTCTGATATCTCCGTATAATTTTTGTCTTCCTCTTTGATAATCGCTGCTACGTTCCCGTTTGAATGGGATGCCATTCCGGAAGAAAGGTAGAGGTATAGCTCGAGTAAGCGTACGAACTGGGCGTATTCAAGGTAAATGCGAGATGTGGAGAACTCTCCAGGGTATATCGCAACTCGAGATTTTTCTTTCCTCGAGAACGTCTGCACGCGACAACCAGACAGCGCGACGCGTCCAAAACAGAACGCCGCCTCTATTTAACCAAAACTCCACTTAGTTGACGCTCGAATACTGAAATTGAACGATTGCGGCTTTCAGTAAATAGTTATTATCGCAAGATCTTATAAATACCCCTCCACCAGGGCTTTGATCTACCAAAGTTGCGTCGGCGCGCGCGTTACCTGTTGTTGTGCAGGTCAAAGAGGCATCGACAGCATCAAAAGCTTTGACGTGGTAAGTTCCTCCATAGTTAGTTAAACTAGTTATGTATTAATCTACACATTACGTACTGCAGAGTACTCGAGTTACGCGCTACCCACCCGATAGTTACTCTCTACTCCATAGAGTCAGGAGAACATGTCAAGTTTACCGGGAAGTGATGTCTGCATGTATGTCCAAATAACTACCCCGTACAGACTCGCCCGTATGTACTTACAGAGTACAACATGTGGAAGAAAAGAGGTGATTATGAAAACACAATCATGGATTATTCACCTTGAATTTTTTCAGCGTAGAAGAACTCTGCTCTGGTGAATTCGCCTTGACGTTAGACAGAATATTTACTCATGAAAACTTCCAAATCGCCGCCCCAGCCGCATCTACACGTACCCTATCATCCACCTGGAGGGAGAGAAATAAAATAGCTTGAATCTAGCTCAACCTAGACCTGGAGTGAAGGGAATATCTCAGGATATCACAAAATTCGGTATGTATAGAGTGGGAGGTGATTAATGAACTGCTTTGTATTCTACTCTGTACAGTGTACTTTGCACTCCATATGTTTAAGATATAAATGTTGCCCCGCAAAGCAGATTTCGAGGAAATTTCTTTCACACTTTGAGTGCAAGACTGTAGAAAGGAAAATTAAAGCAGGAGAGAATAATTTACTTATTTCCTCTACAAAGTAATTATAACTGGCTATGCTGAGAATTCAATGTGCCTCAGGATTTTCTAGCAAAAACCCAGGAGCCAGACCACACAATCCAGGGAAGAGCAGTGCTGCTTGGCTCATCTCAAAGAGGGAAAACCCAAACAAACTGACCGAACCTAGCTGACGAACCACAAACATATTTTCATGAAAGTGCCAAAAGCCGTTCACGAATTTTTCCTGAACATTCAAGTAACAGCTTTTTCAGTGCTGGAAATTTTCTTGTCATATTAATATCCTGTTCATTGTTATGGAGGAGAGAATAGATTTTGACATCAACGAATCGCTGAAGTACTATCTCAGCGATCCCGCCTCTGTCCCCACGCCCGAAGCCGACCCCGAACTCTTAGATTGCGAGTCGGATCCTGAATCGCTAACACTGCTCTTAATCGATGGAGTTCTGGATACAATAGTCGATGCGGTGGCAGAGAACCCTGATGGGCTCTCTCGACGTGGATATTTTGATTCCCTGCAGTTTCTCCTCAAGTCTGCACCTACTTTTCGTAACGTCCAACAATACCATCGACTAGGGCATGATTCTGAAACCTTTGATCAATTTAGATTTCCTGTTGTGCTTCCCACAAAAGCTTTGAGCAAAATTTTAGACCTTGTTGTCTCGGGGCTCGCTGCTGAGGCGGACGTTGTCCACAATGATCTCGAATCCGATGAAACCGATATTATACCGCACCACAAGAAGTTGCTAGAAATATACGCCTTCTTATTGCAATGGGCTCTTTCTGCAGTGGAAGCTAAGATGGCAGAAAAACCGGCGGTTCCTGTGCCGGTCAGAAGAGGGGCAGGAAAGTCTTCTAAATCAAAAACAGCGACCAAAGAGACAACCTGGGACTCTGCAGCGCAGCTGCAGATTGCCATGGAGACTATGTGCAAGGTATTAAAATTAAAACTGAATAAGATATTCATGACAACGTCAGATCGCGACACATTTGTCAACTTATTCACGCGTTCCATTTACCTTATTCTTGAGAATGAGCAACGAGTGAGAACCATGGCTATCCGCATGCATGCATTTAAAGTCCTATGTATTGCTGTGAAACATCATGGTCATGCATTCGGTAAGGGGTGTGCTCTATTTCCTAATTTGGAAGATCTAACATATACATTAGGCGCGCAGACCTCGATCGTCCAGAGCCTTACATACTTTGAGCATCTTTCGGAACCTATGGCAGAATTCTTGCATATTCTGGCGGAACAATATGACTATCCACAGTTGTCAGACGAGATTCTTAGGTAAGCATGACAGTTGGACATTTTAAGGGTAGTTGCTCACATTTATATGACAGAGAACTAGCTAATAAAGAATTTAACCCAAATGACACCAAGGGACCCAAATCCGTTTCTGTATTCATTACGAAACTGTCGGAGCTTGCTCCACGATTAGTGATCAAGCAAATGACATTATTAGCCAAACAACTTGACAGCGAGGTACATTACGATCTGTATGAGTGCACGTGTTCGAGATATTAACTAGAAGAATAGGTTTATGCTTTACGGTGTGCCGTTATCGAAGTTTGTGGCAATCTCATTATTGATCTAAGCAAACAAGATGAAAGAAGTGAGAATGCAAAAACTCAAATAAACTCATTTTTCGACGTTTTGGAGGAACGGTTCCTCGATATAAACCCGTTCTGTCGATATCGTGCCATTCAAGTTTACATGAGGCTCTGTGATCTGGACCAGAAATTTCCAAAACGACGCCAAACCGCCGCGGAGCTGGCTTCAAGAAGTCTTGAGGATCGCAGCAGCCATGTTCGCAGGAATGCGATAAAACTACTTGCTAAATTAGTTTCTACTCATCCATTCAGTGTAATGCACGGTGGACAGCTGTCATACAAAGACTGGGAAGGGCGACTGGAAGCTGTCGAGACAGAATTGAACGCTTTGAAACCTCCTCCTGAGACACCAGGTTTGGCAGAAATGGGCCTGGAAAACATGAATATAGACAGTGAGCTGCTGGACGATGCGACTGAGTTGCTGGACGAGTCTCCATCTAAAGCGCCAAGAATGACTGATGAACAGAAAGCCGCAGCCATAAAGAAAGCGGAAGAGGAGGCAGCGACATCAGAAATGCTTGCACGGCTGCAACTGACAAGAAAATACTATCTTGAAGCAATTCGTTTTATTGAGGTTTTACATTCGGCGTCCCACGTCGTTTCGCAACTACTCTCATCCCGAAATAAGAGCGAAGTGATCGAAGCAATGGACTTTTTTGTCATTCTTGATGCATACAAAGTCGAAACTGCACGACCTGGCATCCGAAGGATGCTTCGACTAATTTGGACAAAAGGGAATAGTGACGAGGGGAAAGGCGTTCAAAACCATTTGGTTGACTGCTATAAAGGTCTCTTTTTCGACGCACCAACCTCATTTAGCCCTAACGATGCCGCCAACTATATCGCTCGCAATATGATCAGTTTAACTTTTGGTGCTACCCCGGCGGAACTCACTTCGCTAGAGCAACTACTAAGCATGATGATGAAAGCCGGGCATATTCCAGAATTGGTGATTGCGAAGCTTTGGCAAGTATATGGCGTCCAAAAAAGAGATATCTCCCGGACTCAGAGAAGGGGCTCCATAATCGTTCTTGGAATGCTCGCACTAGCGGATCATGACGTGGTTGTGAAAGAAATAGAAACAATGTTACGGATTGGTCTTGGGTGTCTAGGTCGAGCTGATCTTCTTTTGGCTAAATACACTTGCATCGCGCTAAGAAGGATGAAGCCGGGCCGTCAAGCAAAGGCAACCGACGTTACATCTCCAAGGCTATCCAATGATCATGCTGTCCTTACCAAGCTAGCCGCCATGACAGAAATTATTTCGGACAGCAAGGAGTGGTATGGCGTTGCTGAGCAGGCAATTAATGCAATTTATGCACTTGCCAAACACCCAGACTGCCTCTGCTCCGACATTGTGCGACGAAAAACTAAATCAGTGTTCCAGCCGCATATACTCTCTCGAAGTTCTCCATTCAACGAAAGCAATGAATCCAGGCTCCATACCCCTGAGCGCCAAGGACCATCACAGAATGTCACTCAGAAGACCAGTCCAGTTGGATTGTCCCAGCTGCTTTTTATAGTTGGTCATATTTCTATCAAACAGATCGTTCATCTCGAATTTTGTGAACAGGAATTTAAACGCCGAAAGGCGGAGCAGGAGAAGAATAGAGCTGTTGATCCTGCCTCACAGAATCAAAACAATGCCCCGGGAGATGATGAGCTTGATCTTATCGGTGGTACAACCGAGGATGATTTCACAGAGGCAATGGCACATATTCGAGAACGTGAACTTCTTTTTGGAGAGAGATCTTTGCTCACTAACTTCGGCCCTTTGGTGGCTGAAATATGTGCAAATAACAATACTTACTCTGACCGCAACCTTCAAGCAGCAGCGACTCTCTGTATGGCCAAGCTGATGTGTGTCTCTGGTGAATACTGCGAGAGGAATCTGCCACTCCTGATCACAATAATGGAACGATCGGAAGACCCCATAGTTCGAAGTAACGCGGTAATAGCACTAGGTGATATGGCCGTCTGTTTTAACCACCTTATTGATGAGAACACGGACTTCCTCTACCGCCGACTTAATGATAACGATATATCTGTTAAACGTACCTGCCTGATGACTCTTACTTTCTTGATTCTCGCTGGCCAGGTTAAAGTCAAAGGTCAGCTCGGCGAAATGGCTAAATGTCTTGAGGACGAAGATAAGAAGATTGCCGAGCTCGCTCGAATGTTCTTCACCGAGCTCGCGTCAAAGGATAATGCTGTGTATAACCACTTCGTCGATATGTTCAGTCTCCTGAGCGCGGAAAAGAACCTCGATGAGGATTCTCTACGGAGGATCATTAAGTTCTTAGCTGGATTTGTTGAGAAAGTATGGACTCGATACACCATATGCACTATCCATATTGCTAAGAACATTCTTCCTTTTTCTTAACCGTTGCTAACTACCGTATAGGACAAACATGCCAAACAGCTAGCCGAAAAACTTGCTGCAAGGCTTGCTCGTTGTGATACCGAGAAACAGTGGAACGATGTTGCTTATGCACTCGGCTTGCTACCTCATAAAAATGAAGAGATATCTAGGATTGTGAGCGCTGGTTTTAAGGTTGTCAAGTCAACAGCGTAAAAGGTAGCTGCCGTATATTTTGCCTTTCCATTCCATAGCACACGTACATTTGGAATGGCAAAGGCCTTTAAAGCGTACTCCTATGACCGGCGTCGAAGACTAGAGCGCTAAATCTTTCGTTGTTTGAGAACAGAATATTTGCTTATCTTAGCCAGGAATTCAAAGGTATAGGATTTTCAGCACGGAGAACGGGCTTTGAGGTATCTCTTGTTCTAAAGATTCCATGCAAAACAATCTGTGGAATTAACTTATTCGGGAAATAGCTCCAAAGGCGTGCTACTATAGAAGGGTTGATGCCGCAGCTGAATTCTAAACGAGAGTGGAGATTCCTGGATATTAACTGCCGTGGCAATGTTTCGGATCTTATTAAGGAGGAATTATCTATCTCTATATGATGTCTGCTATATCATATCAGACGCAAGCCCGATGGACACAGGGAATTAATTATGTCAAGGTGGAATGAAAGGCTCAAAGAGACAACCTGGTGAATCAAATCAGAATGAAAGGCATCTCTTGCGACATCCAGTAGATATTTGAAGGATGTCAAGAGCCAGATCAGAGAGTGGGTATCTCGAAAAATTGGGAAGCGGAAACAGTACCTCGAGTGGAAGACGAGTGCTGTCAAGACTGAAAACTGTGAGGGCCAGAGTACAAAAGGAAATCCAAAAAAAAATAATATCCCTGCTGGAACTTAGTCGACAGACGAATCCACTCATACCCAATATCCAACAGGATTCAGACCCATCTAACTCCAAACCGGTTATTAGTCAATACTTAACATATTAAACGACTTCTTTCTCCTCGAGCGTGTAGTCTCCTTGCTGGAGCCTTTCCAGGACCTTTCGACCATCAGCTGTCAACTCAGGTCTTCCAGAAGAGTCAACGGGAAACATGAAAAAGCGCGGCTTCCATTCATGGTTCCTCTCCATTCTGATAGCTGCCTTCACTCTTTGGCGTTCCTCTAGCTCATGCTTTTTCTGAGTCGCCAGAGTATACTGCCTAGAATGGATGGCTGCAGTAACTCCCGACCAGCATCGCCGTGATTCGTTGGACAACTGCTTTTCTTCTGGCGGAACAACTTTGGAAGAAGGGAAAAGAGGAGCTATATCAATAAGGAGATGGCGTTCAACGGAGCCAGCTAATGTGTAGTAGACTTGCTCATGCCAACTCCCATCAATTGTTGCAAGGACGTCACTTTCAGGGACTTCTTTTATCTTTCTCTTGTCGTCGTTCTCAGGATCGTAACGGAAGATAACACCGACCACTCTATAGTGCGATCTACCAAGCCAGCCATCTTCGAGGTACTGTAGAATTGTCTTTATCCTAGTTTTGGGGCAGGTAATGTAGCATGTATCTGAAACAGATATAGACAATGATCCTCTGAGCCATCCACCGATGTGAGCCGCAGGGTGAGTTAGGCGATATTCTTCATTATCCCGCTTTTGCAGATTCAGGAAGATACCCAAATTGTGCTTGCCAGGGGCAATTCGAATGCTTGTACCGCTGAACTTTGCAGTGATCTGATCGAAACCACGAGCTATAATACCGCGTTGCGGACAGTCGGCGTAAAACGCCGAAACTGGGGGGTGGTGGGATGTCTGTTCCGTGAGGTATGATATTTTCACCTTTTCCCCGTTTCCAGCAGCCTGAACTCCTGCTGTGATATCCTCAGCAGAATTTGGGAGGACAGGGGACTGATAGTCTTCTGTTTCCCAATAACACTGCGTAAAGCGTTAGCTCTCTCTCACACGGATCTCATATGGGTCGGTGTAGTCAGAACCAACCCTGAAAAATTCGCCTAGGACGGAGTTGTACGGTTTGCAAGGTTTGCTTTGCACGTATCTCTACTCGATCGTCAGGAACCATAAGCTTAATGGTGTGCTGTCAACGGAATATCCTCACCACATCTTTTGTAAACCAAAATCTTAAGACTTCTAGCATACGACCCAGTTCATCATCAGACTTCCCAATACTAAGCAAGTTAAAACGACATTCCAAGGCATAGGAAACTATCATGCCAGGCATACCTAATAAAATTCTCGGGTCGATCAAGATAATTCCAGTATTCTAACATGAGCTTTAGTTGCATGTCTTCCATCCTGTCCAAGGGTCCGACATACCTAAATTTGGCGTTGGCTCGAGAAGTTGGGCTGGCAGTGAGAAACGAGCAGTCGCGATGTCCGTCACCCCAATGAACCTGATAGAAAAAGAGGAATCATAGTTAGCCTTCGTTTCATACCATGCCAGCGGTAGGATAAATTGACGAGCGGTGTAGAGGACGCATACCTCCGCAGGATGGAAAAAAAGGTCCTTAATCGTGAGGGATCCTCTGACGCTGGTTTTGAATGGTCAATATCGTGGAGGACAGTATCATGCGACATTGTGGAAGTTGTACTAGGTTGTGTTGGAGCTGAATCAGTAGAGAGAAAATCTTCGAGGACGGATCAGGATACTGGCTTTATTAAAGAGGTAGGTAGGATCTGGGGAGAGTTCACCGTCGATCCACGGTAGGGCTCTTGAAAGCGAGGTAATGCAGATCTACACTGGCGGCTGTTTCCTCCCGCCTGTCAGATGCTTGTTTAGAGGCAGAACGGATCGCTATTCCGTGACTCGCGGATCTGGGAATTACCCGGACGTACCCTAATGGAATGCACACATCCCCGAGAGAGTTACTCGTGTTGTTTTTGGGACCTTCAAAGTTTTGCGGATCTTGAAATTTGGTTGCGACAGTGGACTTGGAATGCATTGTTGGCAAACGTCATAGGGTAACTAGTTCAACCGAACTTAGTCTCTGGCGAAGATTAGCATCCCACGGCATTTCTGTATCAATGTATCGTGCTGTGGGGCCGAGTATTAAGGACTACAGCGCTCGGTTTGACAAGGAGTAATTCCTAGGAAAATAAGCAATGCCGAGTATCTTGACGCCATTGACCCCTGCCAACCCCAGTGAGCCTCAGAAGCTTCTGCTATCCAATCACACGACCACGGGACCAGATAACGAAAGTGATTTTGGGACTCTTCCAAATGTACGGAGCACTTCATACCCTACTGTTAGACGAGACCCATCTGGAAAAGAGTAGGAACCCGGCACTAGCCATGAACCTCTCCAAGACACATCGACATAAGAAGACAGATGCCGTAAGCACAGTACATTGCGTGAATGTTTGTATGTACTATGGTAATATGGAGGCATGGACTAAGTGTACCCCGTAGCAATAACATAGCATTCAGCTGGCCTCGCCAAAATCGTAGTGTCCTGTTTCTGAGGCGTGGCGAGCTGCGCCTTTCTCTCCAATGAACACCCCCCCGCAAACACTACACTTGACCTGAAACTTTGCAGTGTCCGTGTAATAATGTTGTTGTTGTAGGATGCGACACAGCTCCACAGCCTTTTCTAAAATAACCTGATCTGCCGAATCGAAAATCTTTGTATCAAAATCGGGAGAGGCATACGCATGATTGAAAGGGGGATCCGAGGGCGAGAGAGCGATAGTATCATAATGTATCCCGGAGTATACTACAATGCATCTTGTTGGTCGACCTTCGTTAAAACGATCGATACGCAACGTTTGGACATCAATGGAGCATATCTCGATGTCGAAGTGTTTACTGAGGATGCTCAGCTCGATACCGCCACCCCAAGCCTCTTCGCTCTGAATCCATCGACAGTAGTCGTCGGGGCTCCGTTCGAGAACGGCTCGGGTATAGACATCCGAGTGCTCGTGGATTGTCTGGGCAACAATCGATCGTAGCTCCGTCATTGTATCCATAGCACCTAGAACGGCGCTTCCGACCGCCCGAAAGAGACATGAATTATCATCCGGCATAATACGAAGGACAATGGTTCCGCCGTGATTCGGGGAGGGAATCTCTGGCGGGTCATCCTCGCTACGCGTAACCTTTTGCTTCGATGATGGGAAATTTGGCCGTTGCTCCGACGAGTTGGAGGGCTGGGTGGTAGTAACTTCCGGGGCTTGGGTAGAAATGGGTTGTGTGTCGCTAATTGTAGAATCGTTCCTTTTGATGATGATGAGCTGCTCTCCGTTTAGGTCGACACCGATGTCTGTGACTTTTGATTGTCGACCAAACTGGTCTAGAGCCAGCGATTTTGGTGGATATCCATGTCTGATGTCGAAAACAGGTAAAGAAGTATTTTCTTTAATTTGATCAAGAAGGTCACCAATTGTTGCACTTTCTTGTAGGGAAACAGTGGATTGGCCAGACGGGCCCCTGATCCGGATCCGCATGTTGTGAGCTCAGGCAACTCCTTGACCTGATTCCGAACCAGTGCAAAAGGTGCGATCTATACCGTCAGCAATACAGGAGAGGGCGCGCAAATTCCCGAGGCTGGAGACAAATGGATGCTTTGACCGGGCCCCCCGCCAACGCTGGCCCCGGCTGCCGGCGTTTATCGCGGCAAAAGGGGCGTCTGGGAGAGGTGCAGAGGTGCCTTAATCAGCGCGGATCATTGTATGTCCGTCTCTACTTTTGGTTTAGCGCTGAACAAGCACGCTAACGGCCCCCCCGGTGGAAACTGCACCAATCCACGTGAGAGCTCTGGCTTCCTTTGAACGCGATTCTGTTCCTCCTCACCTACGCCGTACGGAGTACAAAATCATAACATCCTATCTTCATGTGTTGATTTCACTCCCTGGTGCTGTTAATTGAAAAAAGAATTTATCGTTTCATTTCTGTTGTTCAGCCTGTCACCCTTCGGTTTGTTCCTCCTGAAAAGTGTTACCGCACACCTTTCAGCCTTTCCCAGCGATGGCGGAGGCTAGTGTTGGGCCTGGCAACCAAGCCAGTCCCGGGGTCGATCCGCCATCCTCGCAGAATACTGGGCACATTGGTCAAAATTTTGAGCAACCCCAAGCTCTAGCCGAATCAATCGAAACAGACATCAAACAAAATGAAGAAGAAAGCCAAGTCACGGAGGACCAATGGAAAGCAATGTTCGAGCTTGTCCTCTCCATCTACGAGTACCGTGAACCGGAGTATGTTTAACGACCCGAACCCATTCCAGTTATTCTTACTTACTCTAGGACAGTGGTCACGATCCGTCGAGGCTATTTCATCGTAGCGTTAATAAGCGAAACGTTCCCGATTACTACGATGTCATCAAGGAGCCGATGGCGTTGAGCATCTTAAAACAAAAGATCCGCAATCGATCCTATAAAACCTTTGCAGAATTCGTCAGGGATTGCGCTCTGGTAAGATCCCCTCACCGCAAGCCATCTCTCTTTATTTTTCCATTACCCTGTCCCAGCGCTAATGCTTCCCTCTTCCCCAGATTCCGCACAATGCCCAAACATACAATCGACCCAGGTCGCAAGCCTATGAAGACGCGCTCATAATCAAGGTCTGTTGGTGCACATAACACTACGCTTGCTTTAACTGATGCACAAATTGTAGGATGTTTTTGCCTCTGAATTTAAGAAGCTTGCCGATCAAGAAATAATATCTGCAGAGACTGCCGAATTGCCAGACTTGGGCGAGATCCCCGAAGCAGATCCACTTCCTATCGAGGAGGAAGATGACGACGATGAAGAAGAAGACGACGATGAAGAAGCTGAAGATTCTGACGAGGAAGGCGGTCGTCGTAGACGCAAGCGCTTCCGGCGAGGTAGCCAATCCTCCAAACGTGGTGGTAACAAGGATGAATTCCGCAAGAGCATAGATCCAGCGACGCGCAAGAAGAGAGGCCGACCCCCGCGAGTTGATACACCGATGGAAGCAAGAATTAAAGCAGTACTCAAGGGAATTCGAAAACCTAGAGACCAAGGAGGGTTAAAGATTCGACATTTCGAAAAGTTGCCGGATAAAGCCTTGTATCCTGATTACTACACGGAGATTAGGGAACCCATGGCTGTTGACCTCGTCAAACGGAAATCCAAAAGAAAAAAGTACGCATCAGTTGATCACTTCATGAGAGACATAGATCTCATGTTCAATAACGCGAAGACGTATAATCAACCCGATAGTCAGCTGTACCAGGATGCCGATGATCTTCAAGCCGAAGCTCATAGACTCGCAGAGCAAGAAAAGAACAAACCTGACAGCGAGTATCTCATGGAGGATGGACGGCTTCCTCTTCCCAATGGAATCTCGTACAAAGATGAGATCTGGAGAGTCGGCGACTGGGTGCATATTCAGAACCCGAATGATGCACACAAGCCTATTGTTGCCCAGATTTACCGGACCTGGCAGGATTCAGACGGCCAAAAGTGGGTGAATGCTTGTTGGTATTATCGACCGGAGCAAACTGTACACCATGTTGACAAACACTTCCTCCCCAATGAAGTTATGAAAACTGGTCAATATCGAGACCATCGGATTGACGAGGTCGAAGATAGGTGTTTTGTGATGTTTTTTACGCGTTACAACCGCGGCCGACCACGGGGATTTCCACCAGAGAAACAGGTGTATGTCTGCGAAGCTCGTTACAACGAGGAAAAGCATAAATTAAACAAGATAAAAACTTGGGCCAGTTGTCTTCCCGACGAGGTTCGAGAGAAAGATTATGAGATGGACCTTTTTGATGGACCTAGAAAAATTAGGAAAGTCCCAAGTCCAATCAAGCATCTGTTGCCAACAGACGCCAAAGAAACAGACGATCTGCCCAAACCAACTTGGGGAGCTGAGAACGCGCCGCCAATTATTGGGGCCGTCCACTGCCGCCCCCGTGATGAAAATGTGAGTAAACCCCCCCCGGGCTTTTTTTAAAAAAAAAAGATATCCAAAACTCCCTTTCTGACTCTCATCATTAAGGAATCGCCGCCTCCTGAGCCAACTCCACCACCTCCTCCACAGCCAACTTCTCAATCGCAACCAAGCTTACCACCTAGACCAATGTCTGCGAATCAACCAGCACCTCAAACAAACCTTGATGCGAGGCGCGATTCCCGGTTGAACGCCGCCAATTTTGCTCCTGTGCCAACGCCATCTCCAGTTCAGCCGCCCCATCTACAGCCGGCGGCACAGGTACCCTTGATGCCTTCGATAGCTCAACAGCCTTTCCAAGTTCCCTCTCTTGCTTCCTCACAGTATCAGCCATCTCAGCCTGTCCAAGCCCCACATGTTCCTCTTGGATATGCCACCTATCCACAACCTACGCAGCAGCCTTTTGCTATGTCGCACAATTATCCTGCGCAAATGCCAAGTCGCGTCCCACAGCCTTCAATGGCGATGCCACATACACATACACCTAACCCGAACGCGGCGAGGTCCTCTGAGTTCATTACCTTGCCTGAGGAAATGAACAACGCAATCCCCCCAGAAGTGCGAGCGCAGTTCCAATGCGACGACAAAGGCCGTGTGCTTTTCTGGAGCACTCCGCCAATTGATGTGGTGAATGATCAGCCCCAGCCACTCTCTCACACTCCAGAGTATCTTGCTGCGAGAGCAAGACGTCAGACAGTCATTGATCGTGTGCGCAGGAAGATTCTTGATGAACAAAAAAAGCATGCGGAAGAGGATGAACAGCACCGATTCAATGAGGAAGAGAAGGAGGCTGTTAAAGAAGAAAACCTTAAGGTCAAAATGGAATATACCAAACCCTCCACACCCTTGCGAACTTTCTCCAGAGAAACCCAAGGCGAATGCCATGGGCGGGAGTTAGAAATCGCTAGAGCGTATATAGCCGGCCGCACCACAGACAAAGAGGATACTAACGCCAAAATTTTAAACATTGTTAGACGTGACAAGGGTGATATGTTTGATCCGAAGACACTCTCTCCACGTCGAAAATATTTTCCTGTAAAAGATCACTGGACCTACTTAACTGAGTCCTCAAAGAAGGGTGCTCTAGGTACTTAGCAGGATTGAATTGTTGTTTCTCTTTCTGTGTTTCTTACTTCGTCTCACCTTCGTCACCTCAGTCCTTTTGTTACATTTTAAGCTACAATGTTATGACTGGCTATGAAGGAAACCCAAGAGCATTTTCTGTGGCGTTTTAAGAGTGGGTGGATGGCGCAAACTTCCTGTACGAGTAGAATTTGGTTCGCTGCTTTCCTGTTTACAGTGTTCATCTTGTAAAGATTACCACATTTGTTTAGGAAGAAAAGGAGAGAACTTGTATGAGTGCAACTTGTCCCTGTACACTCTTGTTAGTTTGCCTCACCCAGGCTGGGGTTAATTTCAATAGGAGAGACCAGTCGTAGGGTTATTCTTGCCGAGAGAAACGTTGCGGAGTTACAAAGGAGAGCATTTCGAACAGGTATTGATGCAGCTCCCCAACCTTTATTGCTCAGCATGTAAAGATGACATTCAATAGTATCAAACCTGCGAATTATCCGTTCCCATTCTCCCTGCTTGCAAGCCGCAGCGCAAAAGAAGATAAATTCTAACAAGAAGCCCAATTTATTTCATGGCCAAAGTGCTTTAGTAGAAATGTGCATCGCCATCCATGCCACCACCAGCTTAGTACAAAATGACGCACAACGAAATATTTACAATATGCAATGCAATACATATGTGCAGGTACTGCTGAAAGGAAATAAACAGAGTGTAGTAATAGACCAGACAGGACATACAAATGGAGAAGAATTGAAGGAGGATATGAATGCATATTCCTATTACTTAAGGAAGACAGAGATAATTTTGGGTCTGTTTTAAGGGGGGACAACTGCTGCAGAAGTGACTGCCATGGGATTTAATATGGAAATAGAATAAGGAAAAGAGGAAAAGAAGAAAAGAAGATGATGAGAAGATGATTCGATTTGGCGTCGATTTTCAGGGTAGGCAGAAACAGAGGGGACAGGAAATGGAAAATTTCCACAAGGGTTGACTAACAAAATCGCGCCAATCAGGTTCAACACACATATTACTGGGCTCTCTTGGAGAGCATCCAGCATTTCAACTGCTCTTCTGTGAATGAAGATACGCTTCAAAGGCCACAGCTCCAATTATGTTCGTTTTTTGTATACTATATCCTTGGGTGTCGTTGCGGTGGCCGAAGTGTCATCTCTGGAGGTATTAGATGCTTCGTTTGTGGCAGGCTTATTCACGCCCCATGAGCTGTTGCGTTTATTTTCCTCCTCCTCCATAGAAAACACTAAATCTCCTTGTTCCTCATCAATTCTGCTTGTGTTCATCGGTGACGATATCGAACGATCGAGTCGAGTTCCAGTAGTATGACGAGCTGAATTAGGATGTAATGAGGTGCTGCTGAGTTGCTGAGTGATCATTGACATTGAGGGCTGACGTGGAGGACTGGCGATGAACGGTGAGACGTCGCCAGAGCCAGGACGGCTGCCAATCGGACGTAAACCAGGGCTAGATCGCATACTAAGTGTCGAATCACGGAGAGGTGATCCAACATGCCCCAATGCTGACTGACTCTCTTCTTCTTTCTTTTGTCTTTGCTTCGCGAACAGCGCCCCGAATCTAGAAGGACTAGACGCCAACGGTGATCCCACTTTGGTTGATCCCGTAAGTGGCAGTCCTAGGCCACTCAAGTCTCTTGCACCATGAGAATCATTTTCCGTCCGTGAAAGTCGCCTCATTTTTTCTTGGGGAGTTAACACATCATCATGCAGGTTTGTGGGCAAATAATCCTCCTCCATAGCAAAATTATCATCCCAATCGTCCAGAACTGTAGGCCGGGGAAGACTAGCTGATAACATTTTCGGTCGAGATACCCGTTGCGAATGCATAATGCGAGCAGTGTTTCCCTCATCTCCGCTAAGAACTGGCGAAGAGCTGAGAGTTGAAAACTTCTTCAAATCCGATCCAAATGTGTGATCATGGAGATTACGGAACATATCTGGTCTATTGGAAGGAGTCGGTGAAAGATCAAAACCAAATCTCGAGGGGACAGATGAGGCAACAGGGCCATGTCGAGCAATGTAAGATATTCCCTGACTATCGAAGGAAGCGGGAAGGGGAGCGTCAAGTGCAGAGCGTCCGATGGGCGACATAGCACGTCGGCCATCTTCAGGCGGAGATCCATACTTCGAACCGGTGTCGGACACTAATCCCGTGTCGATGATAGGAATGTTCTCAAATGGTGGCTGAGGTTGCATTGGAGGTTGAGGTTGAGGTTGAGGTTGACCATGCATCATTTGTATATCCTCTTGATATGTATACAGCCGAGGGCCATGACCGTTCATCTGCTGCTGCTGCTGCTGTTGTGATAATAGGGAATTCGCAAGTGCCGAATCTTGCGGGTGATAAGGGGGATAATTGACGCGTCCGCCCAAGTTGAGATTTCCACCGCCACTCATCCCCATTCCAATATTCGGCCTGTTCACTCGACGACCATCGGGCAAGATATGCGCCAAAGCGCATTTTGCTCCGAATTTACAGTTTCCCTATCAAAAGTAAGTGCGTTAGTTTCTTTGTTCTGCTCTTCACCCCCGATTTTACACAGGGCAACTGGTGGTAAAATTTGCCACACAAGGCCATCGGCGAAGGACCTGAAGCCTTAGGAAAGCAATGGTACCTTTGTAAAGTATTTGCACGGCGCGGAATCAACGGCAGAATCCGTAGAATGAAGGAAGGGACACGCGGGACCTGCTTGACAGGCTCCTTGGCGGAAGAATTTGCAGGGCACATGTTTAGTATCTAATCACCAAGGGCAAATGTAGTTAGTACACGCAGCAAAAGCGACAAGCGGAAAGGTTTTGGCTATTACTTTTGCTGGGAGGTGGATTCGGAGGGCTGCGGGCCATGTCAAATGAAGGGACAGATCGTGGCTGGCCATTTTGCAAATGAGGTCCAGGGCCGGACGGCACAGGGAGAGGGGCACGGCCTCTGGGATCGTTCGCCATTCGATTTGGAGGCCTCAGAGCACCGTTTGCAGGATGAGATGAAGGACGATTTCTTGGATCCTGCAGCTGCGGAGGGGGCTGCTGGGGCTGCATGGCGGGAAGATAGAGATACGGTGGGTTAGAATATTGCTGTTTCTGTGGGCGGCGGACGACCCAAGAAGAAGCAGCGGGCGGAGAGGAAAAAAGACTAACCTTCAGGTCAACTCTCGAGTTAACCAACTAGTTAACCAACTGCCAGGACCAGGTTCGTACCAGAGGAGTTTTGCTGTGGGAGGCGGAACTTATTTACTAGTGGCGGTAGCGTTAAACTGAAAATTCTATTTGGGCCTTAAGAGGGGGAAGGACGATGGCAAAGTCATTCACATTGTCAATCATCAGCACACAATTCTTAATTTATTATTGAAACGAGGGTTCCAGCAGACCTGGACAAGTAAAATGATTTCAACACTAGTGAACTTCCCGCCAAAATTGAATTGTTTTCTCTTGTGAATAAGCTGGATATCCAGAGAATTCATGGGTGAAGCCTAGGTTGGTCAGTTAACCGGTTAACTGGTTAAGTAACTACTGACATCCGTCTCCGAAGTTACACGTAAATTGTACTCTGTAGATGTCAATAAGATCAGAACTGATCTCGTAACCTGATTGCGCTGGCTCTAATTTCCAGAGCCATGAAGTCCGATAAGCTAACAAAATATATGTACAAATTGCTGGGCGATCATAGGATCATTTGTTCACCAAGATAACTAGTATTTACTTGAGTCAGGTCAAGGGGTTTGCGCGACATGCGTGCTGGGAGGGAAGTTCATGATACTCGCACCCCAGGAGACAGCCCAAATTAGCCAGGGAGATATGTGACTACCTGTTGCGTTGTGGCGAGAGAGTTCAATGAGTGGCATTCAAGTTGATGCAGATGACCTTGAATTGAGGGGCTTGTCACCTGGGCCCTGCAGGGCGTCTTGGTCTGTGGTTTCATAGCAAGGTACGGAGTACACAGGCACGCTTGGCCCCGCGCTTGAAATAAACCCATGATTGTGTCTGGGCTGTTTATTTAACGAAAATGATGTATGTAGGAGCTACATCCCCTCGCTCCAGTCCTTTAGCCATAGTCTCACAGCTGACACAGAACCATAAAATGCTGGAAGGGAACTCCTGGAACCAGCAGGGGCAACATGTGGTTGTCTCGATTATGCCACGTTCTTGGATTCGCGCGGAGTTAAAATACCCTGGTTGTTTGGTTGCCATTGCATCTTAGAGCCACAATTTTCTGAAACCATATTATTAAATTGTGTCAGGGTTGGAGTGAACTTTGGGCTCAAGTGTCACTTGAAGCTCAGAAGCTTACCACCCTAACAGGAAGCCTACGAGCAAAGTCACCTGGATGGTCACCACAAAAGGAACTGCATGCAGTTAGGTAGCCCCTTTTTACTTGATTGGAATGATGTGGAATCACTGAGCTTAAGATTATTATGGCTGATTTCTATGGATTGACTAGTTGCTCTGTGCTGCAGGTGGCATTAGTTACATATTTAGTTACACATTGCATATCAAACTGCGGGTATAGTTGTTCTTCAACAATGACCCGGGTTATCGTAAATAATCTCTGTTGAAAATACCCTATCATCCCAGGCGCAATAACATGCCATGCGCTTAGCAAGACGTGTCGACAGAGGAATCTGATTGAAAGCTACAGGGCCACACAGTGCCCATAGAATTCTTGACTCCCTTGCGAGAAAGGCAAAGGCTCGGTAGCCTCTAGGTTCTTGGGCTGCCTTCTAACCCCAGAGATTCCCAAAGCTCCTCCTTGCCCTGTACAGCTTCCGGTAACACCTCTGTGCACCTCATCCACATCTCATGGCATATTTTTTTTCGCACTGTCACATGTTTGCGCCATTTTCTCCATTCCTTTTCCAGGCTAGCTTTCTCCTCCGCAGTGACTGCTTTGGCCTGCACGGAGCTAGCTTTTGATGGCGCCAAACTAGCTATCAAATTCCGCTTTTCTCCCTCTAGGGCAGCGAGACACTGTCGTAGCTCGGAGGTAGACACCCTCGCATTAAGAGTAGTGAGCTCTGCCTTTAACAGTTTATTCTGGGACTTGGCCGAAGCGACTTGGCTTTTAAAGGCCTCAATTTCTTCATCAAGGCCAGCGAGCCCTTCTGGAGTGGCTTCATCTATTGCATCCTGGATCGCATGGTACACGATTTGCTTGCCTAAAAATAGAATCACGGATTTAGGACAAGCATTGGCTTTAATACCCCGCGCCTTTGAAGACGCTCAAAACAGGTGATTACTTGCCCAAGGCCCTGCCTTCCACCTGCTTTTTCTCGTGCAGTTCTCTCAACGCTTTAGCAGTATAGGCTAACCCACCTGATTAGCATCCCGTTTCTTCATGCTGCCGGCAATGAAAAGGTTATTCCCGATTTACCTTTTGTTACCTTATTGTGGAGGTTGGCACTGATGTCAATCGCCTGTCGCACGGTTAGCATCTGTCTGGCTCCTAAGACATTAATATCAAGCTTACGGAATATGGACGACTATATTTTTTGCAACAATACAGCCGTAGATCAGTAGAAATCCCATGAGCAATTCGGATTTTCGCAAGAACCGGAAAATCGTGGCTATAGGACCACATACTTTTGCTGCCCTACCCAAAAGGCGTGTGTTGGTAGGGGATTGATCAAATGCCCAAACTTTTCTGGGACAACTCACGAAGATATTCTAGGATCAGCGCATTTCCTATTCTTTTCGAGTCAGTACATAAATATGACAATTGTAGATCTCCAAAGATGCCTCATTGGGAAATAATCAAAGCGTGATGTGCATAGATAGGTTGAGGGTAGCTACCGTCCTCAACAGATCCCTTGTCTCCCTTTTCTGTTTTCTCCTTTCGCGGTGCCATTATGCTTCACGTTGGCAATGGGCATTCAGACCTGGATATCAGCTTAAGCAAGTTGAGCACGCCCAGATAGCATTCGTCACCGTGGACCCCGCATTCTACTATTCCAAGGTACTCCGCATGTGTGGATGAATTCCACGTGAAAGCGTCTTTCGCTTAATCATCAGGCATGCGGCTCCGCTGCGTCGCGCCATCATGCAGCGGGTGATCCCCCCCTAAAAGGCTTGGCGCTTCTGGACGGTACACTCCGATTGGTCGGGAGAAGACACCAGTTTTGACAGAGCAGCCGGCAGGGCACTTATCACACCAATATCGAATCCTACGGGGTGGGATGCGTGTCCAAGTTTGATTTAAACCGGTCTATATAATACATTTGAAAACCTGGACAGGGAGACAGCCATGGGGAAGCCATTGTAGTTGGAGGCTTGAGGGGCAAGATAGCAAAGGTACATTTCAAGGATCAGAGGGCACCAGACATAGTTCCTTTGGCAGGTTGCTCTTCATTTAGAGATGTCTTAGCAAAGGGTCTAAGCACAAGCACCGAGCAGATAAAGCTCCGACAAGGACGCCTCAGAAGGAAGAGTGAATGATGTCGCTGGATTTGCTAATGATAACAATAACAAAGCATCAAGGGAAATAATTAACGAGCTCCTAATGACATGTCCTACCAATATATTCCTAAGACTGTGGCTAATGAATTCCAGCCCAAATACTAGCTTCCCCGAATCGGAGAGGGAATTCAAAAAGCACAAATTCCACTTATCCCGTATCTTCCTCTAGAACTTCCCAAATCTGAACTGTGTATAGATATATGGCGTATTTTTCTGAGGCTAAGTTAATGGGAAGCAATACGGCGTAGCTTGTGTTTAGCATAGTTGATGCTTGCTATACTGTCATCGTCGACGCCACTTTAATGCATCCCAACAGTATCCCCTAAAATGGTTAATAACTTAAATGGAAATCGAAGAAGCACCGACAGAACGCCGAACAAGCTGCCCTATTAATGTAAGTCGTAACTGAATATGAGTGGTTCTCTGAGAGACAGCACCCATCACATAACAACCTAAGACCAGTTAGCATCATCGGATTCTCTAGTCCACTTTTTTGACAAAAAATGCTACTCACACATTCCCCTTCAGTTTTGCCTTGAGGAACGCCCATTTCCTCAAAAGTTTTGGGGCCCTTCCCAGGTAATCCAGACGCAGGCTTTTGAGCCTGTGCCGGGTTGTTTGGAGAAGCATTCGCAGAAGGTGATGGTTGCGGTCTAGAGTCACCTCGTGCTGGGAACTTCCCAGTACCTTGCCCGTGTGGCATGTGGCCTGCAGGGTTAGGCGAGGCGGGCATTCGTGACTGCCGTGGATCTGATGGAGGAGCAGGCCTGCCTTGCACTGGCACTGACTGGCCATAGGGTTCGTTTGTAGTGGCGGGTCGCTGTAATTTCCGTCTCCTATCGGCACCTGTAGGATCAGGGGGCGCTGAGAAACCAATATCTAACTTTGGCGAGGGGGCCGATTGATTAGTTGGATAAGGAGCCATACCAGGGCCTGGAGGTGGTCCGTAGCCTTGAGGGAGGCCCACTGAGGCAACACGTTGTGGCGGAAGCTGACCGCCCGGAACAGGTTGTGTCCGTAGATTTGGGTTAATACCGAACGCAGAGGTCGGCCGAATGTCGGGGCCGTACTGACCTCCGGGACCACCAGGGCGCCCATAACGAGAATTTGGGCCTTCGGGATAAGGAGCAGCCGAGACCGGTCGAGGGCCTGTAGGATCGGCAGAGATAGTCATTTTGGAGGGATCTGGCATTTCCAATGTTTCCTGCGCCGGCCTTTCATTTTGCATAGCCGCGTAACGTTGTTGCTGATTTCGCCCATGAGAAGCATACTGTGATTTGATGCGTGCAATCGCGACACGCTCATGATCCTTTCTTGACAAGGTCTTAGATCTTGATATGCTGTCAATTCGTGAAGAAGCGTCTTTGTTACCACTGGCAGCCGCTTTGGCATACCAGCTCCGGGCTTCTTTAAGGTCCACTGGTACGTGTATACCGATCTCATAAAAATACCCAAGGGCAAATTCAGCCGTCGGAAGTCCATTTTGGGCGGCTCGTTTAGCGTAGACAAATGCCATCTCATCGTTCTTCTCAAAGACACCTTCATGTCCGCAAAGGAACCATTTACTGATGGCCATCTCAGCTTCGGGCTCGCCTTGCCGTGCCGCGAGTGCATTATAGTGTAGAGACAAGGCTGGATTGAAATCGCATCCTAGTTGACACAATTCATAAGCTGCCCCCATCTTTACTTGGGCTTTCGCAAAGCCGTGATACGCGGCTTTTTCAATATTCAAACGTGCACCATTCAAGTCTAGGGGCAAAAATTCATCGGGAACGGCAACCTGGGGAAGCTCGCGGGCTAACAGCATTCCATAAACCTAAATAAAAAGGGGACATTGAGTCAATCAACACCCAAATTATGACGGGCCGAAGCTTTCCATAACTTACGTAGGCGCCCTGAGGAGCATTTTCATCACATGTTTGGGCAGCATATCGGATATGGTCCAGCCCTCCGGCATAATCTTGGCGTTGTCCATGTTGTCCCAAGAGTATCATCATCCCCAATCGCTAGAGAAAAATTAGCATAGCTTTTCGTTGAAAGGTTAAGCGTCGCCACTCTTACATAATATGAGGCAGAATCACCGAGGCTTACGCCTTTTTCATAATGTTTGATTGCCTTCAAAGGTTCATTTGAATTCTCAAACTGCATGCCCATTCGATATTCGGCTCTCGCATATCCCTTTTCAGCAGCCCGCTGATAGCACCGAAAAGCCTCCTTCTTGTCGATGCGGAATCCAAATTTCCCAAACTCAAGCCACATACCGCGGATGAATTCTGCTCGCGGGTGTGATTGATCGGCAAGAAACGAGACAATGTTAATGGCATCAACCTTCAACTGATGCTCGCCTTGTGGAGTGTGGGGTCGTGGGGGTTGAACGACGGCAAGGCGAAGCTCATTTTGCATGGCTACCTCCACGTAGGAAAGGGCATCTTGTGCCCAAGCAAGTTGCATCTCTGGATCATTGGAGCTTAGAACTGCGACCCGCCCGCGCTCGAGGTTCGCTTCTCGTTGCTCATCGCTTGGAGGAACGTTGGGCGGTGGGTTCCGCAAGACTGGGAACGGCGAGAAATTAGGGTGGTCCATGTAGTCGTTCGCCGGAATGTGACTGCCAGGTTGCGCATGTTGATTCACATACGAACTACTATTATTATTGTATGCTTGAGTCGGCATCGAAGAGTTTCGAGCTGGGAACTGTGGTCGGTGGGCGGGAGGATAATGATTCGCCGTACGATGCGATCCAGAGGCTTCCTGTTCGAGGTGGGCAAGATTATCTTGCATATTTTCGGGAACTTCAGGCATCACCCTGTCAAAAGAGACTGTAAGTGAAAGGTTATCACAAAAGCAACAGATAGACGCCGTCCATCGATTTTATTACCTTTGGGGTGCCGGAGATATTACTTCTGGCATTTGGTAGTCATCCGTTGCACCTGGATAAAATGTTGCTCCCATTCGTGGTCGGGAGGAATCGTAAGGTGCAGCCATGAGAAATATTATTAAATATTATCACCAAGACCTGCTGAGAAGTTGACCCCCCTGGTTAATTTGAACCCCACCGATTCCATTCACGACAACCCTGCAGCAATGGAACGCCCAGGGAAATTTTGGCTGGTTGTCATCAAAACAAGCAGCGAAGCAACCAGAAGGCATGAATAGCACCTTGTGATAATGATTGGAAGAGAAGGCCTCATGCAAGATTCAACGAATATTCCTCTGCACTCCTTAGCTCCTGTTTTTATCGGGGAAAAATTTTGATCAATTTGGGTGGGGGGAAACTATCGCTATGGAGTACGCCGTACGGAGTACGAAAGGTACAGTTGGCTGTAGCGCAGGCGCCTTCGACTGGCGGAGGGTGGGGGCTTTCGATAATCAGCGCCGCCCCCCGGCAGCGACCAGCAGAACGTTCATGTTGCAACTATTTTCGAGATAAAATATATATAGATATCTTGAGCTTTGGCAATAGGATGGAGCAATAGCCCATGTTTGCTAAGGATGTGCTATGCTCATGTATTATGTTGGTTAGTGAGTTGGTTAACTAGTTACTTGATTGCTGGGCTTAGTCTGAATTCCAACATCAAAGGCAAAGCAAGCGTACGAAGGACATACTTCGTACTCCGAACATGGTTACCTAACTATGGAGTATATACAGAGTGATTACACGGTAGTTACTCCATACATAATTAGTTAACTTGTAAATCAAAAAGTCACTGCTGAGGTTACGAAAGAGTTGCAGAGACAGCCTGAGGGCAGGTGCAACAATCAGCTGTCCCAGCGAGTGTCAGGGTGCCATCAGCACAGCGTGCACGGGTTGAATACAAGCTGCGAAGAGCTAACCAACAACAGAGTAGCTGCAGTGTATGGAGCACAGAGAAATTAGTTTGTCCACAATCTTTTCTCCGAGGTCTGGGGCTTTCATTTATTTGGTAAGGGGACAGAGCACGGAGTACAGCCGCGTGTAAGTTCGGATGACCAGCTGATTTTGTCTCTTTATTAATGACGACTGTCAGGTAGCCAGTTTTCACAGAGGACTGGTCCGTCCGGGATTCACTAGTTTTATCTGCTCATTAGAAGAAAATCCGCGATCAACCTCAATTTGGGATGTTCCAGACGGTTCCGAGATGCGTGGACCCGCTTAAATGTAATATTCTCCAGTCTCCAGTTTTCAGGGGCGGTGGAACTTCCATGGATTCGCGGACCTTCGCTTCTTCAAGACTGGCTTGTTGTTCCTGAACGGAAGCGGAGCGAGCCTGATGGAAGAGAGGAATTTGAGAGACACAAGCCAGTACTCCGGAAATAAAAGATTCTGCGCTTGGGTTTCAAGGCTCCTCTCCATCCCAAGGGATCTGAACCCTAGCGCGCGTGCGCGCCACTGCACCACGGGGACCGCGTTCCAATTGTTTCCAGCGAGGAAGCTCCATCTAAACAATCGAATCCGAGCGTACGGAGTACCCAGGATACAGATCAACTCTCGGTGTCCTGAGCTCAGAACCACTGTGACCTGATAACCTGTAACAAAGTATAAATTCAGTACAGAGTGCTGAACGCTCAAAAATTATCCCCCCCAAAAATCATTCCCTCAATTCCCCCTAACCCCTTAACCCTAACCCTAATCCCCCAAATCCCTCACCTATATTGGTTGCTGCGCAGCCAGATTACACAACTGTGTAATATTACCGATAGGTATTGGTAAGTTTGCATGGTTGCTTACACACATCGCGAGGTGAGCTCATCCCACTGTAGGCTCATCTGTACCCTGATTGAGTGAGCCCGCGGAGTTTTACAGGTACCTATATGCGCCGTACATATGTAGTCTACTTCGGAGTTACCACCCTGCAGATAACTTATCCCTATTTTAGAGGTCGTCCGTCCCGTAACGTGGTATATGGATTTACGTATATATGCACAGTACAGTACGGTGTACTCCGTACATACAAGCTTACATACTGAATCCTCCGTACGGAGTACATTGTGGTCCGTGTTTCCCTAGCTAACTACGGCGAGGTAAGGGGATCGGTTGTGCAACTTAATTTTTCCAGCAGACGCGTCTCCTAGAGCGCGGTCCCGCGTAACCCGTGGCGCAAGCTTGGAAAGAAGTCGGATGATTCTCGTTCGTGATGACCGGTGCGTCACTATCTGCAGAGTGCTCCATAGTGAAACTAAAGCTAGAACAGTCGTTTCGATGGCCTTGACGTCCCCTCGTCTCATGTCCGGCCATGAATCCATCTAGCAAGACCTTCTATCACCCTTATTCTCCCTATGACATCCAGGTCCAATTTATGCGTTCTCTCTATACTTGCATAGAAGAATGTAAAGTTGGCATCTTCGAATCTCCAACAGGTGAGTTTTGTGAAGCATTTCCAAATAGCCATATACCGTGAGTATGAAATAGACTGACATATTTGCAAGGCACTGTAAGCATTCTAACTCCAGAAGGGTGTAGTATGGGATTTTTTTCTTTGAGATCCGATGCTCCTGAAGAGAACGCTGCAGACCCAGAATGGGATCCTATGTTCTTTAACCAATTCGCCTCAATCCCCAAAGAAATTCGCCAAGTAGTTATCTGACCGGAAATGCTAATTGTGATGGACAGGGGAAATCCCTGAGTCTAATATGTGGCTCGTTGACGTGGCTACGAGACCATAAACGATCGGTTTTCCTGGAAGACATAGAGAATAGTGATGGTAGAGCAACTATAGCTTGCGAACAGTTCGGTGCTGACCAATACATAGGTGATGACGAGCCGGAATGGATCTTGCAATATTCAAGAAAGGAAAAGAGGCGAATCATCAGAGAAAGAAGGAAGCGAGTGGAAGATCGATTATCACGTATCCGCAAGGAGGAGCTCCTGCGTGAAAAGGCAGCAATAGCCAATATACCATTCAAAAAGCAGGTATTGTTGGTACGAACTCCCTTTTTAACACTTACGGTGCTGATGGCTCTCCAGAGGCTGGAAGATGGCAAGCGACACTTGGATAAAATGGCCGATGATGGGGCATTCGAGCTGGATGAATACGATAGTGACAATCAAGAAACTTCAACCCATGACGCTAAGAGTAACAGCGATCTTTCTGCCACTACTATCGCACTACTGGAGAAACTTAGTGGCTCAGCTGAGATCCAGGATGACTTCGAAGAGGAAAATGCTGTCAAAATTTTTTATTGTTCCAGGACCCATTCACAGCTGGCTCAGTTTGCACGAGAGTTGCGGCGCGTGGTGTTTCCGCCTAGTATACCGCCGGAGACCGAAGATGGAGAGATAGATACTCAAGGAGAGGGCAGAAGACACCCAGACACGGAATTAGAGGAGCCAACGAAGCATGTATCGCTCGGCTCAAGGAAAACGATGTGTATAAACCCGAAGGTCAGACGCCTTGGGAATGCCACAGCCATCAATGAGCGGTGTCTTGATTTGCAAAGTTCCAACGTTCTCCCGGGGCATAAATGTCCATTTGCTCCATCCAAAGAGAACGAGTTAGCTATTAATGACTTCAGGGACCATGTTCTTGCTGAAGTTCATGATATTGAGGATATAGGTAAAATCGGGCAGCGCACAGGCATTTGTCCGTACTATGCGTCCAGATCCGTTATCGGCCACAGCGAAGTAAGTACACAGACACCTCGATGCTTATGCTCTGTCAAAACTGACCTTCTTGCCTCAAGATTGTCACACTTCCCTACCAGCTTCTGCTTCAGAAGTCAGCAAGGGATGCTCTAGATATTTCGCTTAAGGACCATGTTATTATCATTGACGAGGCCCACAATCTTATGGATGTAATTGCTAATATTCACTCAGTGAACGTTTCTCTCACCCAGCTCCGAATCGGTCTTGAACAATTAACTATCTACGCAAGAAAGTATAAAGCTCGGCTTAAAGGCAAAAACAGAGTATACGTTGCGCAGGTTATGCGCCTACTAGGTTCTATAGCCAAATACCTTGAATCCGTACTGGCTGCCAGGGAACTTAGGGAAGGGGCTGTAGATCCGTCATATTTAATGAGTGGAAAAGGAATTGACCAAATCAACTTACACAAGCTCTCGAGATACTTGCAAGAAAGCAAGCTAGCCCGCAAAGTAGACGGGTATATTGAAAGTTCAACATCTTTGGAAGAGAAAAATCCTGAAACGAGTACGACAGTGCCTGTTTTGTTCCAAGTCCAGTCATTTTTGCTCTCTTTGATGAATCCGTCGGCGGAGGGCCGCCTCTTCTTTGAGAAAAATGGTAACGATGTTCTGCTCAAGTATACGCTGCTGGACCCAACAGCACATTTCCGGGAAGCGGTAGAGGAGGCAAGAGCCGTCATTCTAGCTGGAGGGACAATGTCACCTGTGAGTCCGCCACCCACCCTGTTGTTCTTCACTAAACCTTGTGCTAGATGAGTGATTACAGAGACCACCTTTTTTCCTATCTTGCCCCGGGCCAACTGAGAACTTTTAGTTACGGTCATGTGATCCCCACAAGTAACCTCAGCGCAAGACCTGTATCAAGAGGAATACTGGATACAGAGTTTGATTTTACTTTTGAAAAGAGAAATTCCCGTGCAATGGTAGAAAACAGCTCCTTTTGTCCATGGGTGATCAACAGGGCTAATATGGCATAGATCATTGACCTAGGCAAGACCATCAGTGAGATTTGCAAAGCCACCCCCGATGGTGTGGTAGCCTTTTTTCCAAGTTATGACTTTCTGAACCAGGTGGTCGAAATTTGGAAGCAGCCGTGTTCAAATTCAGGTAATCCAAGCATTCTCGATTCACTTGGGTTGGTAAAGCCGTTGCTCTACGAATCCAAAGAAAAAGCCATGAATACCGAGGCGCTTCTCCAGAAGTACGCAAACTTCATAGATGAAGGCAAAGGAGCGTTGTTGCTATCCGTCATGGGCGGAAAGCTTTCCGAAGGAATAAATTTCTCGGATCGGCTTGGCAGAGGCGTGATTGTCATCGGCCTTCCATTTGCCAACATCCGCAGCGCAGAATGGCAAGCAAAAATACAATACGTGGAGAGGAAGACTTATGAACGGTCTTCGGGGGGTGAAGAAACTAGAAGGAGCAAAGCCAAGCTTGCGGGCAGAGACTTTTATGAAAATGCCTGCATGCGGGTGGTGAATCAATGCATAGGGAGGGCGATCAGACATCAGCACGATTATGCCGCTATCCTCATGTTCGATCGGCGATATGGGACAGCACGCATACAATCCAAACTGCCAGAATGGATTCGGCGGAGTCTGATTTCTGCTCCGATCGGAGCTACAATAAGTAACCTATATACGTTCTTTGAAGAAAAGAGTTCCATAGAAGTGACAAAAGAGAAATAAATACGTTTCAAGATTCTGCTCGACAACCGTCAACATTATTGTCCTGTTCCTGAGCGATGATAATTCGACTGGTCCTGGGTGGTGGGCAGCTAGTGTATTGATCATGTGATTTGAAAGTTTCCCCGGCCGTTGCTCCGTAGTTACTCAATGCCAAGATTTATTACATAATTCCCACTAGTGAATGCCAAGAATTTCAGGGCTTGACCCTACAAGCGAAGCGCTCTGGCACACACCTCGACGTCCGAATTGTCAACAAGTCCAACGCCCAACGCAACGTCTTCCTCAACCTCCTTGCCGGATACAGCACAGTCGACAAGATGCCTACCAGATTCTCGAAGACAAGGAAGCAGTGAGTTTCCCGGACCAAGTTTTGACACAATTTCGGTTTTACGTGCTCCACCGATCCAACTAGAGCAAAGTCGCCTTTAAACAAACCCTGAAATACTAACCGTCTTTCTCCTTTTCTTTTCTAGCCGCGGCCACGTTTCCGCCGGTTATGGTCGCATTGGCAAGCACCGAAAGCACCCTGGAGGTCGCGGTATGGCTGGTGGTCAGCACCACCACCGAACCAACCTCGACAAGTACCACCCAGGTTACTTTGGAAAGGTCGGCATGAGATACTTCCACAAGACAATGAACCAGTTCTGGAAGCCCACAATCAACTTGGACAAGGTACGTCGCGACATATATAAGGACCTAGCTGAAGGCTGCTGGTGGACGGAGATGATGGATCACAATGGAGGAGCAGGGCGCGAAAAGCTAAATGGTCAGATGGATGCTAACTGGTATGGCTTGTATGTATAGCTTTGGTCCTTGGTTCCTGCGGAGACCCGTGAAGCCTATGTTAGCAACCAGAAACCCGATACTGCTCCCGTCCTAGACCTCCTTTCTCTCGGTTACTCGAAGGTGTTGGGCAAGGGCAGACTTCCAGAGGTCCCGATGGTCGTACGAGCGCGCTACGTCAGCAAAGAGGCCGAGCGAAAGATCAAGGAAGCTGGCGGTGTTGTTGAGCTGGTGGCATAAATGGATGGGAAAGGTATGATTTGGCGTGGGAATATGCCGGGAAAACCATCATTCGAGTCCAGGGTTGATTTTATTCTTTCCACTTGCCTGGGGAAATGGAAACGAAACCGGTGTTGGGCTCGATAAACTAAAGCATGTCTGGTTTGGGGTTCAGTGTTTCATAATGCCGGTGCCTAAGGAAGACGGACTGGGCAAATGAACTGCGTCCCTCCTTGTTACGATCTCATTGAATACCATTCATAGGTGGAATGAATAACCTTCAAAAAACAGATACCCAATATTTTCACCTCCAGACAACCAAATAGGAACTAGAATGTCGATCCTAAACTTGTTTCCGCGGCAGGGCGCTTCCTGGTACATTCCACTACAAGCCAGAAGCCACAGGATAAGGTTTTGACGGAATTCTATGCTAGAAATAATCAAGGTCGGAAGTGCCTAGCCGTATGAGGGTGAAAGCGGGGAAAAGCAATGGCTGAGCTCACTCTGTTTCCATTTATACACACACCGTTAGTGAGCGGAGTAAAGGACTTCTGGCGTTCCATTTCTTGACGTGGCATGTACCTCCCCCTGGCGAGTTATTACATGTGAACGCACGAAATCGAGGTTACTGCTGAGGTCTGCATATTCTTCGGCTGGCCCATACGACTCCTTTGGAGAAAAACCACCCGAAATCATGTCGAGGGGTGTTCCGGGTGCGGGAACGATAGTACGGGCGGATTAATGGCTAATTGGTTCTAGAGCCCTCTGCGAACGTGTATAAGAGGGTGTGGATTAGGAATCTGCCAGTATCACAAGGCGACATAGTTTCCTCCAGTCGGTGAAGCTGAAGAGGTAATCCGTCTGGGTGGTATTATTGTTGGTTGTTGACGTCCGGATGCGCAGATCCTTGGGACCAACAAAAACGGCCCGGTGCGGAGGTGTTCTTACCTAATTGAATAGTTTACATGTTACTCCGTACTCAGTGAGAGAAAGATGCCGTACCTCTGGCGCCATAGGCTTCGGCATCCCTGTCCTTTGCCAATATCGTTTCACTCAAGCAGTCCTCGGGCCTCAATGCCAAAAAGCCGTCGGAGGACTGTGACAATGGCTGAGGATTATTTAGGATACAGGGTATAGAGTACAATCACACCCAACAAATGGAACAAGCCACATGCTGATCGACGCGTCCAAGGTATCCTGCAAAAGAACAAATGATTGTCCGGGGGAGGTTTTCCGAAAGTTACGGCAAATAATGGCTGCGGACCGGCCAACTGGCTGATGAAGGTCTACATCAGCAGCCGGATGTGAGGATGGTGTGTTAATGTCAAAGTTCACAAGTCCTATTACTCCATATTACAGCTGTATAGCTATCGGAGCAACAAATGATCAATGGTGTTGCTTAATGAGAGTCATGAAGGTAGGTAATAATGCAATGTGGATTGACTCAAAAATCTGCACGAAGCAACGAGCAAGTTCTGCCTGAGCGATCGACGGCCACCAACCCCAAGATCCACCCCCATCCCGCAGTTAAGCTCACATGCCAAGACCGACCACATCCACCCGACTAACATCGTTCATCTGGTGTTGATATTTCTCGTCTCTGCTCGCTCTCAAGCTGCTGAACAAGAAGATTGTCAGTGGTCTTCCAAGCCATGTTGACGATCACGAGGCCGTTAATTCTTACATCAATGCTTATTCGGCATCTTCCTCGACATCACTGGTTTCAATGTAGCCCCCACGCCAGTTAAATCCCGCGCAAGTTCTCTTGACAAGCTCTTCAACGTCTCGGGCGTTCAGCTGTCCACGCTTCTTGAGCGTAGGGCACAATCTCTTTGCGAGGTTATCCTCAGATTCAGTTTCACGGAAATCCCCAAACCAGTTAAATCCTGCGCAAGCCCTCTTAACGAGCTCTGCCTTGGCTTCCTCCACGGAAAGCCCAGTTTCACCTCGCTGCTTAAGTGTCGGACAGAGTGTTCTTGCGATAACCGCATCATCCACAGGGGCTGGGGCTGCCGAGGCGATGGCAGCAAGACCAGCAAAAATGCTGAGTGCGGCTTTGAAATGCATTGTGATAAATTTATTGAGGCAACTGCTGGGTTCTTCAAATGGGAGGAGGGCTTTTGCAGACTTGTGTCGAAATTGGAATTTTGTTCAAAGCAGGCGAAGATGATGAAGCAGCCATATATATGTTGATTTGTCCCATCTTCTTACCACGGCTTTTTCCATGTCAGGTACTTTACCCCCCACTGTCAGCCTCTTGTCACTTCCAGGATGATCATCAATTGCAACCCTATCAATGCGGTGAAATTCCCTCTCTTCATCCTATACCATGCCAACATGGTATGACGCACTCACCAAATTTCGTTGGTTATCCCCACTCCAGCTTTAGGGTAAGAAATTTGTATTCTCCGAAGCTGTAGTAAAAGGATATCCCCGGATATTTTACGACGCTTGGGCCGCTCTAGGGTAATAGTAACAAATCTACTTTGTAACTACGTGGTAATTCCCATCCCATCGCCACGAAACTCTTCACCTTCACAGATGAACATGCAATGAGAGTGGCAACAATGGCTATACCCGAGAGCGGGGGTCACAGCTGATTCCGTCACGGGTATTGAACAATTTGTTCCCATTTCCTCTGGTTCGCTATGGAGCATGCCCTAGCATTTGCAAGGTGATCAGTGTTTAATCCGAGGGCTGGAGGTCAGGGGTTCTCCCAGGCTCTGACCGTGAAAAGTTTCCTTCTCCATGATAATAAAATACCAACGCCATTCAAGATGTCGGCTGAGGGCAAATACTGACGAAATCCACTGAGTCATATAATTTTTTCACTTGAAGAAATGGAAATGGAGGAAAACGTGGCTTCAAAGCCAGGCTTTGAGCAGCTTCGTCAGGAGGGAGACAATGAGAGCGACCGTGACATGCTTTCCACCGAAGAGGACGGCTTTCTGGGGCAAAAAGCAAGATTGAGAAAGAGACAGAGAATGTGGAAAATTTCCGCCCGAGCCTGCACAATCTTTAACATCTGTTTCACTATAATTTTGCTGAGCATTTTGGCATTGACATCTCGATCGAGGTGTTATGGGGCACCCGAGCCTCCATATTGTATGTTTTTTCCTGCCCTCCCTCTCAGTTTATCGTAAAGGCGGACATCTCGGTTCCTAATAACCCATCAATAGCACCATTATGGGAAGACGGAGCAGTCAAGTACGTGAACAAACGAATTAGGCCGATGAAAATTTTCCAGTCCGAGACCTCTGATGAGGTCGAACGGGCTTGGAACGCCACCCTCGGACGTGAGATTCCCTCCCCAATACCTATAAAAAAGTGTTAAAGGCATCGAGCAATGTCTAAGGGAAAAGATACACAAAACAGCGAGCGAAGGCGTTATAACCCTCCCGAAAGAATATACCTCGAAGCTTCCTCAGACGCTGGAAGCCTGGTTTAAGCCAGGACACTATGTATATGGTGTTTCTGTGTTCCATCAACTTCACTGCCTAAACCGCATACGCAAAACGTTCTATGCGGATAAATTCTTTGCTCATGAGTCCGAAAAGGATATTCAATTTCATAAAAGTATAGTTCCATTCTAAATCATTCCCAACTTTCCAGCTCTAATTAGTTGAGATATAATTACTTACTAACAACTAACTCCCTGATTCAGACCATTGTTTTGACCTACTTCGCCAAACAATTGCATGTAATGGCGACGCCTCTTTAGTTTCTTGGTGGAATAGGGATTTTACCTACAAAGACAATGATGGCAAGAAGCAACTCACCCAAAAATACCTGTCAATGTCACCAAAAGAACGAGCGAAAGAAGCTGTTGTATTTTGGGATGTAAAGACAAGATGTCACGATTTAGATGCGATCACTGCATGGACGGAAAAGCACCGAGCAAAGTGACCGGATTCAAATGAAATTCCATAGATTTCACTCACGTATATCTATATGTACCTAGACACCTATATATCGCACTGTATGTTCCTTCATTGAGGATTGCTAGCAAGGTATCTGTCTCCCTACCAATTTAAGGATGAAGGTGGAACACGTCAGAACACCAAGAAGTTGGATTTGAACAGGATTACGACTTAAAATCGCTTTGCAGAGAGTCGTGATTCGGGGTCTTTAGAGTTGATTCGCTCATGTGCTTTATTTCGTTTCATAAACTCCACTATTTTATCCATCAGTTTATTCGAAAGATCCCCAAAGGTATGTATTTGGAAACGGATAGTTGCAGCGTGCTAGTATCGCCCTTGGGGCCCGGGAAATGTGCTTGAACCGGCCCCACTGGCTCCGAATTGTCTTTCTGCTTCCTGCCTTCAAATCCTTGACATGAACACAGCTTCCGTCTCTGGTTCGTCATCGCCGGTAGCTAGCGTTTCGCCGATGAATCGAATGGCCTCTGTTATCATGGCTGGCGTTACTTCGTGGCCGGCCCCATCAAAAACAATATCTTCCAAGGAAACCCTACCCTCGGCAAACCAACCACCAGAAGCAATGGCTTTCTTCAACCAGGTTAAGAAAGGCTCGCCACGGCTATATGGTACCAGCTTATCTGAGCCGCCCGACAAGTTCAGGATCTTCTTTCCAGCTAGACATCTCCTCATGATTGTCTTGAGTGCTTTTTGTTCAGCCTTTGTAGGTTCGCGCACAGTGCTAGGTTTTATTGGCTCTTTTAAACATGAATCGTCCATTTGGCTGAATAACAAGCCCGCCGGATCCCAGATCTTTACCATATCCACTAGGTTCTGCGGAAAATCTTTTGAGCCCAGGAATTGTGAACCCGGAGGACTACTGTCTTTCCATGAAGCCAATTTTGAAAGTCGAGCACGATCAGACATTAGGCTAACATAGTCTGGGCACCCAATGACGATGACAGCGGCTCTTATCCGTGGTTCGTGAAGTAGACAGTGCCATGCGGCGTGAGCGCCCAGGGAAACGCCGAGGACTAGACTGTTGGTAATGTGTCGATCAGCGTCTGGAAATACGTAGCTGCCGATAAAATCCATAATTTGCGAGACATCGCGAGCCGTGCCATCTAGACCGCTATCATGTTAGTCTAAATATTCAATGCTCGGCCGTTTGTGGGCACGGGGTAACCTCGGGACCATGTTCAAGGCGGTTATAACGGATAGTCATCACTTGCGCAGGAAATGAGATACGGGGAATATTACGTACTGAAGATCGAGAACATGTCCTGCGCGTGATTCGGATTTCCCTGCCTCCAAGCCTCGTTCCGAAGTTTATCGACTTCTCGCGTCCCATGATTCCTCTGGTCGAAGCACACAGCAATTAGACCGTTGTCTTGTTGACTCGTGCTAACCTTCCCATTCTTCAATCTTTCATTCCAGTCTGCGACCGCAGAAGTTGCAATACCCTTCATGCTCTGCATTGTATTACCTCGCGGGTGCAGCACATATAAACAAGAAACATGCTTGCACTGCACTGGAAGCTCCTCGAGCCCATGCACAGCGCATAAAATGCCACCGATAACGAACTCCTTCTTTGACACATTTGGGGAAGGTGTGGCATATGTCTTGACCATGGGGTCAATCGGGTTTGCCATGTTAATATCGATAGGCGCGAGGTTAATCAAGCACTCCGTAGGGAAGCAAGTTTTAAGTAGCCCAGGAATGTGATCCACAATTGAAGTCAAGCACTGAATGCAATAATAGATATGTTGAAACAAAGCCTAAAGGCCATCAAGAACAAGTGGCATACTTTATAGAAATTCCATGGCTATTGTGATTTTGCGTGATTTGTTGCCCTTATACTTACACGGACTACCAAGGCAAAGACATCTTCTCCCAAAGCTCCGGCTCAGTGCTATGGCCGAGGTTATTGTTGGATAACTCCATGCTTAAAAACTTTTACAGAGCACAGAGTACAGAGTAGTTACAACTTAACTCAGTCATCAGTTAATTACTCTCTGTATGTAACAGAATAGTTAACTCCCTCCTTGCGAACTTGGTGAACAATCTAGTGGCTTTGCGGTGCTGTGTACTCTATAACTACCTGTGACCTGTACACGCTCGGAACACTCAGCATGTTCACGGGTACTCTGTTGAGTCCCGAGTCATTAACTAGTTAATTTAACTAACTACGGAGTAGTTACCTTAGTCAATTGTCCAACTTCTCCATGACCGAATTCATTCAGCAATACCTCTGTTGCACATTCAGTGAACCTGGGGCTGCAACTACAATCTTTCAGCGAGGGAGGAGAGAAAATCAAAAAAATACCTTAGCACTGCTTCCTTGGTGCGGCAAACATAACCACCCCTGATCCAGACATTCAGTTGGCAATGAGAGCATCATCGCTGCTTGTGTGGGATCAAGTACCAGGTCCATCTACCAGAAAGGATGAAGGCAATTCCTTTGTGTTATACTTGATATATCCTTCTTTTATGTTTTAGGCAAGTTGATGATCGTCGGGTGACAATTAGGCTTCAGCTGTATAGCAAAGCTATTCTTAACTGGAAAGGGAACTCCTGGGTTCATTTTGACACTGTTTTCTCAGCGTGAGTCCTGGTTCTGCTACATCCACTCTTGAGTCTTGACAATGCCCTGGTTTCATTGTGGGAAAGAAGGTCGCCTTGACTCCCTGCTTATCAATTTTCCACAGACCTTACTGATACCAAAAGATCCTGCTAACAAAAATTACAATTGTGCTTGTGTTTATCTCACTTTTTGTCTCCCCCTCACTTTATGTAATTCGTCTAGCCCTCTTCCTCACACATTCTCTCTCACATCTAACCCTCTCCATCCCTATATTCTTACAGGGGTAGCTGGCTTGTTGTTCTGGAATATTGGCACATGGCTACCAAAGGACGCATTTTCCTCGCCTACCCTGGCGATCTTACGGTTTCCGTGACACAATATGGCGGGGAGAAGGTCAATGGTGCCATCGAAATAGATGGACCTCGCATGGCCGGAGCCATTCTCGAATAGACCGTTTTATTTCGGGTTGAGAAGCTTAAGTTAATCGAAAATAGTGATTACTTTCAGAATATGTTCAACGGAGCATGCGCTGAGTCCTGTGGTGATTCGATCTCTCTAAAAGAGGACAACATCAAGAGCATGGAACTCTGGTTCAGACTGTTCCACTCCACCCTCTCGCAAGTGCCAGATCATGAAGTCTCCATAGCCCAAGTGTGGCATATGATCGTGGCGGGCGACAAGTAAGACTTTGACCTAAAACAACTTCAATCTTGGTTTGGGGCTTGGTTCGACAAGAAAATACAGGGGCAAGAGCAAGATGAGGACTTTTGTGTCTACCGCCAGCTGCTATTACCTTGTTACGCTTTCAACTTTGCTAGGGGGTTTCAATTTCTTTCAAAACATCTTGTATATGGATTCTCGGATCACATCACGGAACTTTGCCCTATTGCGCACCGGTTATAGTTACTTACCACAAAAAATAATCCGTAAGTCCTCTCAGGTTTAATGACATTAAATTCGCTCAATTATTTCTCAAGAAATAGAGTTTACTAACGATGAAACCCCAGAACAACTCAATGAAGCCAAAGGTCGTCTGCGTAATATTCTCCGACGCGAGCTGTTCTCTCACATGAACCATATTATTGAAGAGGCTAGATGCGATTGTAAAGAGGGTACAATGTTTAGGTATCTGCGCGAGCTTACTAGAATCTGTGTGTGGCCATTGGAAGACAATGTTTATAGAACTAGTATTGTCACCATCCTTGACCGGCTGGAAAACTTTCGAAATGCCAGTATGGGGCCGGAGAGTCGTCCCAGGGTGTCTAATGCACATGCCGTGGATACCAAATCCAATTCTGCGCAGAGTCAAACACCAAAGAAGCGGACTGATCTCAACCGACGTTGTCTTTGTGTCCGTGATTGGAAAGTTGCTGTGATGCACGCGCGAAGAAAGACGAGTGGGTATTTTGAGGGTTTATGCATTGACGGTATGAATGCAACGAAGAACCTCCGATGGGGCGACAATCCAGATTACTGGCGTGATAATCATGATGAGGGTTGTAGAATCCAACATGGGGAACCAACCTTCTTCTTTAGCTTCATGGGCCAGAGGAAAAATGGACATGCTTCGAGACGCTAACAGTGAAGAAATGTTTAATGCTAGAGACAATTTGCGCTCAAAGGCACTGTCAAGATTATGATTTTACAACTTGAACCTGCATTTTGTTATTTGCATGCAATCTGGCGTGGGTGCTTTCTTTCGATTAGGGTTGGCACACCTCAATGAGTTCTTTCTCGTTTATGGCCTCGATTCGAATACCTCGGACAGATATTTTCGTAAGCCAGGGACATTACGGCCATTGAACCGGACATTATTCTGACCGTAGAGCAGATGGCGGCTCCGGATATGAAGAACCTCAAGCACAAGATCTTGTAGAGCGCATTTCATTTGCCAGTACTCCGCATGTAAAAATACAAAGCGTCGGGTCCAAATGAAGAACAAGTGAGACTAATTACTTATGAATGTAGGGGACAAGTTCCTGTTTAGAGGATGTAGCTAATAAATATGGAATGAACATCACCACAAAGCATAAACTCAAAAGAATTTTTGATAAGAATGGTGATAGTAACTTTTGTCCAGGGGGGTTCTTGTGGGCCAACACGACTGTGCACACATGTGCCAAGCATTGGGACGGTGATGATGCTCCTTTTTCTCCAAAGCGTGTCAGCACTCCAAACCTAAGCTTGGAACTCCTAAACATTCCTCAATTCATTCTTGCAATCCTGATGCACGGAATGCTCTAGTGGGATTGATCTTCTCCCTATCTCACCCGAATTGATAGCACCATGACCTGTGGACTGGTGTGAATTTATCGGAACCAAAACAATTTTAGATCACCAACACCCTGTGGCCCCGAACAACAACATGCCACAATAACCAGTGTCAGGTCGGCCACAACATCGGACTATAACAGCCCATTGAGACTATTGAAAATGACAGAGCCCCCGAACACTTCTACGGCGAACATAGTTCCTATTATTTCAGAACGCCCTTCCCCCGACGAAAATGCAGAGAGACTCGCCCCTGAGAGGAGTATCGCCCACGGCACCGAAAACGTACGGGGTATCCCAGGAATAAAGCCCAACGAACCACTTCTTAATGTCGACTCGAGAAGTCCACCCACCCTCGGGGAATCTGAAAGTAGAGCCAACGTCAAGACGGAATCGGCCTCGGTACAACCGTCTAACAAGCCGATTAGCCACCATCCCCCTTCAATCGACGGCATGACCACACCAAGGCGTCGAAGCGTCCAATTTGCTAGAACAGGTACAGAGCGTGAAGCCCAAGATACTACTCAATCGAGAGCCTCATCGTTAGCAGCCCCAGATGATTGGGAGGTGTCGACACCGGATCGCCGTGGTCACTCGTTTCTTTCAAAACTGAGAGCTCTCGCTGCATACCCCTCGTTTCCGACCCATTCAAGATCGGCAAGCGGTGCTACGGTTGGAGGCGAGCCAAGTGATAGCAGATATGGGGGCGAATCTTCGGTGCCTTTGTCAGAGAGAGCGCAGTTTCGGTTTCCTAGAAGTGTGGAGGATGGTAGCGAGGCCGATGCTGATGGAGAATCAAGCTCAGAAGAGAATAAGACACGCAAAAAGCGAAAAATGAAATTTAGAGGACGGTTGCCCGGAGACGCAGGCCCGCGTACTGAGCCTTCTTCTCCAAAGACCACCGAGCGGTCCCCATTGCCTGGTTCTAACTCATTTTCCCCTCCTGAAGATTATAATCCGAACCCGCTGGCTCGGCGAGCCACTATGTCATCTGTACAATACCATGGGCGGGAAGGTGTATCTGAAGATGAAGGCCGGGATAGGCTAAAACGGGACTCGATGTGGCGTCGCAGAAGTGGGTGGCTACAAAGTGCTCGTGGCCTAAGTTACGGTGGAACGCTTCGTCAGGAAGGGCGGAACTCTCAGGATGAAAGGAGACCTAGTAATCTACGACGACTCACCGGGTTTGGAAACCCATCAGAGGGTGCCGAGGGAATTACTGCGGCCTGGAGAAGACACAAGGCTGAACGTGGAACTAGCCTCAGCGCCCAAAAATGGCGCCAGATCAAAGCAGGACTGAAAATGATCGGTCAAAGAAAGAAGCCTGAGCCCACCGTTGATCACGTAAAATCAGCAGAGCTTTTAGCAGAACTAACATCAGGCGTTCCTGCTGCTTTGCTCCTTGCAAGTATGTTTCAAAGAGACGAGCATGGGAGTAGACGCATACCCATACTCCTTGAGCAGTTAAAAGTTCGCATAACTGACAGCCATTTTGACTCCCATTCTGGTGATCGCCACTTGGTTTTTCGGATTGAGCTAGAATATGGTAGCGGAATGACGCGCATGAAATGGGTTATCAACAGAACACTCAAGGACTTTGCAAATCTACACATAAAGTACAAGCTTCAAATCGGCACCCAAAAGTACATTCATCTCAGAAGTCAGGAATCCGGGCATACTTTACCGCATTTCCCGAGAAGTGCTTTTCCATATCTGCGAGGGGTAAGGGGCCTGGATAGCGATGCTGAGGACGAGGAAGAAGATCCTGGCGATGACACGGCTGCCGATGCCACTAGTGGAAATGAAAGGCCATCGAAGAAGAAAAAGCGACGCTCCTCTTTTGCAATTTCTCGCCGGCAGTCAAGTCTTGCATCTCCACCAGATGGGAATGCTCCTGTCACTAATCTTGATGGCGTCGCAGACGCTACAGCTTCTGGGGCACCCAAAAGAGAGTCTTACCCCGAGAAGCAACGCAAGAAACTTGAAAACTACTTACAGAAGATGATTCGTTTCCTCATATTCCGCCCTGATAGTAATCGTCTTTGCAAATTTCTAGAACTGTCTGCGTTGGGAGTTCGGCTCGCCGCAGAAGGAAGCTATCATGGTAAGGAAGGCTTCCTGATAATTCAGTCTTCTAAAGGGTTGGACTTTAGAAGTGCATTAAATCCTTCCATGATAAAATCGCGACATTCACCAAAGTGGTTCCTGGTCCGGCATAGTTATGTTGTATGTGTGGATTCGCCTGAAGAAATGCACATATATGATGTCTTTTTAGTGGACCCTTTTTTCCAAATTCAGGCCAAAAAGGGACGCCTCAGAGACAAGAAGCCCAAAGAGATTGCTAAATCCGCGAAGGAATCTGCTGCCCATCCGCAGCACCATACACTTAAATTGCAAAATTCCGAACGCAAATTAAGACTTCTAGCTAGAAACGAACGCCAGCTTCACCAATTTGAGGATTCTATACGCTTTATGATCGAGAGTACACCTTGGTCCAAGCCCAATCGTTTCGACAGCTTCGCACCCGTTCGGACAAAGTGCTTCGCACAGTGGCTGGTTGACGGGCGTGATTACATGTGGGTGGTATCCCGTGCAATAAACCAAGCTAAGGATGTTATTTACATCCATGATTGGTGGCTAAGCCCGGAACTTTATATGCGGCGACCAGCTGCCATCAGCCAAAAATGGCGACTAGATCGCCTGCTTCAACGAAAGGCCCAAGAAGGAGTGAAAGTATTTGTTATCATGTATCGAAATATCAATTCTGCTATTCCTATTGATTCCGAGTACTCGAAATTCTCCCTTTTGGACCTACATCCGAATGTTTTCGTGCAGCGATCGCCGAATCAATTCAGACAGAATACGTTCTTTTGGGCCCATCATGAAAAACTATGCATTATTGACCACACGCTAGCCTTTATCGGAGGTATCGATCTTTGCTTCGGTCGATGGGACACTCCGCAACATTTACTTACTGATGATAAACTGACGGGCTTTGAGTTGACCGATGCTCCAAAGGATGCGGATCATTGTCAGCTGTGGCCCGGCAAGGACTATTCCAATCCGAGGGTGCAGGACTTCTATGACCTTGACAAGCCATACGAAGAAATGTATGATCGCGAAGTGGTACCGAGGATGCCCTGGCATGATATTGCCATGCACGTTGTTGGCCAGCCAGCTCGAGACTTGACTCGCCATTTTGTGCAGAGATGGAACTACATCCTTCGCCAACGGAAGCCAACAAGGCCGACTCCATTTTTATTACCACCACCAGACTTTAACCCCGCGGATTTAGAGGCACTTGGCTTAGATGGTAGCTGCGAAGTGCAAGTTTTACGATCAAGCAGTACGTGGTCAACCGGAACTCCCGAAGTTACAGAGCATAGTATTATGAACGCATATGTCAAAATGATTGAAAAATCTGAGCATTTCGTTTATATCGAAAACCAGTTTTTTGTGAGCAGTTGCGAAGTCGAGGGAAAGAAAATCGAAAACCTTATTGGAGACGCTCTAGTCGAGCGGATTGTCCGTGCCGCCAGAAATGAGGAGGATTGGCGTGCAGTTATATTGATTCCGCTAATGCCTGGTTTCCAGAATACCGTTGACACGGAAGGCGGCACCAGTGTTCGGTTGATCATGCAATGCCAGTATCGGAGTATATGCCGTGGCGAAACATCCATATTTGGCAGACTACGGGCTCAAGGTATCGAGCCTGAGGATTATATCCAATTTTTTAGTTTAAGATCTTGGGGTCGTATTGGACCAAGAAAACACTTTGTCACTGAACAGCTTTATATTCACGCAAAGTGCATGATCGTGGATGATCGAGTTGCGATAATCGGATCCGCTAATATTAATGAACGGTCTATGCTTGGTTCTAGGGATTCGGAATGCGCAGCAATCGTTCGGGATACGGATTTGATTTGGTCCACGATGGCTGGCAAACCATATTTAGTTGGTCGCTTCCCGCATACTTTGCGAATGCGTTTAATGAGAGAACATCTCGGCGTCGATGTTGATGAAATTATGGAGCAAGAAATGGGAGGTGAAGTCGAGTCAAGAAAGTCCCGACAGGAGAATAGTGACTCATGTGCGAGCGAAGGCCCACGGGACACTGATAATTGGGGCGAGAGGGAGGACGAAAGAGAAATATTGGAGCGAAGGCATCGGCTCCAAGATGAATTCCTTGCTCGATCAGAAGATATGCATAGTTTCAACCACGACGTTGACTGGGAGCAGGCGAACAATCCTAATCTTAAGTCAAACAGAAAACTTACGGCAGACGCTAGGGTCACCAGAAATGCTAGCCATCGAAAGGATCTGGAAGGCTTTGGGGTGGATCAGATGCAAATTCTGCATGAAGCTGGGCAAATTACTGGCCGAGACTCGTTCCTTGGGCAAGACAACGTTGAATATTTGAAGGAGGTAGATGTGAACGAGAAGCAAAAGCTGCAAAAAGATTCCAAACAGCGTAGCGACTCACGCCTGCCAACCCCATCCGAGCTAAACACGCAAGAAGAGGACCATCCATCCATCCTTGAAGCTGCCAACAGTCCTGCTGATGTATTGAACCAGCAGCAGATGGCGTTTCATAATGACGATGCTGCATCTAACCAACCTACGCAAGCTAATCCATTGACGCAATCTAACAATTGCCATCTTATGTTACCCGCGTCCGCTCGTCCTATTATTGACAAGGACTGCATGAAGGACCCTCTTTGCGATGCCTTTTACCTCGATACTTGGCAGGCCATAGCAGAAAACAACACCAAAGTATTCCGCATGGTATTCCGATGCATGCCGGACAGCGAAGTCAAGTCGTGGAAGGAATACAAGGAATATACTGCCTACGCCGAACGATTCGCTGATATGCAGAATAATTACTTTTACGATGAAAATGCGCCACATCTGCAGCCCAGCGGCGGGTCCAAACTCCAGAGTGGCCCTCCAGGAGCGGGTGTTACTTCTACAGTGGGCAAGGTTGGGCACGACGTCGAAAAGATTGGTAGCGAGGCAAAACAAGTGGTCGCGAATCATTTATCAAACGAAGCCTCTGCTGAGGACAGCCTCAAACAATGGGCTGCTGAAGCCAATCGAGCTCAGATTGAACGGCAACAAGAGGAGCTCGCCAAAGTAGAAACTTTGGGAGAGAAGGAAGCTTTGAAGGCTGTGGAGACGAAATCCTCTCAGTCCAGCGGAAATGTAGAACCGTCGGTGGCGTTTCCTGATGTCGATAAGGCATTAGAACGTCAGCGATCGGGCGCTCAGACAAATGGATACCCTGATGCACTCGCCTTGAATGGTTCTCTATCTCAACGGCGGAGACGGAGAGGAACAACACGTAGTTCTAAGCGCGAGTTCCATGCATCGGACGACATCATCAGCATGCACGAGGCAGAAGAGTTGCTCGGCATGGTGCAAGGTCATTTGGTGTTGTGGCCGTACGAGTGGTGTGTACCCCTTTTCCCCCATAGATATGTTCATACCTGACTGACGCCACGTACAGGCTCGAGCGCGAAGAGCAAGGGGGTAATTGGCTATATACACTCGATCAAATCTCCCCTTTGGAAATATAGTAGGTTAACCTTTTCCTGTCATCCAAGTCTTTTTTACTAACTACCATATAGTAACTAAAAACATTCATTCAAAACGCTCCCCTAAGTGGTATCTCATCCATTTTTGCTCCACGACAGCGGACAGCGTATGATTATTCCTTTTTCCGGAGTGGATGAAGTTCATATAACTATGTTTTTAATAATACCCTTGTTTTCTTTTGTTCCTCCTCGACACCTCCATTGTCTTTTCATTCCAATACCAATTCGGAGCCTCAGCCTTTTATTTTCCTTTATCCATAATAATTCGAGAGCTTTTCCAGTATCCTGGTTACTACGTATCGAAATGTCGTGCGTGTCTGATTGAGCACATTCTTTATCTGTCTTGCAAGGATTTCCTACGTCTATGCATGCATGTATGTATATACTGCCCTCCGTACTATTGATTTTTAAGTTGAACAGCGAGAAGGCATAAAGGTAATATATTGTATCCGAGTTAACAAAAGACATATTTCTTCATTCAGGTTGAATTACGGTCCAAATGCGGCTCAAAGCACTTATTTTTCGACAAGCCGCTGAGGAGCCGAAAATAGAACTCCGCCCACAAGGAAAACGCAGTGGGGCGTGGACGATGGGGCAATGACAAATAATGTGGGTTGAGAGCGACACGCAAATGAGGAGCATCTCTTCTTTGGCGGAACAGGTGGTTCAAAGATTTCATGTGACGGACTCGATATTCCGAGATGCGGCGCAATGACATTCCAAATTGAAGAAAAAGAGGGAGCTGGGTAGAGCTTCGTATCCAGTCTAGCAACCGTTCCCAATGGTCCAACCCAAAACTCATTCGCGCCAATCTCCACGGAGTATACTATTTCCAAAGACGGAATATAATATTTCACAACTCCAGAAAGCCCATCATGGGTGCGGCTTGATGGACTTTGATGGAGGATCCCGCAACTAGAGATACGAGGTAGAGGCGGTGGTGGTCCGGTGGACCAGTTATTTATCCAACTACTTCGTACTCCGTGCTCCGTACAGAGTTAAAAAAAAAGGGGCTTGGCTCAGGGACCAGAAGAGCTGAACCCAAGGATCGCCTAGAAACTCTCCGCACTCAAACTTCTCCACGCCGTGGCAGGCTGTCTCTGTCGCAAGGCATTTTCCAGTCTTCAGGAGCAGCTCCAGATGATCTTCTCCTCTCTACTTTTTTTACCAACACTATACCCCACGCGTGATTTCGCGTTTGAGGACATGAGTCTCGTAGGGTGCGCGATTATAGCACCAGTACGGAGTAGTGGAGGACTCCTGTGCTTTGATCGGCCTGAGCCCCAGTTGAAGCGTCTCCGCTGAGACGGTTGGAGCTCGTATGCGGGACATTATCACCATGCCTTGGCAAAATGGTTCTCTGACGGAATGAGAGCGCGACTTTAAGAGGTAACCTGGGGCGCGCCGTTCAATTGATTAATACGGGGCGGTATATATTCGTCCATCATGTTCGATCATTTTTTGCAACGCTTCAGAGTGTATTCCCCCCACGATCCTGAAGCTGGTCGCACACCGGCGATATGGCACGCATTGCCTTGGCTTTGATATTGGGCTTCCTGCTGAGAAGCAGCAGCGCCCAGATCTTCGAAGAAGGATACTTACCTTTGACAGAGTCTAACATCACGGTTGTTGATGGGGAGCAGGGGCTCGGCTCTCCAATCTTGGATGGATCTGATCTGTTTGAAAATGCTATCAGTAAACGGCAGGTTCGCTGCCCACCGGGAACGAGTGAGTTGTGCGGCTGATTACCGCAAGTTAAAATAACTGCTATCAAAGATATGGAAATAAAATCTAATACTTGTTTATTCTCAAGGACTATGCGGTCGAATGTGCTGTCCAATTGGCAATACATGTGTAAGGTTTGATATCTTGTGTGACGGCTGGAACATCATTAACGAAGTCTAGTGTCCCGGATTTTGCTGTGATCCTGCCCATCCAGTATGCCAGCCGAATCGCTTTTGCTGCCCTCGTGGTATGAATGCGTGTGGACCATCAAACCCGACAAGGTGCAAGATCCCTAGTCATTTTTGCTGCCCAGCTCCGTCACGAACGAGTTGTCCGAGAGGAACAACGTGCTGCGGCAACGGCTGTTGCCGAAGTGGTTCAAAATGTTTCAACGGGAACACTTGCTGTGCGCCCAATGCTGTTGCATGCAACGGGTGGTGTATGTCGAAATTCCGGGAAATTCTTAAATATTCTTACTAAAATTCAATCTGGAAGGTTGCCCTAAGGGATCGCAATGCAGCGCCCAACGTGGATACTGCCTGAAAGACGGTGCGACCAAAAGCGGCTCCAAGCCGAGCGAGACAAAGGGCGGCGGCACGCCATCGAAGTCTCCCACGCAGAAGCCCACCAAATCGTCGAGCAAACCCACATTGACAAAACCAACAAAAACGAAACCGACTCTGACAAAGCCAACTTCCAAACCGACTAAGTCTACGAAACCAACGTCTCGGCCTTCGGACGAGCCTACGTTGACTGAGCCTGAGAAATCGTCGACGAGTCGTGAGCATTCAACTCAGACTAGACCAACCAAATCCGACGAAACACCCTCGAAGACTACGGAAGAGCCGACAAAATCCAACCCTTCGCGTACATCATCGGAGAGGTCTGAAACCACACCTGGGTGGACTTTGGCAAGCTCTTGACTGACTGGTCTCTATAGCAAACAAACTGGGACTAGAACGTTTCCATCGATAACAACGTCGGATAGTTCAACAGGACAGGGTTCATCATTGTCAGTAACAGTAACTGATGACCGGACTGAAACCCCTACAAGTACTGCTAGTGCTATCCCTACGCTTATCTTTAACTGGGCTCGTGACCTCACAGATGATGTACGTCACATGTTGTTCAAGCTCACATACTGCGTGCTAACTATAATAGCTTGTTGAGAATATGTGTCTAGGTGAGGATTGACTAAAGAAAGTATTTCCTGTGTTTCAGTTAACTAACTACCAAATCACCAAGGACTTCGAAAACGTAATGCACCAGTAAATGGGGAAATTCTAACTTATGCCGGCGCTAGAAGCCAGAACCGTCAGCAGACACAATGTAAAGGTGGAGATTGTTGCAAAGGTATGTCATAGACTCAACAGAATATGATCAAAACTGAACTAGATATAGGCCAGACAAAGTCGCATGGCGCAAATAAAGGATTCCCACTTTCCTGCGATGAATACCCGTTTTCTTCAACGGTTGAAGGTGGTCCACATGCACATGTTGGATGTATTGTGGCCTTCCAGAATGGTGCACAGGGTGATTACCTTAAAGCTTTCTACCGAGATTATAAATTGAAGAAAGGTGATAAGTATTATATGAAAATCACAGGTATTGACTGCGATGTGGTTCATGAAGATGATATTCCTAAGTGCAATCGCTTTGGGAAGCGTGATATCCTCACAGATTCAAAGGGGATATTCTATCCACCAGATGCAGCCCGAAACACCGGAAGACTTGTGATCGCTCTAGGGGATGTGGAAGCTGGATCGTGAGTATTGTGTCTGCAATTACAGCTAAACCCAAAACCTTGGTCTCACTATGCTTATTTTAGGCATCGCGTCATGGTATCTTTTCCGAAGAATTCACAAATTACAAATGTTTTTGTGATAAACAACCAAGGTTATGAATATGCAGCGTAAGTGAAAGGGTGACAGGTAGTATTTCAGCTCAGAAGCTTACTGCTCCTTTAGGTCTTCGAAGCCAATATCCGAGACAACTTATCAGCTTTCCTTTCATTCAGACGAGGCCATATACGGTGCCTCTTTCATTGCAGAAACAGAGGATTCTCACCTCGTTGCCTCTTCGTGGAAACACGAAAGGGTCCCTGCACCCTCCACAGCTTCCCGACCTCCCAGCACTACGACGGTTACGACCACAGTTGATGGAACCACTCTCACTACAACTTACTGCCCCGAAACTACTGTTACCAGAATTCCTACACCGAGTGAGACCGTGATCACTACTATTATTGAAGGAAGCACGGTTACAACAACTGTGTGCCCCGAAACTGAAATAAACCAGACGGAAGCCGAGACAGCCCAGCCTTCATCGAAACAGACGAGCACACCCAGCGCCCCAGGAGATCCACCAAAGGACCTCCCTCATAATCCTCCTGAAGACCTGCCCGAGCCTCCGCCAGAGCAATCCTATACGCAACCGCCTCTAGAATCCAATGGGCCAGAAAACCCGCCTGAAACGCCCCCATCACCTACAGCACCTAGAACGCCACCTGTTTCTCCACCAGGCGATGAGCCAGAGGTTCCTGAAGGACCTGCAACGAGCGCTTCGGTCGAACCGCCCGCAGGCGACCAGTCAACTTCGCCGCCAATTGCGATTCAGACGACTAACGCAGGGAGGATTTTGACACTGAAGAGATGGCTCAATGGCGTAGTTTGCGTATTGGTTCCCTTCTTCGTGATGTGACGATCTTGGCAGCTCCGTTGAATGTAAATCCACTTCACATGCCTTCCTATACCTTTGAATTAGCTCGTTAATTAACTAGTAATGATCCCGTGATTGGAGTTAATCGCCAGTTCAAATCTGAATCACGATCAGCAGGCAGCCATTTGACCTTGAACTCCGTATAACCACACATATAAAGAATCAGGGAAGGCGACGACAGTCTCGGAGAATTTGTCCCTACAGCTCCCCAATAAGTAGTTAATTAATGACCATCACCGTCAAAGCTTCGCCCCGAATGTTCCTGGGCACCAAAGTGAGCCATCATCGATGCCCCTCGGAACATCTATAAACGCTTTTCCCGGCCTTGTCAATATCTCACAGGTCATTAAGAGCCACCTCCACACCAGGGTGCTTGCGCTGCCGGGAAGAAAAGCCCTCTAACCCGAATCCGGCGAAAGTTCAAACTTGCAGTTACATTGATCTTACCGAGTTTTGACGGGCTTATCCTGGCATACATACGCAACATGGATATTCTCCTTCCTGGGATTCTTGTCAGACTTGCAGAAGAATCTTCTTTTTCTCGATCTTCTTGGCTGGTGTTCGCTCATCAGAAATGTGCATCATAATTTCTCGGAAGCTTGTCTTGTCTGATCTCGTTCCCCGGAGAATGAGGCTGCATGGGTGGGAACCCCACAGTGATCCCGACGCTCTTCTGAGGAGATGCGAGTAAGATTAGAGGGGAGAAGAGAACGTTTCCATCTTCGCATGGGGGTGCTGTAGACCCGATCGTCGCAGGAATCAAAAGGGATATACGCACACGTATGCCCATGGAGGTTCTGAATGAGTCAAGCTTGATATCTTTCTGTCGTGGTGGTCAGCTCGAAAATGTGAATGTATGTGTACCCCCAGCCGGGGCCCATGATGTCGTTACATCAAGTACGAAGACAAGCCCGTCCTGTTCGATTCTCCCGTGGCCCGATGACGTTGCTATATTTAACTTCTACTTTTGGCCCCCAGTCGCCTTCAAATCCTTGACTGATCTGACCACCAATACATATACACGCCAAAGGCAGTGAGAGACAGTGAATCAGGTTTGTAATCTCATCGCCTTTCAAGAGCCTTGCCACGAACAGTATATCATCTGTTGTAAAGTAGTTACACGACTGAGGATGTCGTATTATGCGTATTAGTATGCATCCAAGGTATTGGCCATCAATGAAAACCCAAAAGAACCCAAGAACCAAAAGACCGCTAGCCAAAGGTATCAAAAAGGTAGCTCCAAACGTGTACGTGATAAAAAAAACCTGCTTTTCCGCCCAGTATCATGCCTAAATGCCTGCGATGAATAAGATGTAGATTGTAATAATGGAGATCCAACCAAAGAAGAAAGAGAGAGATAAGCCTCCGACCAAAACCAAAATGGACGCCGATGAAGTGAAGGGGAAAAAAAATAGAAAATTAAAATTAAAAAAAAGGACGATACTGGGATATTACTTCATCCAAGCCCATACCCAGCGGAAGAATGTACGGAAATTTTCTGAAGTGAATCCATCATCAGGGAATTCAAGTCTTCCTTTTCTCTTCTCGCTTGTCACTTGTACCGCATTAGAGAGGTCATTCGATCGCTCTGGGCCCCAGTTATCAAATCTGAATCCGTGTTTTTTGATCTTGTATCCTATGATGAGTAGTATGTAAACGGGGAGCTGCGAAGGCATCGTTAACTTAGCGATCGTAGAAACATAAGAATGAGGAAGGGAAGATGTATACTTACACCAATGTACGCAGCAATGAATCCTTGAGGGTTGAAAGGTGTTTCTAAGAAGGATACGATGCCATTAAATAGAACGAGAATGACACAAGCAGTTAGACCAAATAGTGCCTTTAGCCACTGTCCATGAGACTTATAGGGGTATCTTGGATGATTCCGGTCATAGCAGGCCGCCTGTGCCTCCGAGGTATTACTGTAATCCTTAATATCTTGGAGCCTATGGACCCGTTAGCTGAGTTCGACAAAGGGCGATCCTTTGGAGTATATACGTTCTAAAGAAGCACAAATAGGTCCCGCAGATATTTGCATAAACAATTAAACATGAAACGGTACAATTTACTGCGAGTTCGCTCAGTCTCTGTTGATACGTTTATTAGTTGGACAATTCTCATGTCTGGTTACAGACGGTAAACACTTCGCGACGAGCGTACCTCTCCTGGGGCTCCAGTGGGGCCCATATATGCCACCAGCATCAACGCAGCAGTTACAAGAACAGTCCTTATCGGCACACCTGCATGGCACTGCCGTAATCTCTTCGTAATCCATTCGGGGCCGGTTTGGTCGCGTAATGCCAATGTATGCAAGACTCTGGATGCCACATACATCGAATTGATGGCGCAGGTAAACGCCGAAAACAAATACACGGCGTTATAAAAGTTAGCCAAAGCAGGCATCCCTGCTTCAACGGCCGCTATGACAAATATCGTCTGCGCTCCAACTGACTGTGCTTTTCCATTCAGGAAGGGATGATCAAGAGGGACCGTGAACGAAGCAGTTATCATAGTTAAGGCGTAAAGCGTGATAATACGTAGTGATATCTTTCGCGTTGCCATTTTCATTGCTTCAGAGTCTGCCAGGGCCTTGCTTTCCGCGGCCGTCGCAGCGACAATATCCATACCAATGTAGGAGAAAATGACATTAGTAAGGGTTGTCCTAGAGACATACGGTCAATCAAAGTTCGTTGGATATCTAGAGAAGATTCACAGCTCACCACATGCCGAGTAGAGACCCCATTGAACCGGTCATCATATGTACTGATCCATCCTCATTCTTGATCGGGAACTTACGGTTGAAAAAGCCGTACGGCTCGTCCCAGTCTATAGAAACCTATTAGCCTCCTGTGATGTTTTATACAGGAAAGTGAATTCCTGAAACGTACATTTAGTTCCCAATGGTTTATCATAGTATGCATTCGATCGAGCTGCGCCCTCGTAATATCAGTAACGCCCTTCACAGATTTGAAAAGAATGGGACTCACGTTGCATGGTGTCAATCACAACGCTCATTAAAATGAGGAAGGTAATAAAGGTAAGCTTTATGCTCCCAAAGATATACTCCAGTTGCCCAAAGACTTTGACAGGGAACATGTTGACCATGGTCACTATCACAAGCACAAGCGTAATCCAGACTGCTGAGTGGACATTCTCCCCAACCACCCAGCTAATGTACGTTCGCTTATCTTCGTAGTGGAATTTAATAGAATTCGTAGCCGCGACCAATTGATCTGCAGCAAGTACAGCATATGCGAACCTAAACATGAATATTTCAGTTAAGCAATTGTCCCTTCACCAAATTCCGGAATAGCTTCCTCACCAATACATCCAACCGACGGCAAAACCGACGCCTCTGTCGACAAATCTTCGGGGAAATTCCATGACTGGGGCATTAACGGGCATCAACGCGGTCATTTCGCCTAGACAAGATATCACTGTTGATATAACGGCGCCCATAAGCAGGTAAGCGACAACGGCACCGCCTGGGCCCGCGCCAGCAAGGGATCGACCACTCCCGAGAAACAATCCTACGTGGATCTCAATCAATAAGACGTTCTTTCTGGAATATTCGCGGTGTCATACCATTTCCAATTGTGCTATTAGAAAAGGAGTGAGTGTCAGCATGCAGGTTGGAGCCTGTGGGTGTTGGCAACAGGAGTTTTCTGGCTTACCCTGAAAAAGTAATCATCTACATGGCGAAGATAGTGGGATCAGTTCCAAAGTTCGGATCCCCTCGAAAAAAAAAAAATTATTGCCGATACTCACGTTAATCTGTCTTTCACCTAACACTCTCCTAAAAGCTGTCTCAGTGATGGTCGGGCATTTGTAGGCAGGGCCACGACTCTCTTACCAAACATTCTCTCCGACTCGCTCTCTCCCCGGCTCCGAATAGACAGGTTCCTCGAGAGACATTTCATTGCTACCTGGAGACGGCTCTTCCGGAAAATCGTCCGGAGAGAATTTCTGATATTGCGGCCCCAAGCCGCGAGGCTTATCTTGAGCCATTCTGCTTGGAATTGCAATGTAATGATTGCCCATAGATGGAGCGTTCACATTCTCCGGCGTGTCGTTCCAACAAGGCACGATCGCGTCAGATCACACACGGCCTTGATGGGATCAGGAATAAACCACAGAGAGGCTTTGTGGAACTGCACAGAGAATGCAAAGGAATAATTCTGAGATACGAGAGCATGGTGATTTCACCTGCGCATGGGGGACGTTTGCTTTTTCATTTCTCACACACCAGACGAGGGCTGTGGCTCATGAAAAGCACTGACATGCCCCAGAACAAGGAATAGGAACCAATCGCCATGGCGGGGAGGGTGCGCAGCCAGCGACGAGAGCGACAACGGGGGAGACAGGGAGTAACGCTTGGTCTGACTGACCCCCGCCCTTGCTGCTACACCGGGATATCGATTATTACACTGGAACCCGGAATTGTTCACTTAGTGCGGCGGCCTTGACCACAAGAGAGTTTGCCCAGACCATGAAGATCGCCCAGGGTTCTGCCGAACGGACGGATTACCCCGAGTCGAGAAAAGGACTGGCTGCAGGAAGGACGAGCCAGCTGACTGGGAAGGTATGAGAAGGAGTCCTCTCAGTGACACACACACACACACTCGCTCTCTCTCTCACGACCATACACACGAATCGAGACACGGACCGGATGGTAATTAATGCTGATGATGGCGATGGGTGAAGATGCGGAACTGCGCCTTGGCAATGCCTCGTGGAGGAGGATCGTCAAACTTTGCAGTGCCTTGACGTGCGTTAGGCCGACGCTCCCTTGAGCGTTTCTGGCATTCTCAACTCTTACGCAGCATCTGACTACGAACGTCCAAACTCCAGGGGGGGATACTTTCAATATGTGCTCCGTCCTCATTGTCTGTCTTCTCTCATTGACCCCCATCGCCTGAGATGAGTTGACGAGTCACTGTTTCCTCGGGATTCCCAAGTCTGTCCCTTGGTCGGAAATCCTCAAGCCGGTAAGCCAGCACAAGGAGCAGATGAGGTCGGCTTAAATGTCAGTTCACCCTTTCTGTTGTACTACGGATAGGCGCTGGAATTTGAAATAATGATAATTATTATTTTGGGTTAAGTATCAGCACTTGACTCCATACTCCCTGCTGGCTAACTAAACAAATTGGGACTTAACCCTGCAATCACCGCTGCAAGCCGAAATCAATCCTGCCGTTCGCATCGTCGGCTATTGGTTGGGAGAAAGCAATGAACAGTCCAATTCGCCGTTTGATTGAGCAAGACAACCAAGTTGAGCAACGTGTTCTGGGTTCTGGATTGTTATGTAGCCGTCATGTTCTACTCTCCCACACAACCGCTTAACTCTTGTGCGAAACTGATGCTGTGAAACCCCCCCCCCCCCCCCCCCCCCCCCCCCCCTCTCCCTTGCTACGGAGGAGGACGCTTCTGACTGTCATGCTGTACCACATCCCAAGCCACGGGGATGGCTGTTGCTCGTCGTAGAACCGGATGTAATTCTGCAGTCCTCGTTTAATTTCGCAGTATTCGGCAATGTCGCAAGCGACGTCCCTCCAGGGGAGGCGATTGAGTCTTTTTTTTCTTTTTTTTTTTTTTTGGGTCAATTTGTTTTCTTTCCCCTACAAACAAACAAGCCTACAAGGAATGATTTTGTATGATTTTTTGTTCAGCTTCAAGAGGGCAAGCAGGCGGATAGACTTTGGCACTAAGAATGACTTCGTTTCAAACGTGGCACAAACCTCAAGCCTCTGTCGTACCGGCCTTTTGAATAATACGAGATAATCGCACCTCTTGCGCCATCACGCAAATCCAAACAGCCACAGCCCGGCTGCAGGAAACAGGCTAGAATGCGGCTCCGTCCCTTTTTCGCTTCCTGTGTCAACCGGGCACTGGGGTCTGAGAATCTGGATCAAGCAATTCTCGATATTTGGAAGAAGCCGATCTGCAGCCCGCAATCATTGGTGGGAAAAAGAAGCAGACGCGAGCAGCTCTTGCGACGTTACAAGTCGCTCCACTTATTTCCAATCGATCCGCCAAGTACCCCGGGCACATCAGTGGAGAAGTGTGAGCCATGAAGGAAGCCTAACCTTACCGCCTCGCTGATAAAGGAGTGCCAGCGAGTCAAAAATGAAGGGAAAAATATCCAAAACATACAGGCATTAAGCCCTTAATTATTTCAACGCAAACGCGCAAGGGAAGGAAAACACCCGGTCTGAAATGCCCAGACTTTTCCATCCTCTTGCTGTAAAATCTTCCCCAATACCACCAAAAAAAAAAAAAAAAAAAAAAAAAAAAAAAAGAAGAGAGAGAGAGCATAATTGATCCATCGCTGTGTGTGGAGTCTGAACGTGTCCTCCGTAAAAGCCATTCGATCGCAAGGCACCAAAACAAAAGGTCGGTGTTGTGGGTAGTCACTTGCCTCCAGCCATGTTCCCATCCCATGCCCTTGGATGACGCCCACAAGCTGTGAAAGGGGATTTGGGAGTGGAAGAGAAGAAAAAGAATATTAAGCACGAGGGAGCAAAAAAAAAAAAAAAAAAGGTTCCTATGAGTTCCCTCGTCTCAGCAGACATCCTGTGATGGGCCCACTCGATCGATCTCCCACCCGCAATTTTAATGCCGTCAGTCCCATCGCTGCGAGCTCCGTCAGCTTGGAAGAGTTCAGAAGAGAAACTCATCCATCCACTCTTGCTATCACTTCTCAACCATATTTCACCCTATCGCATAGCCCTAGCCACTTTCCTCATATACCGGAGAGTCCATCCGCCCCCGTGGGGCGGAAGGAGAAGCGTTAAGACGAGATCCCATTGCTTGCAATGGCCGCCGTCGGCTCCAAGGTCAGCCTCTTGGCAAACGTGTGGAAACTTTTGGGGATTCGGCACGACGTCGACGATATCATCCTAGAGCTTCTCGGTCGTTTCTCTTTGGAAAAGGTCTACTCCGAATGCGATCCTCAGACATATCAGCGCCTTGTCATTGCCCTGTTGGCCCGCCTCAATGCCATCTACTCCCTTCAACGCCTATCTTTACCGTCTGAAAGCGAGCAGGCCGGCCAGTATCTGGGCTTTTTGGCAAGTTGGGAAGTCGTCGTACGCTCTGTCGAATTCATCCTGCAAATAATAATCGAAGGGCGGGACAGCTTCTGGGAGGCACGGCCTCTACGAGACAAGTATCTTGCTGAACTGCTGTGCGTCGCATTACGAATATTGATTCTACACCCAAAGCCACCTGGGGGCCACCGGGTTAAAGAGCGCAAAGATCGGTTTGCACGCATCCACGGCTCGCTAGAAAAATTATTCGACAACTATCCCGATCCTAAGTCATTCCTCCTCTGCACCTGCAAAGCCATCACCGACGTCTTGCGTAACGACCCCAATGCCCTTCCGCTGCCCTCCAAGTTACGCTCAGAGCTACCCAATTTGACAACGCAATTGGTGCGTCCAAAACCAATATTTCTTGAATCCCAATCCTATCCCCTTTGGTTACATGGCGGATATTCGGACTGACCGTTGATCTCGGCTGATGAGGAACTTTTAGTACCCCTTGCCGGAATGTCTATCACCTGGTTATGTTTCTACTCTTGTCGAGAACGAAGAGGCTTCGGAGCAATGGCTGGCCCAGTTTCTTGCCCTCAGGGATGTATCACATTTCGTGGTGGGCGCTTTCATCCAATACATCGTGGATGAAGAGACCTCCGACGCTGACCTTCAAGCGTCTTGCGCAAACTCTCGGAATGCAGTTTTAGTTTCGCTGGACAGCTTTCGAATACCTCAGAGTCTCTCCAAATTGGAGATGATAGAAACCTTTAGTGAAATTTTCCGGCTCATTCTACCGGATACCCCAAATGTAAGCATTGAAGATGCATCGAAATTAATGTTCGACGAAGAGGCAACAGATGCGATCCATGCCTTTTGTCTTTCCCTTAATGACCGCCAAGTGGTCCACCGTGTGAGCGATGCTCACTTAATGAATGCTATGGCAAGTATACTTGACAACGTCGCGCTTTTCGTTGAACCTGGTCCGCGACCTCGATCGGCCTACCATAGAGCGTATGCGTTGAATTGTCCCTCTTGCCATTTTGTCGAACATTTTCAGTTCACAGATGCAAACAACTTGAAAATTCCGGTATGCTCTCGCGTCGCATCGTCCAGCAACTCCTATTTTTGAGGAGTCACAAGGAGGCCGTATCAGCCAAGTTAATACTAATTATGATTTATAGGACCCATCTGAAGTCCCAATGATCAAGCTTCCGGAAGGCACAAAGTGCGTTCAATGCGGTGAAGCGGTTACTGTTGCGCGGGAGATCTCACTCGTTTGGCAGGCCTGGGATGCCTTAAAACTAGTGGAATGCAACGCCGACACTATTGGTGTAGAAAGGCACTTGCCTACTCAGTTTCAGCTCTTACCTAAAGCCGGGACCTGCGTGCCGGCGCAAACGGCCGCCGGTAATCACGCTGACATCGGAGTTCCCACTCTGCATGAACCAAAGCTTCCCGGGCCATATACACCTCATGCAGAATATACCGGCTTCTCAAGCGCGGGACCTTCAGATAAACCCCATTTTTATTCTCCTGATCTCGTATCTCCAATCTCCCCTGACCAACGGCACAGATATGATTCGCCACTCAGTGAATTCGCCAGACCGGAGTTCCAGTCTTCAATGAATGACACAATCCATAATAGCAGCCTGCAAATTTCTCCAAATGAGAGGGTCTTGAATAGCCCAGTCGAAGGGACCCTCCCTCCATTTGGCACAGACTTCTCAACGAACCACATTGAACGCGCGAACTCAAGGGCATCGTTTCAACCCATACCACTTTCACGGACACGTACCATTTTAACTTCAGATAAGAAAGGTAAGTGGATGTCGAAAAGAAGAAAGGATCCGCCTGCCTCGTCAGTTGGTGATACGAGCTCCTTATCTTCTGGGACTCTAGAACGCCAGAAAATGGAAGAAATTTCACTCAAGGATTTGATCAGTTTATCCAAAGTGCATGGGAGAGGCAAGGGGTCAAAAAACATAAATGTGTACCTCTCTCAGAATTCAACGTATGCTCTTTTCTGGATGCAACCATCGATACACATTTGGGACGTGGGCATGTCCCCGCCCACACCCATCCGAGCAATCTCAACAGAGAGCTCTTGTCTGATGGCTGCTGTGACGAAAACATACTTAGCATATGTCATTGGAACTCGTGACCAAAAACTCACGGTGAGAACGGTTACGCCCAAGTAATCAAGCTAACATCCCAAGCTAACTCATAGTTTTGTAGCTGCGAATTGTAAATCTCGTCCAGCCCACGGCATTGGTGCTTGAGTATCGTATGCCGTCGACGTTATGGTGCCGCAGCATTGCAATGAGTCCCAAAGAAAACTATGTCGTTATCGGATTCGAGAACGCCACAGTCCGATTCTTCAGAACCACCAATACCGAACAGCCCAGAGAGTTCCGCCTTCATCCATATCACAAACAATGCAGAGGCTGCCCATCTGTGGACACGTTGTCTTTCTCTCACGACGGTATTGTCCTCCTTGCAAGTACGAGAAATCCAAAGATGGGTATGATCCAGACATATATGTGGTCATTTCCCTTCTTAGAATTTCGGGAGCTCGTAAAATGCCGATATTACGTACCTTTGCACGAGTCAGAAGACAACGGAGTGTCGACAGCGCTGTATCGGCCGTCAAGTTCTCCAGACGAGGATTTGGTGTGCATCACCACCTGGACACAGTCCGGCGTTCCCCTCCTCATACAGCCAGAAAATGGTCATAAAGCCGAGATCAAACCCGATGGCACAAGGCGCCTTGGTAACCGTATCCAGTGCGCAGCGTTCTCGCCATCCGGCAACCAACTAGGCCTTGTTAATGATAAAGGTCAATTGTATCAACTGTCTAATCTCAACTCAAGTATCATGGAGTGTCGAAAGCTGGCAACGTCAAGGGAGTTGACCTTGAAATCCGAATCGTTCGCCATGTCATACATGTCGTTGCATGAGGAAGAGTCGGTCGTTTTAGCTTGGGTTGAAATGCCCAAGGGTGTCGCTTATATCAAAAAAGTTCCAATAACTTCCGCTGGTGTGAGTAGGCCCTTTTTCTTTGTTTTATTCCGGCTGCTAAACAGCTATTGCTAGACGGAATATCAGATCTCAACCGCTGGCGACGTTGCTGATGTACCTTTCTCCGAACTTCCTGGCGATACAAGCTTGACAACCCCTGAAAAACCAGCCAAAGAGCCCGGCCGCTTGTTATCACCTGTTTTTCGACAATACATGTCCTTCGGCGAGAGTAAACGGTCGCAGAAAAATGCCGTTGAAATGCCTGCAAATGATATCCATGCGACGAAACGAGTCGACTAGATTTCACGGAGAAAGTCGCCCTTTCGAAACCGTCACGGTTGCCGCCTGCGTTAACTGAGGAGAACATGTCCAGCTAGGATCCAACCTTGAGTATTTATCTTGGCATATCGCATTTGTCGGTATCGCCTTCCAAATATCATCCCGGACACTGCTAATCTGTAGCCTTATAAGTCAGGCGAAGGCCCTGCTTTATCAGCGATCATCCTCTTTTCCATCTGATCGTAAGCCAGGTTCGGGTCTCTTTATACCACCCGTACCAAATTAGGGTCCACTGTCCCACATAATCTTCATATCATGTATTACCTTCCTTTTCTTCCTCTAGTACGCCGAATCGCGTTCCCACTGTTGGTATGGGGACCACGGAACTCTATATATACCCCCCCTTTTTTTTCCCCAAAATAATTTCTCTCCTTTTAAGCTTTCAACATGTAACGAATGAGTTGCAGAGATGGGTGCGGCCATATAAAACTTCGTAAATCCATGCCGTCGGTTGAACTTAAATTGCAGCGTTGGCACGTTGTTGATATGCGAGGGTCGGAGGGAAATTCCCAGCCTTTAATTGGGGGCACAGACATTGATTTGTATCTATATTTGGAACGAGACTTTAACGATGCTACCGAACGGAGTAGTTAAATTAGCCTTAATTGCGCTAAGGTCACCTTCTCCTTACGTTTCCTCCATACATTCGGCGCTATTTACCGTGCTATACTCCGGTAGAGGAGTGATAATAAATCTCACATGTGTTATTCGGCCATTGCCTTCCAATTGATCATGATTCATACCGAATTTGAAGCTGGAACTAAACACGTGTCAGAGTTGAATTTGATAGGATTTGTCTCGATTGACAATAGGGGCTTTCATATATGGGTTGAGCTTGTCCTAAAATACCAGAAAATTTTTGAATTTTGCATAAGGAACATACATTAAGGTGGGAGTGCTAAAAGCATACTTTGTAGCCGAGATCATTGGAAACTCATCCGCAGGCCCATTGGAGTAATTAAAGGCTGTCCTCGCCGGAGCAGGTAAGTTTCAAGAACACCCATGCTATACTCAATGACTCTAAATAGCGATTAAAAAAAGAGCCGTTGAATACCGGGTTCCAGGCCAAGGCAAGATTTTTGTATCTGCGCTCCAGAGCTCCGCATATCGTCCATGAATGTATATAAATCCTCAAGTCCATGCAGCAATGGGTTGGTTGCATGCTTGTGTGGTCGCACATCTGAAAGATTCAACCCTTGTCAAGTTACTACAGTACACGAGCATGCTGATCCAAAACATACCTATTTTTAGCATCTCCCTTTTCTAGTGGCATCACGGGCCAAGCGCACGGATTGAAGCCTAACAATACCAGCCCATAATCCAGTTCCACGCGTTCGAAGAACTTGGGGGACGTATGATAAATATTGCATGTATCAGAGTGTCTAAAGGGTAATACACAGACAGGGCTATCCGTATATATATTTTTTTCTTTTTCGGTGTTGGGGGGGAACCTCATCTGGTGAAATTAACCTTTGAGGGACGATTCGCCAGCTCACAGATTCGAATGTGAACAGCTTGCCCTAGAGACCAGTCTAGGAGTCAGAAGAGACAGCGGTATCATTTTGCGAGTACTTCTTGCGCAAATTGTTGGCCATATTAGGATTAGAGACATGGTCACCGGAGGGGGTTGTGTGTGTTCGTATCGCGAGCATGGGTTTCGGCACCTAAGGTTTTACGGTGATCTGCAACGCAAAATGAAATGTCTCCGATGAGTGCAGCCCAAGCATCGGGTATGCATAATGTCTTTCGTAGAAAGATCCTTGGCAAAGGTCATCTATTGATCTTGTTCTACGGCAAAATTCCGTAGAGAGAAGACCGGAACGGGTGTGCTCCGTAAGTTATTGAGGACTGACGTTTATCGTAATAATCAAATTCTGTCCGTGTAACAGCGCCTCTTCAGGTTACAAAGAACACTAAGAGCCCAGCAATCGAATGCGGAATGAGAGGCGGAACGGGACGGCATTGACTTTGGGGTAGGTTTTCCCCAGGCCTGGCGTAATGTTAGCTTCGGGTCGGTGAAATTATTTTAACAGTACGAAAAATTTAGAGACAACCAGACAAATGCCGTCTGGGTTTCAGAGAGAAGATTAAATCCATCATTGCCTTGCTCTCGCCTATATCTTAACCAACCCTCAAAGAAGGAAGGTCAGGAGCGGCGGGCATGACGTCTGACTAAGGATGATACGAAAATTCATCATCGGGAAAAGGGGAGGTAGCATGGAGCAAAATGACTTACATGGATATCACATTCGACTGAATCTCATCATTCACCATGAGCATATGTACGGCGAAGAGTCTTCGACTGGTTGCTTTGGATAGAACGGAGTACCCCGTAAGCAATCTCAGGACGGCTGAGGTGATCCATCACATGACCTTGAAAATAGCCCCAGGGGTCTCCGTCTGGGGGAGTTAAGTTAGTCCGCACTGGGCATCCGAGGCCGGCCTGGCGGGAGACTTTCGGTTAGCTGAATCATTTGCAACAAAGGGAGGGTCGCTACGTATTGAAGCTAGACTTCAATGTTCTATCATAGAATTCCAACTTGCAAGTGTTCCTTTGATGTTATGCTCGAATTCTCGAAGCTACACAACGCAACGTGACAATTGTCGCGAGCTCGCTTCGCGAGGATAAAATCAACATTATCGGCGATTCATGTGTCCTGGCTTGTCTGATTTCGAGAACCAGGTGGCTTGGTCAAATCCGCTTTTGACGATGCCTCCCATCGGATCTCCTCCGTAGACGGCATCGACTTTGCTGATGGTGCGCGCCTGGTTCTTGAAACATCTGTTGATGGAGTTGTTCGTACCTCGCGAGACTAGTAGTATGCTCAGCCACTCACTCGCCTGCAGAAGTTTGCGTTTCCCGCCACCGGCGGGAATGTGTACAATGTGGAGAACATCCACCCGTTTCCTTGGTCCGTAGCGGCGTATTCCCAGGGACCGGCGGATAGGATATGCATTGATAAATCGTTAAAGGAAAAATGCGTTTGTCTCTCCGAGCAAAGTAGCCTGCTTTATTCCGGCGATGATCGAATCTCCATTAACGGTTTGCGCAGTCGTGGGTTCCCCTGATGGATGTTTAAACAGTCAGAGGCATGCCGAGGCATGCCAGTGCGCCGAGAGGCGGCGCAAGGTAGGCATGAATGGGATAGGTTTTCGAAAGCTGGACAGTGCTGTGATAATACGACGAGAACTTGGACGTATGTATGATAATTCTGAGTACATACTGCCCAAAGTCCAGAACCGGTTTCTACGAGAGATATTCTCTGGGTGCGCGTCTTCTTTCCCTCGCTCGCTATTGATGCATGGTGGCTTTCTTATTTATCAGATAGTACAAGGAACCGAGGGCGAACTGCTCCGTTCGAGGACCCAGGACGCCGGAAGTTCCACGTTGTCCTTGGTCTGCCTCGTTCCCGTTCAGTATTCTTCCATGCAGGGTCATGCAAGCTTCAAAATCTGTCCCGATTTCCGCTGTACAATGTAAATCGGACAGTTTCGGTTGGTCGCCACCAAGCTGGATATTTTCAGGTCGTAAGTCACCATGAGCGAGGTTGAGCGATTCAAGGAAAGCAACGGCGTGCGCAAGGTCGTTCAGCCATTCCTTTCGTAGAGGTAGGGGTTCCAACTTTTCCACTTTAGTAACGATCATAGTTTGCTGGTCCTGAACATGATTTTTCTGTGTATCCTAGAAGAGAGGGACGTATCTAGTGACGAGATTAGAAGACGCACATGTCAATAGAGATCGCAACTCTCATATACTCGAGGAAAATGCCGTTGGTTGAGTAGAAAAACACTGCACCAAAGAGGGGCAAGGCGGATGTCGCGAGAAAATGTCATAGATTTCGAGTTCCTTACCAAATTGCTCTCTCGAACTCTCCAGGCTTTGGAACATTGTCTACAATGCTCGCGAGGGTGGACCTCATAGACGGAGGAGATGCCTCCTCCCCAAATCCAGGGCACACCAGGAAATCGGTGTTGGATATCCATGATAATAAGGCAATGTGAGAAACAATGCCTGGGAGAGTGGGGGCAGAAAATATTTTGTGCTCGAGGAGAGGAGAACGCGAAGGAGAGGAGTCCCAGCCGCCTAATGCATTCGATTGGTTTTGGTTCGTGTCTCTTTGGTGCCTTATTTGTCAGGCCAGAAAGCCATCGCCCAAGTGATGTTTACCAGGGGAGAGCATTTGTACCTACCAACCAGGCCACTATCTTGCACTCATAAGGCCACGACTTACATCAGCTCTAACTATTGACACTGTAGTTACTCCGTAAGCTTGGATAAGAATAACAGCATGGCGAGTGCTCCTAGACTCAAATTAATATCCAAAATTCACCCCTTGCCTCCTTCAAACTCTTGATTGGAAATGATATCATGGGAAAGCTACCCATGTTCACCATATTCCGCGTGGGTGGAGAGCGCTTTCGGATCGGCAGGGATGGTACAAAAATAAGCGGGCCCAAACTCCTTACCAACAGCGACATTACACTCTGTGCTACCAGTTGTTTCTCACGAGATGATGCAGATAGCATGCTCGTCCGTACGGAGTACGGAAATGGCACGGCAAATATCATCATTTCTGATCTGTCTGTCCTATGCCCTGAATATGCAAAGGATGAAGGTCGCAGCGGCATGATCCAGGTTTGTTTGTTCCCTTAAATCCCCGAATGTCAAAGTTGGCCGATCGGAGCGGCATTACGGAGCAATTATTACTGTCAATCTTTCAACCAAATTTCTTGAGGTCTGCCGTTCTCGTACTGTGGAAAGAGGATAGCTGGCTTCTCTGTGCTCTGTATCCCTTTTCCATATTCGATGATTGATAGGAATCATCGCCATCACCGTACTCCGTACGGAGCCACCCACTGGATTCTTGAAGACAAATGTTTTCCTTCATTCTCCTTTTCCCATTGCTTGCTTGGAATGGCCTCGAAAGGCTTCCCAGCACCACTCTGCCGCATTTGCCCATCGCCCTACGGGCGGCAGCCGAAGTTGACAATTCAGGATGGCGCAGCCGGGGCAGACGGAGCGCCAAGCTACGGTCAGCGCTGAGCAGTGCCACTTCATTGCCAATCCGTTTCGAGATCGTTTAGGCCGATATTCTCACGAAGCCCTCATTGGAGTGACCCTCAGCTGAGTGCGGCACACTGCGCTTTCATTGGTGACCATTCACAATGCCGGTGCTATTTAGCGCGCTGGAGCTTTTCCACATGGACTCCACATGCGGGCCTTGGACCACTAACATCATCATACAGATTTTCAACGGAGCCCTCCGTCCATAACGCTCCATTCTTTACGAGCGTGAAGGGTCACGCTCGAAGGAGGCAACTCGCGTCAGCCTTGAGAAAACCATCATTAAGCCATGATGTTCCCCTCCCTTACTAAAATTGGAAGCATCGTTCTTCCCGAGAACAAAAACCTTTGGCCATCTTCCCTTGTGTGAAGTTTTCACCCCTTTTTACAGATGAGAGGCTTCTCATTTTCGTTGCTTTCATGTGCATGGAGCAATAGCCGTCATTGCTAGCCCACACCTTTGTTTAAGGGAGTGACATCTTTGTCAAAGGGTCTTATTCCGCGCTACCCTGTTTGTTTTGAAGCAAGCCCGCAAGATATGGGGAGATTTGGCTGTGCTTTGGTGTCTTTGGCTCTCTTGTCATCTGCACCGTTGAGCTTTGGAAGAGTGTTGTTGGGCTCAGATGTGTCAGTACTGCCAAGGTCGAAGGAGCAAGAACCATGCGCATTAGTGGCTGCAGCGCAGCAAAAGCAACTGTCGGGGAATAAAAAGGGTATGTACGGAGTAATCTCCATATACACGCACTTTTTTTATAGTTGTTCAGTAAGGCTAACACGAATTTCTTGACCGGCTTTGCAGAGAAGACTTTTCGTATTTCAGCCGAACTGGCTCATGCCTGCTTACAATCGGTCCCATTCAAAAAGCGAGATGCTCTCCGCTTGATTGACGGCCTAGATTCTTTCTGGCACTGGCAAAGCACCATTGACTACCTGAAAGATCCTCCAGAAGGTTATCTGATGCCAGCGACGGATCTTGATAAGGGAATATTACGAATTCGAAACAAAGCTGCTGCGAATAAATATGAAAATGAAATCGAATTCCAACAGGATATGCTCGCTCTCGTGAATAGCGTCCACGATGGTCATTTTAATTTATATCTGGACGCTATCAACATTTTCAGTTTCCGCCGAGTAGAGTTTGGACCGATAGTGTCCCTATCTTCAGACGGCAAGAGCTTGCCCAAGGTCTATTCTTATAGTATGTTTTTTGGATTCTCGTTGGTATAGCAACTGGCTAACGTCCAACAGATGACTTAAATGGTAAATCGAATGGAAAATGGAGGCCCAGCGCTATTAAATCGATAGACGGCGAGGATGCGCAACAATGGCTTCGCCGTCTTTCGTACCGCGGGTCCGCGCAGGACCCTGATGCACTATACAATGCCCTGTTTTATAATCCCCCAGGCCATATACAGGATGCCGTTGGTGCCTTTTTCACTGCTCCCGGAGTGTATACTGAGCCTCAAATTCATGTTGAGTTTGAGAATGGAACCAAGAAAGAGTACCAGAATGACGCGATCTTCCACGTTGATTTTGACGGGGTGAGGGATGGTGAAACATTCTATAAGAAATTTTGCAGTGGAAATATAGATCAAGCTCCAATGCTAAAGAAAAGAGAAGTTGAATTGCAAAAGCGGTCCAGTGCAAGTCCCCGTCGACATTTTCCGGAGCCGGTTGTTGAATTTAGTGATGGTTCCATCGCTGGTTATTTCCTGGAAGGCGACCATTCCGATATAGCAGTCCTTTCTGTTAGCACCTTTGCGCTAACTAAAAATGACGACAATGTTAATGCAGAGTTCAGCAACCTGACGTCGACATTTCTAGCCGCAAGTAAGAAGGCAGGGAAGAAGAAGCTGATTGTGGATGTTACTTCTAACGGTGGTGGCTCTCTGTTCCTAGGGTTTGATTTATTCATGCAGGTACGTGAGGATCTATCCAGTTGAAATCCTCACCTCTAATTCATGATAGCTTTTCCCGGAAGCAAAAGTGACCAGTGCATTCAATCTTCGAGCGACGAAAGAACTTGATATCATTGGCAGAAAAATCAACCAGTTGCTTAAGGATCCAAAGACCATGGGTGGCCGGGGAGCTGCTTATGAGAGGAATGGAATTTTCGATCTCAACTCGTATGTTGACGTTGACGAGGGGAAATTTAGGTCGTGGGATGACTACTTTGGACCAGTAACTAACGACGATTTCGATTTCACTAACCTCGCTCTCTGGGATCTGGACAATGAAATAATGTCGCTGAAAACTAGCCGATTTGTTGTTGCAGGTTATGGATCCCGCTCCGATCTGCCATCCCAGGCCTTCGAAGCAGAAGATATCATCTTGCTCACTGATGCCACGTGTGCATCAACCTGTGCTGTGCTTGCAGACTTGATGAAGGCAAAGGGTGTCAAGTCAATCGTGGCTGGAGGACGCCCGCGTCAAGGACCCGTCCAAGCTGTTGGCGGCGTGAAAGGTTCTCAGGTTCTAACGTTTGAGCAGCTCTTCAAAGCTGCAGCGCATGTTTTTGAGCTTTATTCGACACCTCAGGAGCGGCGACAATGGGAAGACACTCATATTGGCGAGATCTATCGCACTGGAACATACGTTCTTGCCCGCACTGTTGGCGACGGAGCCGGGGGACGTATTAACTACCGAAACGCCATTCATCCGGATGACAAAGAGCGTATCCCAAGACAGTTTGTTAACGAACCCGCAGATTGCAGGATCTGGCATACTCCGAAAACTATTTTGGATATGGCCAACCTATGGTCTGTTGCTGCTAACACGGCATGGGGCGACGATGGATGCACACCCGGATCATCCCCCAGCGACTGAAGATTCCGGTTGTCGACGCCGACGTATAGCGAATGCATTTCTTGCTAAGTCGCTGATTTAATATAGACCGATTAAACATCATATCTGTTCATTTTCTAAAACCTCTCCGAGGTTTGGCGTCAGGCCTTTTCCTGTATTTAGGCATATTAATAGTAGTAGTAATAATCTACCACCACAAAATATATATCCAACTCCATATTCTATACGGAGTATGCCCACTGCCTTTCGTCGTCGGTTTGCCTCCTTTTATGGCGCCAAAATGCGAAGGAAGAATTAAGGCTGTGACGATCCATGGATCCGGGGTTGCGCCTTACCGGAACAGGGATAAGCAATAACGTCGGTCCAGCTGCTCCTCCATAGACGCCGCGAAGGGGGCTTGGTGTGACCAAGGGAAAAAAAAAGTTCTGCTTCTTGAAAACTCCCCCTGATTTCTTCATACTTTCGGTCCTTTAGGTTTGACTTACACGCTGCTTTCCTTTTTGAAATTGAGGATCTCCTCTGTTCTCTCGCTTCATCGCGTCCGGTCGCGTCAATTACCTAGTCGCTCTTTACACCTGACTCGAGTTCGCGCGTACTCTGCCTGCGAAACAAACCGCCAGTTGTCCTTCGGAGCCCCTAATGATATCCAATCGCGCGTGTATCTAGGTCAACTCCGTGAACTATTTGCTTTACGTTAAGTTGTGGGGAGCCGTTCCCATATGTAGTTGTTGGCGCGGACCTTGCGAGTCCTTTCGCAATTCCATGGCCGAGACGGTGTCCATTACGATATGCGGTGATGGAGGATGTGGTACGTTGCGCCAGTACCCTGGGTCATAAATATATATTCCCCTAGCTACCACTATAACTCGACCCCGTGCTCTTTACGTTGGGCCCCCCTGCACTTGCATCAATGCTGGTTACGAGAACCGCTCACCGGGTTGAAAATTCGTGAACTAGGCTAATTTGATTAATCTACAAAACTAGGCAAGTCGTCAATTACATTGCGACTTGTGAGGAGCCAGTGGACTCATGAGTTAGTTCCTCCATTCTTCTCTCTTCATTCTTGACTAGCAGCTAATCCTGTCTGGCACGTTTCCTACAGGTATGATCCAACTATCGGTAAATGCATCCCGAGTACAAGATTTTCATTTTTGGAGCCAATGGATATGCCACATTTCAGGCTTTTGAGAAGAGAGTTCTGACAGGGGGCCCCCACTCGCTATGCGTTCACAGAAGATTCATACTCCGTCACCCGTACTGTGGACGGCCGGCCGTATTTCCTTTCCCTCACCGATACCGCTGGGCAAGAAGAGTACCGTGGTTTATGGGCAGCGTCAAATTTGAAGTCAGATGCGTTTCTTCTCGTTTACGACATTACGAACGCTTCAACCTTGGACGCCTTGGATTCTTTTATGGATATGATTGATTTGGAAGCTGAAAATAGGCTTGAGAATAATCAGCGCTTGATTAAGCAATCACGAAAGACTAGTCCAGGAGCAGAACGGGTTGCCGTAGGCATGGCTCCGCCAGTTACCATTGTCGCCGGAAACAAATGCGACCTCAAGGACGCACGGACTGTGAGCGCAAGGCAGGGTTTGGAATGGGCTAGAAAGCGGGGGTGCGGGTTTATGGAGACGAGCGCAAGAGAAATGGTAAATATCGAAGAGACCTTTGCCCGTAAGTTGCGATCCTTCTTTTGGCTTAGTTTTACCTTGGCCTTGAAATCAGCAACGATCGAAGTATCTTGAAGTATGTGCGTGTGGCTCATATTAATTAGTGATCGTTCGTCGCGTTGTTGAGGCCCGACGGATCCACCACCTACAACAATTCCCACCCGCTAGCCAGGTCCTACCACCGCAGAGTTCACGACCGCCCATGGAACGAACGACCTCACAACTCATCGCGCATTCTCATACACCACCTCTTACAGCTCATGAGCGAGCTTTGAGCGATGCTGTATACAAGGCGCAGGGAGAGGGGTCCCAGAAGCAATGGCTTGGCTTAGGAAGAGCTCTTTCGAAGAAGATTGCGAAAATCCGGAAGAACAGTGATACTCCGGCCCCGACTACCGACACCCCGCGGCGGCGGAGCAGAGCAGAATCCTCGGCAGCAAGGTCTCACAAGAGGAAAATCTCTAGCGCGCAAAGTAAAGCTAACAACCATGAAAACACAGGACAGCAAGGAACCCAGCGAAATGAACCAAGCTATTCTCGGGAAGATGATGCCCCCAAACCACAGGAAAGCGAGGACGGGAATTCTAAGGAGAGTTGGTGGAAACGAGTTAATTGCGCTCGCTCTTAATCATTTAATCATTTTATCATAATGTTTAATGTATATTTCCTATATCCGAGCTCAATGCATTTCGCTGAAATATCCTAGTGTGTCGATCATTCTCTGATGTACTTCGTTTCGTTGCGATATAACTCCCCTTCTTTGACGTGTTGAAGGGGAACATGCCTTAGGGAATAGGGATCTATCCCTTCTAAACGGAATCGACTGGTCTCACGAGCTCGTTACCTACGAGCCTTCTTCTGAAAGTGTCTACTGAGGCTGGTGAAACAATGTGTAAGTTTTTTTCAATTTCATATGATATGTACATCAGCTCCTGAGCTCCTCTCCAGGCTCTTTTCTATACCTCAGTCGGTCTTCAGGCCTCGTTTCTCTGTTGTGATTAGCTAAAATCGCAGGCTGCGCAGGGCTCGCCAACCATATGGGAAGACACGAGATTCGATGTATGGCAACGGGAAATTAAGTAATTTCCCGACTTCGACACATTGAACGTTCTTCAGTCAATAATCCAAGAAGCTCGGCTAACGCTCTCATGTTTCAAGCTGCGAATCATCGGGTCTCGCGAAAACCCTGACGAAAAACTAAGATCTATTTTTCCATGAGTACATCCACTTATTGCATCTAATGGTAGGCTCCCGTATTTACAAATTTGATTCAAGCGTCACCGCTTCCACCTCTTTGCCTTTTGCATAAATTCAACAAATTGAAGTCAACTTATACCCGGAGCCACGTGCTTCTCGCGCCTCAACTTATCGTCACTTTCAACGAGAAATCCACGATACCCACACCCTGATGGATGCTACTCGTTGACAGTATATCAACATCCTCACATGCAAAGTCTGCGACGTTGTCTTCTCTCAAACCGCCGCTGACCTCGATTAAGAAGCTTCCTCTTGGTTTGCCTTTTGCATCCCACTCATCTTTCAGCTGCCGAGCTGCTTGACGAACTTCTTCAGGGGAAAAGTTATCCAACATTATAATGTCTGCGCCGGCACCGATAGCCGCATTCGCTTCCTCGATGCTGCGACATTCGACTTCGATTTTGACAGCGAAACCACCAGCCGCTCGTGCAGCATCGACAGCAGAAGGAATCGCATCTGCGATTGTTATATTCTCGCCGCTGCTGCTGTGAGATGCTCTGTCTTTATTGTAACAGGCCCAAATATGGTTGTCCTTGAGCATGGTCATTGAACTTAGGTCTTGACGGTGTGGATCAGCACCCCCAACAATGATACCATATTTTTCAACGAGTCTGAAGCCTGGTGTGGTCTTGCGGGTACCTGCTAGGATACCGCCCCATCCATGGGATCGAAGAATGGTGAGAAGGGATGATGCCCTGTACAGAAAGTCAGGCTACTGCCAACATCAACTGCGCCTTGCTGTGAGCGAGACGGCGGAGGCGGAAAGGATATATAGAACTCGTACTTGGTGGCGATCCCTGAGCAACGAGCCAAGATATTTAGTGCAACCCGTTCGCCGAGGAGGAGTTTCCTCATTGGACCCCTGACAATGGCACAAACTGTGATAGGCTCGATTTTGTCACCTTCTTTGACTTTCCATTCAACGCTTTATAGAATTGAGCGTCAGCCAAAAAAAGCCATAAGAAAAGACTCAAGGGAACATTTCACCCGAAGACTTCATGAAGGGAAGACATACGTGCAACCTAGCTGCGCAAAAACCTCGTCGAAGAAAGGAACACCAGCCACCATTCCCTAAACGTTTCACTCCAATTAGTCTCTTTCTGGGTTCTGAAGAGCAGGGCGACTCTTGCGTATTTGTGCAAGGACATAAAGCGGCTCCGTCAAAACAATCTAGCATCCTTCAAATAGGCACAAACACCCAGGAGCAGGCACATAGATCATGCCCGATCCCATGCACCATGGCCAAGATAAAAATGAGCCGCAAATTTCGCGAGTTGGAACACGAAGCAATGTTCTGTGTGTAACGGGGACAGGATCCATCAAATAACCGCGTGGCCCGCTGACTGACGAAAACCAACCAAAGTGTCCATGCCATGCAAGAAGGAGAACTTCATACCTTGCTTTTGCCGAGCAGCTTCGCTTCACCCTCGACCTCTCCAACCACAAAGCCACCATAATCTAAGCTCGGGCAATCCTCCTCCAACCAAGCAGCAACCATGCGCTTATGGGTCAATGGTAGTAGATTGTTAAGGGCTCCGTGATTAGCAGCCATGGCGTCTCTTCGTTATGTATCCGTTGTGCAATATTTTGAGCTCGTAAGGCGGGGTTGTTGAGACGCCTTGGAGTGTGGTCGGCTCCAAAGCCAATCTTCCCCGAACGAACCGCCAAGCCAATGCCCAATGTTGAAACCGTCAGTATTCTAGAACAACTAGTTAGTTCCAAGTGGGCTGAAAGTGACGCAAGACTACTTTTGTCCTCGCCCCTTTTGAGCACTCTACGCGGATGCTAACGCTTCTTGATGAACTTTATTATGTATCTTATGACTTTTCAACTAGCACTTAATTATGGCTGGGTGGGAACTGAGAATTCGGCTGGGCTGAAACATTTCTGTAAAAATAGCAAGGTCCTTTCCAAATGCTTATATACGCGTCAACGCGTTAACTAGATACCCAGTTCATATTCTTCGGAAGGAAAACGGGGAACACGCCTTGAAAAGGATCTGTAGCGTATCATCATGTTTTGTGAGTTCTATTTTTCATGCTTATCAAAATAGACGCCGCGCAGCGCTCGCACATGTGATCTACCTGTGTTGGCTGCTTCGATATTACAGGGCAATATTGCTTCTTGCCACAGGTTTTTGTTCGAACAAATATCAGGTGGCCGCAAGAATGTTTGTTGTAGAGTTGGCGACACATCGTAATCTGCTAGAGAGTTTCGTGGGAATCAACCAGACGTGTAGGCCTCGAGAGAAATCGATGAAATCTGAAATGGCTCGATATCTAGGTTCAGTCGATTGCTTTTGTCTACTCGAACGGATTTTCGGTCGGTCGGTCGATTGTATTCATTCATATAACGGAATGAATGCAAATATGTCAGGGTATCCGTCTCAGTCGATCAAATTTTCTCTCCAGGTTCTATAACTGGGCCCTCCAACAAACGCATATGCTTCTAACGGCCACTCAGGTCCTTCGTCTTCTTCAACCAACCCTGCAGGGTCGGTATTCATAGAATTTGTAGTAGCATCAATCATGTGCTATCGAATGTCGTGTATCGAACTTTGAAATACAGCGACCTACTTATATTCACTCGAAAGCCACCTAAGACGAGACAATTGCAAAGAAGCCCCCAGGAATAATGAAATGCTCATGTAGACATTTAAAAGGATAGACGTATTGTTCCTATCACCATACTTTGTTGTAATTGTCCAAAGGTCAAGACTCTGAAACCGGACACGGACCAAAATGAAAGGTGAGACCCTTGAGTGCATGTATGTACATACATAAACTTGCATATCGCCTTATGCTGCGGGGGAAAGTATCGGGGTTAAATAATGAAAATGATATCCATTTGTTTGCAGTAAGGTGGAATAAAACAAATAGGCCTTTTATTCAGAGTTACCAATTTATCTCCTATGGAATCGTGACTATCGACCCGCCGTAATCCAGTAAATCGTGATCAGTTTGAGCACGACCCGGGATAGTCATTTCCAAGGTATACACAGCTTCTGGTCCGCGATTATCTGGAGGGCAATGATGAAATTTGTAGGCATATTCTTGGGTGTACGCTATTGTTTCCATGCCCTGTACATAGACTTGGCACCCCATTTCTGACCTTTTTTCAACACGCACATACTTCTCCATTCTGGTTCGTTCGGGGCGTTGGCATAACGACTGGGTTCCACACAGAACCCTGACCTTGGTCCCCGCGCTGGCAAGCCAGACACTGCGGGAATATTGATATACTTGCCAGTATACAATTGAAAGGCCGGCTCGGTGCTATAAACTTCCAGGTGAAAAGAAGTTACAAGGTGTTTGAAAGAAGCAAGCAGTCTCATCGGGCGAGATCTAGTGTCCAGCGGAATAGACGATGGGTCCGTGTCCATAACGAAGCACTCGTCGATATCCGGGGTAGTGGCGTTCATAAAAAATGGCTTCTTGACTTCTGTTGAGGTATATCGCTCAATGGTACCGGTAGGTATGCCCTCGGGGTCGGTAGAAAGGTAATTATCCGTTTCCAACACGGCTTCAGTTCCTTCGATCGTCGGACCATTACCTAAATTGAAGTAACTTTACGTTTCATGTAAGCATCGCTCCTCATTCGACAAGCAGCTATCGTCGGATACTGCGACTTGCCTGTGGTTCGTGACCCCAACAACGGTCTCGTCACATTCATCCCCCACAAATTCAACTTCGTACTCAACCTCAAGGACTGTTTTTTGTGGCTGGCCTTCTTCGTTCTCTTCAGCTGCGGTATACCAAACTCTCAATTCAACGGTTCCCGGGTACCCCTCTTCGCCGTCCTTACTCATATATCTAAACTCCAAACCCTCCTTACCGTTTCGATTTACAGGCTTTGGGCCCGAGAATGTCTTAGTATTCCACCCATCCTTTCCCCCGTGAATGGAGTGCGGTCCCCTGGCAGTTGTGATATTGTATGACCTTCCATTGACATTATTGATAACTGCATCTTTCAACCGGTTCGTAGTGCGGCCAATCGTAGCTCCAAAATAAGGAGCATGGTACTTCTGGTATAACTTCTCAGTAGGGAACCCGAGAACGAGGTTGTGGCCTTCCACACGAAATTCTTGGACGATACCGCCAAGCGGGAGGAATGTAAAAGCCGCCTTTTCATCTGACGAAGACATGATAGTTTCAATAGATAAACCTCGTTTCCGGGAAGGATACTCGCGTCTAGAGACTTCCAGCAATCAGAGTTGCAGAGAAGATCCTATGAAAAGTCAATATCTGATGAGTGACATTGTAGTGGAAGACCTCTCAAGGAAGAAGGCTCTTTTCCGTGTTAGTTCCATGTTATATGCGGCTTCGTGACCCTCGGCTGGGGGTCTGATGTCACAATCTCCGTCGAGCGGGCAGTGGCTGGTGGTGGTGTGTAACTCTGACAATGACAAAGCCGACGGTGGTCGCAGTTTGCCCTGTTTGCATCTACCGACTTCGGCGATAAGCAACATCCCTTTCACCGTTTGACCATGATGGGAAAACGGGGTGAGCCCTTTTTGTACGACAAGTTAAATATTCGAATACCACCCCTCAGGTTTCTTGCCATGATGTTTAAATTGACACCGCTCATGATATCTGGTGAGATGTGTATCTAGAATACTCACAAGGAAGTGCGGTATTCGGTTTGGGGGAAAGAGAAATCAAGAGCCGCCAGTCCTAATCGAGTTGATTCCCCGAAGGAACAAACGGTAGCTAAACTTATGCCAGGGTAGTCAGTTAGCTGTTATTTCGACGTGCAACTTCCCAGTAACATCACTGCTTGGCTTTCGAATACCGCAGTTAGAATATACTTGTTGATTTCCATTGCTATGTACGGAGTAGAGCTAACTAACTTACTAGTGTCACCGTGGAATTTCTGAAATCCTGACCTACTTTTAAAACCCCTGCGGCTCCAAGGTTGAAAACTGAACCTCGTCGCAATTCTTGGTTATAAACTTCTATTAAGAGATGCAGCTTGAATTGCCGTCCAAAGAAATCTTGAGTAGCAATTAACGAACTTCAATCCTTTCTTTGACTAATGCTCGTGGAAAGGAGTTGTCTATAGAGAGCAGTATTCCTGCGCAAGAATGCTTCGGCCGCCACCTGCAGTAATGCGGTTTCCTAATTTCAGGTTGATATAGCGGAGACCCAGTTCATAGATCTGCATGGGCCTTCACTAGGAGACGGGACGCTGAATGAGGACTCAGCGTAGTCATTACCCTCTTCACTACTAGTCGAGGGCTTCGGAATTCTATCTATGTCTAGGATTGCACTAGGGCAGAAGGCAAATGCCTCGCCAGTCTTTAGGCAGACGATCTTGGAGAATACATTGCCTGTTACATAAGGTGAGCTCTTTGGAGTCGGTGAGGCTAGTTGCAGCACCGGCGAGATGATTCCGCAGTATCCCAAACCATTTTAGCAAGGTGAAGCGATGGAAGATGGCCACAATACACAGATCCAGCAGGCTGGGAGACAACGTGCTCTTTAGTCGCAATAATGATACGAGTGGCCAAATGACGCCGCTGGCGGATAAGCGAGAGCATTGTTTCCGTAAGGACTGTTGCTTCGCTGTTCCGTGTTGCTAGGAGTTGTGGTTGAATATCTAATAGCAGCTAAATTAGTAATAGCAGGGTCGTCGTGCGCGTTCATGGCATTGTGCCGGCACCTCGCCATTCCGTCGTGCCATCGTATATCAGATCCTAGGGCTGTTGTATCCCTACGGTGGTCATGTCGGTTCTCAACCCGGCCATCCGTTGCCAAGTTGTTGAGTCGCTCGCGTCTTTGCAGCTCGCAGGAGTTCAGAAAGAAACGAGCAGAAAAGGAAGAAAGCAATGCTGAATTTTATGTTATGCTCCGGATGACTGCGAAGCGAAGGGGTATCAATTCAGCTGCTTAACCTATGTGACACGTAAACAAGAGGATTTTCAGCATGAAGGAAAGGAAAAGAAAAATCAAACAAATCCTCCCCTGAAGGACTCAGTATAGCCTCAGCCAGCCTCCAGTCAGCGCGTAACAGATAAAGAAGCAAAGAAGACAGAGAAATCTGCGCCCTTGTGGTGCTGGTGTGCCGTGCCTGTATGTAGGGGTTGCCTGACGCTAACAGAACACTTGCAACCTGGACTTCTTCGTCAACCAGGGGGTCAAAGTTGTTTCCCGCGAGTTCATTTGTGACATCATCACCTGGATTGAACAGAGGGAACAAAACAGCAGCTGCTGAGTGTGGCTGATGAAATCTGGAAGTGCATATCAAATTGTTTCCTTACCCTCAATACTGATGGATCAAGTACACACAGCTATGCTGATAAAAAAGATGTTGGCATATTTCAAAGTTTAATGTCCTATCTCGGCTATTTTAACAACCAGGCCTGTTTGTCCTAAGTGGGGTGGTCCTTGGCAGATTTCCAATGGGCACAATCACTTAGGTTGTAGAATTTCATCCATAACTTTCCTCATCTCTCACTCTCAGAAGCAAAACCTGTTCAGTTTCTAATACAGACGCTCATCATCCCGTGTCATGTACCTCATTTCGAAAATAATACCCGATACCCATTGTGATTTCATTTATGGTTTGACTGGGGATGCTGTATGTGCATATTCAGTCCGAATCCAAGTCCGGCAATCCCAGTCAATGGAGAAGGTCTTCATCATTCTTCAAGCCTCATACCAACAAAGCTATGGAGATATGCAGATCCCAGGTAATAGTTTCTGCTCTTCCTCAGTGTCGAGACAATATATTTACTCCAAAGTCCACGAGAACAACCCTTCTGGTTCTGTTCTCTTTGGGGTTGGGATCCCACTCCACTATCACATATCTCGGGGTGTAGGTCACCAAGCCGTACATCACGGGTGTAAATTGTGGACTCTCCATCAATAATGTGTTCGATGTTTTGCTGTCGTCCTAGCTGAGAGAGCAATCCTGTGGTCGAAGCTCTCGCATCGAAGGCTCAGGGATGAACTCAATCAGAATGAGCTGATCTGTACTCCTTTCAGAAGACAACTCATCCACAGGTAGTCCAAGAGAGTACGACCCTCAGTAAACTGATATCACCATGCCTTCGAGGTCACAGAGCCTGGTATAAGAGGCTGCTTCGCGTGAATAATGGCAACAAACACAAGAGGAAGGGGTCTGTGTCATCACTACTGTGATCGAAATAGAGAGGATCATACAGTTTGGCAACTGCTGTAGGTCACCCTGAAGAGCTTGATTAGGGCTGCTGCCAAGAATGTTGACAATAACAACTTGGGCACCGTAATATTTTCGTAAATTCCATAGGTAACCTTGAAAGTGACTATGGAGATCCGGTCCAGGCGTCCCAGAGGAGAGCGCAAGATGCAACGCTGGATTGGAGGGACTAGTTAGACGTTCAATGTTGGTTTCGTTTGTGAGGTGACATGACTCCATGATGGGTGCTAGGGGCCGTGGATTTACCTCAAACGTAAAACCTCGGTCTTGGATAGCACTAGAAATCACCAGTGTAGGATGGACATGCCTCAAGGTTGACAGTGGCAGCGTTGCTCTGAATCGGCCTTTTCTCAGTGATTAGTAACAAGATGCAACCGCAAGGACAAACAAAAGGCTGTTTTCTATGTCGATGACCTCAGCATTTTCTTGTTGAGAGTGTCAGGAGTAGCCACTTGACTTAGCCGTGCCTTTTTCAGTTAGGTTTGCTTAGTCATATACAGACGGTTTTTGCTCCGTAACTTCATATTGACACTAGTCTTCATGTAGTTAGTCCCGCTCCAGCGTCTCGGCTCGGATCTTCGTTGCTCCGATGAAAACCAAATCCTCTTGAGAGGGGAGAGAGCGAGCTAGCCAGAACGCTCGGATCAAATGGTATTCGTCGAGCTTCTGTTCATGCTGAGTGGGCTAGCTAGCCTCGGGACAGAGGGCGCGAGAGCTTCGCCTGTCTTCTGTGGGCCGGGCTAGTTGGATGACTTAACATCCTTTTTTCTCCCACTCTGTTGACGGAGACATCTCGGATACCTTACATTACGCTGCCGTCGTATCCAGCTCGTTTAGTCATCCTTGCTCATCCAGAATCAGCTCAACCTCGGCCGGGGTTTAAGGTTCTCGATCGGCGACGGATGACTCGCACGTTCGAAAAACGTCGGGACAACCCTGTCGAGAAAACAATGACAATGATCGACGCCTTCCCGACCGAGGAAGAGATTCTTGTTCGCATGGCACGGAACCCGTCAAGGTAAAATCCACTCGAGGAGTGATGGGGAATTCTGGCCATCCAGGTTCCCGGGATATCGGCTTTTGAAAAAAAAAAAAAAAAAAAAGAAAATTCCTCTTTGTGGGTAATAACACATAGAAATTGCAATAATTGCGGATCCTTGACTGTCATGCCAATCAGGCGTTTGTGCTACAAAACTTTTCCAACAAATATGCACCGTTTCTGCAAAGGTGCTCGAGCTTGAGGAGTTGTTAAGGGGCTGGGAATCACCCTGGGCAAACAAATGTACAGTAACGTATGGAGCACGGAGTTCAATGTCGGCGATGTTAGTCGGCGACTCGGGGCTACATAACTAAATCCATGCGGGTGCACGCTGGCTGCGTAGACAGTCTCGGCCAGTGCTAGCATGAGTTCACCTTCAACGATACCCCAGGCGATATGTACCCTGAAGGGGCAGATTCCACTTTGATATCACGAAGTAGGGTACCTATTTGAGCCATTTTTCCAGATCTTTAGACCCTGGCCTACCCGTGCAACCACTCCACGGAGAATGTTTTCTTTTGCCTAGATGGTGGTGGATGGTTTGGCGGAAGACGTTCCTCGGAGAAGGAACCCTTGGCCAAGCACAGCTGCGTTTTCTAGAAGCCTACTGGGGCAAGAATACACGCATTGTCCTCCGTACAGTCACAAGTCGTCATGTGCACACCTGCATCCACCTGATAATACGGGTTGTTGTCCTCAGTCTATACCTTGCGTGCAGCTAATGAGCATTGATTTTTGGAGCGGGGGATTAACTAGTGGTCAGGTTGATCGCAGTCTGCATCATGAGATTGCGCCAAAGCGCAAGTGAAGAGACATTGCTGGGCATTCAGCTGTTGCACATCGCACCCCACAGCGCTCCGTTCGAGTTGGTGTAAATAACTAACTCTAGCGATGGCATGGCAAAGAAAAAGCAATGCGGGAATTTCAATGAAGCTCGAATTTCGGCCGAAGCGGGCATGCTCTTTAAAAAAAAAAAAAAAAAAAAAAAAAAAAAAAAAAAAAAAAAAGGGGCGCAAACGGAGGGCTTCTTTGCCGATTTATCCTTGAACTTATTTGCCGAATACTGACGGCAAAGAAGGTACGATTAACTCAACTGAGTGGATATTATCGTTTAATATTGTCAACTACTCCGTACAATTATTTGGAACCAGGTAGATTACATTATGGTAGCTCCTCCATCCGCAGGTACGGAGCCTCGTCTATCGCATCGGGTGGTTAGTTGTCCCAATGCGTTAAAACATCGTTTAGCCATGGCTAAGAACAAATTATAACGATGGGAACCAGAATGAGCGACTCCTGCCCAAGAAACGGTGAATAGAACCCAAATCGTTATCAAGACCTTGTCGCTGTCATTTTCACTCCAAAAGCCTTGAACTCTATTGCGGCCTCTCTGCGGTGTAAATCTTGTGTACACACACTTTCCCCCAGATCATTAATGTGGGACTAGACATTATCGAATTTGCGGGAATTGGAGAAACTATCAATAATAGGATCAGGGGCTTCGACGAATCTGCCCATGTCCAGCTTCCTGCGATCGTCGAACTCGAATCCAGGGCAACAAATAGCTGAGCGCCTGGGGGGGGGGGGGTTCAACACGAAGACGGGGTTCGAAAACGGCAGCAGGAATGTCGAGATTTTGCCAAGGGAGAGGCAAGCCACAAGCGAGTTTGCTGCGCGCAGCTCATGTGGGGCTGGGAAGGCCCCCACGCTTCGCCTCGCTGATGAATCATCCTGAGGTCTCAGCCCTGCAACCACATCGGCAAGGATGATTAGAATTTTTGAAGTTGCACTGCACAAATGGTGATATCATCTTGGCGAAGTGGAGACCAACGATAGGTACTTTTACAACTGGAAAAATAGTCGACGGGTATCAAAAAGGAGCAAGATCAGAAGAGAAGAAAACCATTATCCAAGAGAGGCGAAATCAGCGTGAACCAGAACCCGCTATGCACCAGGTCATAGAATAACATGTGCTTCACCACTCCGGCGAAGTGCTCGAATAAAATACACAAGCGGTCACGGAAACGAGACTGCAAGATCTAGGTTGCAACATAAATTGTGTTGGTCAAACTGGGCTGGGGTTGAAAAGCTTTTGGAATTCTTCATCTATCCACTCGGTTTGTCCGTGTAAGGGACCGATGGGTCCATGGGTTAATGTCGTTGAGATGGAGGCTGCAGGTCGTTGGAAGTAGTCCATACTATCGCCCGACAACGGTGGATCAAAGCCATGTATTAAACCGGGTGGTCCTATATCTAGCCCATTGCCATGGACCTGGTCCCATGACGGATGGCGGGGTACAGCAATAGCTGGAGCTCCAAAAAAGGCTTGTCGTTGTGCGAAGGATGCCTGAAATTCCGATGCCTGGGCATGAGGATGTGGTATCGACGTTGATTGCTGTGGTAGTGTCGGTGATATGTTTGCTTGCGTTGTTATTTGTTGCGATCGGGAATAGGGACTGTAATTAGGGGGTGTAGGAGGCATGTTGGTCGCCGAAAAGGGAGCTCCACCGTGCATACTTTTAGTAAACGTCGGGGAAGCGTCGCCGTTTGAACTCGCATCGGACGAATCTCGTCTTCGCATTACCCCGGAACCGCTGGCAAGTAAGCGCTGTTGCAACACAGACAGGTCATCCTCGAAATGCTCGTCCGCCACTTCTCCGTCCTTCAAGACTCCTAAACCCTCGAGTATGTCGTGGGTTAAGGGTCGGCCGTTGAACTCCCTTAGAGGAGAGCCTGGCCAACCCTCGCCGTCTCGCGCGCGCCGATAGAGTTGCTGCAGGCCAGCAACCAGCTGCTTTTGCTGCTCTTCTAGCATCTCGACGTATCTGACAAAACCAGGAAAGACATTCTGTCACCAAATACTTTCCTCACTTCATAGAATAGTAACTTGAACAAGGACGCTAAGCTTACCCTTTTGGGTACACCTTGTCTTGAGCTTTCTTTCGTTCTCCAAACTTACATATCGTGTTATCTGACTTACATCTCTGACAGGGACTGTTGCCATCACACTAATCGAAGACGATTAGCAAAGGGTCAGAGGTCCATGGATAGGTATAGGGCGGGCTGAAGTTCACCTTTGACTTTTTCATTCGACATCTATCGCAGGCTTTGCACACTCTCTTCCGCCTATTATCCTCAGCCCCCGGGCTCTCTGACGACGGTGAATGTTGAGCGGACATGACAGGATTGAGGAACAGCGAAATTCAAGCCGATCCTCGGAAACGGTGGTTCTCAATTGACGGGATTCTCCCGCGTGTGGAACTCAATGAGATAGGTAAATTGTAATAGGCCGCCAATTGAGCAGTAAATCTGTTTTGGAATGTTGACGCTATTTTCCTCCTTTCGCTGCAATTTGATCCCTCTTTTCTCTCACACGGCTGGCTAAGAAGGTCCAGCGATACTGCGGCTGCTTCAAGAGACGACGGGAAGGTTCGCACTTCCAGTTGAGAAATAGCTGGGGTGGATGCTAGATCGAAGCTGCCCAAGCAGACACAAACGACGAGTATATTGTACAGCCGAAGCAAGGACGTTGTTCCAGGGTGTTCATTCGAGACGGCTATCTCAAAAGTAAACAAAACCAATTGCTTGAGATGGGTAGACAAAGAGAAAAACCAATACAAGGCCGAGACCTATGGTATCATAAAGACGGTGAGAAGGGTGAGCTGTGAGAGCGGCACTGGGGGTGTAGCAAAATAACATCACTCAACAAGATTTTCCCAGCAATAACAGGGAGTGCAACAGTCCAGGTGGGTTCGGGATGACTATTATATCACTGCAAACCGGAGAAAGTTTAGTCATGGTACAGGGCCAGCCGCCAGGATTAGCGATCACCTATAAGGAACTGTCTTTGCCTCGAGACCTGGTTGACGGGAAGCAAAAGGTAAAAACAAATTTATGAGAAGGTGTACAATTGGCTTTTGCGACATTCCGTGGAACCGTGGAGCATGGCATGGCCCCGTTTTGACAGGACGGGGTGGGCAAGAGGCTTGATGTTTGGTCCCATTTTGGGCTTGCCAGGATCCCGAAGTTTTTCTTTGGTTTGAATTCGGCTTAGGATTCCTGCGTATTTTTGCACGTTTGCTTTTCCCTTTTTGTTTCTCGTCACAAGATTCTCGGCGTCCTTATCGTCCATCTTGGCCCTCGCTGGGCGACTCAGCGGGGAGGAATTCCTGCCAAGCAGGAGTGCAGATCCCCGTTCAGAGACTTGAGAGGACAGATTCCAAGCTTCTTTCTTGGAAGCTGGGACACAAAGGATAACGTCTATTCTACTCAGCTCGCGTTGTACGGAGTAAACAACCTTAACTAGGAAAAAATACTCCCTGTACCCTCCGTACAGACTCCCGTATGTATGTTTATACATATAATTACGGGGGTACATCATATGTAGCAGTGTAGCACCCTTAATACTCCGTACAGCTTTACCTATAAGACGCGAAGGGAGCAATCGCGTATCTGATGCGATAACAACAGTTGGCTGGAGCTCACCGTCAACGCTGGAGTCGCCTAACCGGCGCACTAAAAGGTGGGCTAGGACAAATCTGCGCATTATTCTGGAACATTGCACATCACCGACTCCGTTCCGGAGGACGGAGCAATACACCTGTTGTTACATTACTTCAGCCCAACATCTGCCGTAACGCAGCGGTATTATTCAATGCCTTCCTCGAAGGCCACGATCTATGTTCGGCCGATTTTGGCCGAATAAAGGATAAAATTCGCCCCTCCCAAGCTCAGGGAGGAGAGCGGCTTTTAACTGGGCCTTGTTCGCACCTTCATATTTCAGCTGCAGACGATTATCTTCCAAGATCCAACTGCAATCCTTTGAGCAACAGCCGTAAATCTCTCGAGCTTCGAGAAAATGACCGTATCCATACGAGCGTTTCCGTTGATTACGCTGTGGTATTAAATACCGGAGGTTCCGACTGACACTTTCTCCGTGCTCTAGTCAGCACAAATGCCAAACCGCGCCCGGACTTTGCTCTTTCGCATTCTCGAAGCTCCGAAGGGGAGACGCTTGCTTGGCTCTCGAGGACGCAGTACCTTACGATGAACCAACCTAGGCAGCAGAATTACTAACGCGCTTCCAATTTCGCGAATACGACGATCAGCCTGAAGGAGCTGCGTCTGGTAGCTCACCCGAGCCAACATTTACCACAGGCACTCGGGCGTGTCCGGACCCCCGTGTTGTGCGTACGAATATCCCGATCTCCCTCCCTTCGGCGCACTCGTTTCCCGATTGGGGTGTTTTTGTGGCCGATGCGCACTGCCAACGTTCCGCTGCGGGTTAAAAAACAATAAAAAATAAAAATAAAAGCGAAAAAATAAATGATACTGATCATGGGTCGGAGCAAAAATGCCGCACCCTGAACTTCAGAAGCGACGCTACTGACACCCCGTTATGCCATTGCACACTTTCAAGGTTAGAATATGCGCCCTATCGTATGAAATACATTATGGATGGAGTACGGAGTGATCTGGACGTAGACGCAAATGCGTGTATGGGACACCCAGCGTGGTGCTTCTCAAGGTGGCTCAGTATGATTCCTCAGCAAATTCGGCGAAAGTCTTGCTTAACCGCATCAGGACAATCGATTCACGCCCCTCTAGTTACATATATGCACTCTCCTCCTTCGAAATCATCAGCTGGAGGCGGAGCACCATGAATGTATTCGTGTTGCGTTGCTCACAATGATGACGCTGTCTGAAGTGCAGTTCGTGTCAATTATTTACGTTGCGGCGAGCTTTTCTGCCCAGCCAGAGATCCCAGTTTATGCTGCTTGCATAAATTGAATTAGTCAGAATTTATACAGTCAATAGTCCTCTTTCTGATTGGTTTCATCATATACCAGTTCTTGGCGCCAACCTGCTTTAGTGGCATTTGAAGAGTGTCTGCGCTGAGGTCGTGGTTGGGTTGAAAAAATATTGCTATTTTATTCTATGCTATCCCTCCTCCCAGTCTCCCCAGTATACTCCCATACAGCAATCAGTTGCATTGTGACGCCCGCCGTTACTATCGCTAATCCTGCCAAATAACGGCCGAGACGCTGATCCTTGCTGCAGGGTTAGTTTACCCACACCGACGACCGACTCGCAAACCAGCCCACTCGCTGCCAGTGACCAAAAATGTTTGACGACCGGCAGATCGGCTAGGTATAAAAAAGCTTGATGGCAACCAGCAAAAGTTCCCTATCCACATGGGACGTCACCCGTTTACTTGTTGTCAGGACCGGGCAATTTCCATATCGTTGCTTGTCTTCAGTCAATACGCTGCTTGCACCTCAAGTTCAAATGGATAAGGTATTCAAGAAAGGTGGGAAATTTATCGGCGTCGAGCAGGATATTGGCCCAGTTTTCTGCCGCTTCTTGCCTGCCACTGTTAGCACCTACACGCATGAGCCGGACCGTTTAAGTTAAGCTTGGGATCTACAATCCAGTGTCACCGTCACACTGCCTGAAGAGCAACTCCGTGTCCGTGGGATTGTTTTTCTGGATTTTGTTTGTCATGACATGTCATAGATGTTTCCCGTTCTCGAAATTGATGACAGCGCGCTGCTGCTGTCAGGCCTTTGGGTTAAGCATGTTTAACCGGTCCAGTTGACCAGATTTTGTTTTATTTGTTTGAAAACATCTCTATGATGTCACAATCAAAATTTGTACTCCTTTTTTTTTGTTTCGGTTTTTCTGATGGTGCCCCAATAACTTTTCGCTCCGAGAAAACATGAGCATCAAAGCGATGACGATGAGGCAACACACCCAGAGCTTTCAAGGTTTCGAGTTCTAGGTCTCGCAAGGCCCATTGTCGAGGCTTTATCCAAACATTGACTATGGATTGGCAAAATACAGAGCAATTAATCTAAGTTAAAAACAACTACCTACCATTCGGGGATGTTAATCATGAACCAAGTTTTCGTGTGTTGATTGCTCCGAACCCGGAGGTTGAACCACTCTCTTGACACATTGCATATATAGCGCGTTTACCAAGTTTTAACGCCCATGCGGACCTGTTCGATGTTCGATGTTTTTGCCCCGCCAGGTCTAGATGTGGATTTCCCTGATGTTCGCTTAACTTTATCGTTAAACATGGCGCCTGACCCTACCTTGTCATAATACGATTGCACTCCTGCAAACTTTCATCCCGAATACTGCAGGTGCCATGCTGTTCGAGACTATCGCTAGCAGGGCCTGGGATAAGCAAGGTTTTCCAGATAGGAGCAGCAGCTGAATTCCACTTCCCGTGACGCCTGGATATAAAGGAATTCGTTCCCTAATCTGGAAACCTTGAGCCATTCCATATACGCTGAATCGATATGAATCTTTCTTTTTCGGCGATCATTACTTGGGAAGACGGGTTGCAGCGTTCCTGAATATACTTCAGGTTTCGTTCCCCGGGATTCCGTAGTCCTGTTTGTTTATCTGCATGAGTCACTGCAGTTTTTCCTATCGCCAGCTGTGGCCCGGGAGCAGAATAATGGAAGGAGACAGCTAAGCTTGGATCAAGTAACCAGTAAGACTTTCAATTCCGCAAATCTACACAAACGAAAGATAGTCGATGGAACTCGCGAAAGAAACCCAGTATTTACATTTAGGAACAGTCCGTGGAACGATGTCGGGTTTCAGAGATACCTATAATATGTACTTGGGCGGATACTGGTGTTTACGCTTTCTTCCAGTGCTTTCAGGCAACCCAGGAGCAACATCAGAGTCGCCTTACCTCTCATCCAGCTGATTCAACTTCAATACCTTTTTTTCTGGCAGCTTCTGTTGCAGTTTACTCAGGATGTATGCTCGACGGAACTAAGATCAAGAACACAGAGCCACATGTCTATGGCAGATCATGCAGGTCAACTACCCCAACTGAGGGGTATTCCGGTTGACAGTTAGGATGGGATGCAGAGTATGTGGGCACAGTCTCACAATGCCATTTATTTCTAAACCCAAGCATGAAGGATTTCCGCATAATTTAAGTATGTTTGCTAGGAGTGCTCAACAGCCGGGCCCATGTAAGGCAGGGGTAAAATGGTTAAAGTAAGCTGTTGTCTGAATGTATTGTTCACAATAGTTAAGCTAACCCAAGAATCTTCCAATGCTTAAGAAAGAGGATAGGTAGGCATTGCAATCAAAATTGACCTAAACCCAAAGCTCTGCAACCACAAGGATTCTACATTTATATCCTCCGCCTATCCCATCGCCAGCTAGTGTTCATAGAGTTTGCAATGGTGAATATGCGAACACCTGACTTTGCTGCGATCTGCAATGTAGTACATAAATAGTTATGCTGCATTAGAAGTCTCTGTAGCTGATGAGCTCACACGACCTGTCGCGAACTCTAGGCGACTAAACTTGGGTAAAGAAGTCTGGATCTGGAGAAGTTTATCTGTTGATCCTCAGCCACTGCAGCATGAGAGCTTCCAATGGATCTCATCTTTGTTTCACCTACCAAGTTGCTGGTCCTTTTGAATGTTTCGTCTCCTGAAAGGATCACCCTTTGTGTTGGGTAGGAAGCATTGGCTACATTCACGGAATTTGGTATGGAAGGTAATGGGAATCCTATATAACCTATTCTCCTTGTCGACTTATGTCAAATCTAGGGGGTATTCCCAAAACACCTAGTTTATCCGGGAGATTTTATATGATCCCCATCCGCAGGCTGTGACAGATCACATGTGCACCATTGATTTCGGGCAATCATTTGAAAAGTGTTTCAGCACTCCCTTGTAGAAATGCTCACCAAATCATTTGTTAAATTAGAGCACAGGGATTGGCAAGTAATCCTTGGGCTATTGCCTGTACATTACTTGGAATACAGATAGCAAGAAAATTGTCTGATGCTTTATAAAATGGAGTGGATAATGACAGAGGACATACTTCCCTATTTTTAATTTATGGCCGTCGTCCTAAGAAAATCTCCAAGGCCGTGGATGATAATGCGGGAAATCCTTGAATATTTCTGCAATGCGGATCCTCAAGGCAGTGCGAGAGACTATTATGTGGGGCCTGAGGAATTATATGCTAAAGAGGCTCTATCAATGAATTACCGGCTACCGGAAGAATTTAGAAATGGGCTGTATTTGCGACTGAATCTTAGATGTAAGGACCTCGGTGGCGCAGGAAATACAAATAGTCCAAGATACGAGTTGGAGGGTCCTAAAGGGGGTTTGTGTGACCGCCGGTAATCAATTAAGGTATGCTAGGTATACGCTTTGGAATGACTATTAGATAGATAGTTACTCCGTACAGTGTATATATATACCCAGGATTGCAAGTAAAAAGAGACCACAGCCTGTCTCAGTGGGGTTCTCGTGCCCAGTGTGAACGAAAACTGATTTGCAGCCAGTCCTCTTTCCCGCCTACGACATATTACATGTAAGCATGGAAGGCCAACATGGGTAGCTGATGCTCCGCTCCTCCACTGCTTTGGCAACGGAAGCTCCTGGTGAAGCGCCACCGTGCGTCTCGACTGCCCACACACTCGAGGTCGAGCGAAAGTAAGTGTTCTATATTTATATACGGTTTAGATCAAAAGCCAAGTAAGCTCAGTTTGCGGCATTCTCAAACTTCTGCTGTATTTTTATCCCGCCAGACCTATTGCGTAGCTATCATACTATGCTCACTACGTCGCACCGTAGGATTTTTAAGGTTAACCTTCAAACAGGCTTGGCATCAGTTAACCACATAATTAGATTGGGCACGTCAATTCTCCACCTTCGGATCGTTGGGTCCCGCTTTACCCGTGGAGTCGGGAATCTTCGAAGGAGGGCAAAACGCCGCTTTGGATGGAATAGGCTACAGCAGATTCAACCGGTGATGAGAAGCACAAGCTTGCATACGGGTTTGACACACGTCAAGAAATAGTAGAAAACCTGCGATTGCGATATCGGGACGCGCTTCTAGAATGAATTCCCAACGGTCTTCCCGAAGATACTTTCCGTCATAGAGCAACCCAGGGTTAGAAAGTAATGATGCTTCTGGCACCGTGCTGGGAAGTTGTCTACGGGACGCAAAGTGGGATAGTGAAAGTATCTTGTCACCTAACCTTTTGGAGCCTTTATACTCTTATCCTCCACTGCATGATGTATTTTGTGACGTCTTCAATTCCCCCGAATGTCATAGCGACGCAATGAGCCGCAGCACCTTAATCCCATTATACCCTATTAGATCAACACATTTCACACCAGCCAGGATTGGGATGCTCTATGTGTTGCACTTATATTAGAGTTGGGGCCTAAAATATCACTTGGTATAGAAACAGACACCCCATGCACTGCTGGGACTGGGGAAGTAATACCACCAGGAAGACAAAAGCAAGAGAGACAACACAACATCCATATCTCGTTGACCATAAAAACATCATGTTATAAGTGATTAACACAAATTAACAAAGAAATAGAAAGGACAGCTCTGCCATTGCAGAGCCAGAAAAAGCGAGAAGAAAAGCAGACATATAAATATACCAATATCACCCCTCCATTGAACGCCAAATCCCATTAACAACCCCAAGTTCAAGCCGAAAGGGACAAAGAGAACTCCTAAACCCAAACTCCTCTTTAAACCTCAACCTCAACGCACAAGCCACCACCGTCAGACGTTCCGGTTCCAGTGCCTTCATCTTCATCTTCCTCTCCATCATATCCATCGGGAGTTTCATCTCGTCGATGACGATAATCCTCCCGGTGATGATGACGTCCTTGTGATGGTTCATAATCCCGACTTTCCAGCACCATTTCGCCATGTCTTTCGTCGCCATCTAAATCTGTACCAGTATCCGGGGTTTGGCTTTGGCTATTGCGAGGTCTGTTTTTATTCCGGGATTGTTTGGTGTGTGAAGACTTCGGATCGATCACGTTGCCACGCGTTCGATTATCGACTTCATCAAAAGCACCCGGTGGAGGGCCAGGAGGGTTACTATGCCCTTTGGCGGCCATCCTTTCTCGTTCTAAAGCTGCCCGAAGCTCTTCATTCTCAGCACTGCGCTCTTCCAATCTCTTCCTGGCACCGGATCGATCAAGCAATCTGGCTTCACGCTCGGCTTTCAACCGTCGCTCCAGTTCACGGAGGCGATGTATCCATTTTTCCTCTGTTCGATCGCCGTTAGATGGCGTGCGGTTTGGCTGGGGTGGCGTAGGCCCGGCTACAGGGCCGAAAGAGTTGTTTGCTAATGCTGTCGAGGAGGAATGATGATGAGCTGGCTGAGGAATTCCAGAGGGGGCCCGTGACACGACGCTGCTACTCCGGTCGGACCGCGGGTTTGCATGAGCAGCAGCGGCTGCAGCAGTAGATCCGCGAGATCGAGAATGGGACTGTAGCAAATTTAGTTCTGCTTTGAGCAACCTATTCTCCCCACGTAGTTTTGAAATTTCTGCGTTGGTTGAATTAGAGGATAACGGACGTTTCTGGACCCTGAGCTGATGTGCTAGTTCTTCCAGTCGGTCAAGTTTCTTAAGTCGAATGTTGAGGGTGTGCTCAAGGTTTTGGTATGCTTTAGTTAAATCACGCTCCACGTTCTTAACGCGGCCCTTAAATCCGTTCACCAAGTGCTCCACAGTCTTCAGGGCGAGAAGGAGATTTTTACTGAATCCAGGCCAGAAGAGCATATTTCCAATAACCTCCTGGCTTGGAAGGTTGCCATTTATCAAACTATTCGAGTGTGCCCAATCTGGTCCACACATAACCGATAGCCTCTTCCAGATTGCCAGGAACATAGCATTCCGTTCGTTAAGCTGATCTTTGTACTGCTGTTCGAGTGTACTGAAACGCTTTCTATCCTGACCACGTGCATGCTCCAGGTCAGATATGCGAGTGTTACTCTGGGCAATTGTCCGCGATGCCTGGTGATGGGATTTCAGCGCCTGCTCAAAAGAATGTTTATCGGCCCGATGAGCCTGGCGTTCCCGTTCAAGCAGCTCGCTTAGTTTACGCGTCTCGAGACCGTGGCTCTCTAACAAAGCATCTCGGTTTCGAAGGAGAGCTTCCTTTTCATCTAGAGTTTCACGGGCACTCTGCAGTTCAAGTGTGGTCGATTCCAGCTCCTTCTGCAGCTTCGTAATGGACAGCAAAAGACTCGATCGAGTCCCGTTAAGGTCTCCCAAAGCTTCCCGAAGGCTGCTCTCAAGTTCAAACAGCCTCTCTTTCCACGTATTTGCTTCAATTTCCCGCGCTGAAAGAGCCTTCTTTAGTTTGCGGATTTCATCTTTGGCTCCGGTATTCTCGCGGTTCAACTCATTCATTATTCGCTGAACCTCTTGTTTTTCCTTCCCTCCAACAACCTCTCGTTGGTGCCTCTCTTCCGCGAGGCGGCAATCAAGCTCTCTGGTCTGATCTCTTTCACTTTGCAGATTTATTTGAGTTGTTTTCAAGTCAGATTCCAAATCACCAATCTTGATCTTGTCCGCATCCTGCTCTTCGCGAAGGAATGCGATTTCGTTTTGGCTTGATTCAAGCTGCACTGTAAGCCGCTGTATTTTACTATTCGACTCAAACAAATTCTTCTCGAGAGCTTCAAGCTCTCGATTCGCATCTTCTAACTCCTGCTGAACAGCCTTGTATTTTTGCAAGTTATTCTGGGCATCTTCTTCGAGTCTAAGAATGCCCTCATTCGCGGATCTCATCTCAGCTTGCAACGCTCTCAAATTCTCTTGCTGGTTTCTCAATTCGGCTTCCATTCGCTGGCCTTCATCGGTTTTTAAGTCTAATTCGTCTTCCAGAGCATTAATCTCTTCTTGGGCTTCAGCTTTCAGATCTTGGAGTTCAGCTTCCCTCTCCTCAGCGAGATGTATAGCTTGATCGCGCTCTAGCTGAAGAGTCTGAACCTCTTCCTCCGCTTGATCCATATCTTCCTGGTATGCACGATCCATAGTCTCGATTTCACTCATGTACTCGTCAAGTTGAGCTCGGAGACCCTGGTTTTCAAGTTTAAGGGTTGAAACCTGATCCCGGAGCTCGCCGTTTTTTGTTTCTAGAGATTCACGCTCAGTATCGCTCATGCGAGATGCCCGGGTTCCGTCACTCGCCCGCGAGGCGGATCTATCCTGGGCTCTGGATGCTGAACGTTCAAAAATACTATCACCGGCGATTGAACGTCCATCAAACCGTCGTTGTAGTTTTAATTCTTCGATCTCGTGGTAGAGCCGTTCCTTTTCACGATTGCGCGAAGTAAGCATCGACGTCTGGGCACTAACCTCTCTACGTAGCTCGGCATTCTCTTGCTTCAAAAGTTCTATTTCGACAAGCGTACTGCTGCTTGCGGTTCCCCGTGTCGCACTACGAGCAGCATCAGAGTCAGGATGTGACATGACAGAAGACATCCCTCGTCGCCGAGTGCTCCTTGAATGGGTTGTCGACACCGCATCGCCACCTCTCATCTGCAATATTTCCTCTCTAAGATGCCGATTTTCTTCCTCAGCTTGTTCTCGGGCAGCAGCCTCCGCATCCAACATGTCTTTCCACATGTCCTGAAACATACCTTAGTCGCCCTGATACGTCAAATATAATGAAAATATACAGGAACAAATGGAATATTAACTCACTCTTTCCTCTCTAGCTCCAGCTTCTGAGCCAACAACCCTCCCATCGCTTAAAGACTTCACCATTTCTGCCAATCTTCTCTTCTCGGTTTCCCTCGCAATACTTTCGGATCTTAACCTTTCGATCTCAATTTCGTAAGTTTCTAGTCGTTCTTGTAGATATATCAGTTCTTCCTCCTCCATTGTCGCTCGTTCTTCTTCGGAACCTGACGCTCCCTCGTCTTTTACGTCGCCCTTCTCTCCCTCGCCATGATCCCGAAGTTGTTTTTCCAATTCCCGGATCTTTTTTCTCAGTGATTGGTTGTCCTTCTGCAGCTTCAGTTTATCTGACTTTAGCTCCACGTTTTCGGAGATCATTTCCTTGACGCCCTCTTCAGATCGCTTATTTAGAGCTTCGTTCAGAAAGTGGATGCGCATTTTCAAGTCGAAGTTTTCTTTTGAGAGCCTATCGATAGTGCTACTCTGTTCTTTGAGTGTCATATTCTTTCCGCGACTGAAGCCAGGAGTCGGCACTCCGCGCTTATCGGGGGATAGGCCAAGGTTTAGATTGCTTTCGCGGAACTGGCGAGCGAATGTACCGGGTACCTGAATATCTTGAACGTGTTGGGCAATAACTGTATCGGTTGGTAGCGGTTGGTCAATAGCTTTCGCTTTAGGAGTTGTAGGGACTGCATCATCGTCAGCTTCCGCCGTCTTTCCTGACGACGTTGGGCGCGACTGTGACGCGGCATCCTCCTCATCTAGGGTATGCAAATTTGGCTCCGAAATACCGCTGAATCCTCTCCGCTCAAGGGGGTTTTCGTCACTAAAACCCGAAATCCCAGAAGCCATGCTACCTAAACTTGTCGATCTCGAGAGTTCTCTTGTCTGTTTTCTATCCCCGTGTGGCCTAAGGTCGTTGTTTGCGGGCACTGCTCCTCCAGATTGTAAAGCGTAGTCTACACCTATGTGGGCATCGCTGGAAGTCGTATCCGTATTTACAGATGAAGTCGAGTAGCGATGGGATGACTGTCTGCTAGTGAGGAACTTGGGTCTCTTCCGCCTCCGATCCGAAGGCGTGCCGGCCGTGACTTGAGAATTGCCTGCCTCGCTCGTATCTCCATCGGTAGGGTCACCACGCCGTCGGCTTGATAGGGATCGTGATAACGAAAAGCTTCGTCGCTGACAGGTCCTGCTGCGCCTTGGCGTGGCTTCCGTATCTTCGATACCTGCATCTGCATTGCCCTCAGGCTTGTTGTGTCCTTCCCCATGATTATTCTCACCTTCGTTTCCAATACTTGTAGTCGCAGAGAAAGCGCGCGACATAGTCCTAGCAGCGGCCGCAGCCGTGGGGGATGACAAGGGTGTTTCCAGCGATGTAGTATTAACGGACACTTTGGACTGGTCTAGTGGTGTATCTCCCAGATTCCCAACGGAATCCTCATCCTCAAATACCGATGGTTCCAACTCGGCAATTTGCTCCTGTTCAGGAGCTCCGTGTGCGTCAGTTGGTGGAGTTCGAGATGGGGAAGACGAAGGGTTATTCTGTTCTTCCACTCGCGAAGACTCGGCCGGACTGACACCAACAAGATATGTGTCGTCCAGCCCCATGGGACCTTCGCCTACCCGGATAGCTGATGGCTCCGGTAAGAAACTTGACTCTACGTCCATCAGCTTGCGATGCATCTCTCCTTCCTCCACCGTGGTTCGATTCGGTATGCTAAGGTCGCCTTCGTCATGGTCGTCAGTATTGGCGATGTTGTGCGTTATGCTATCATCGTTTGATATGTGGATTGCGGGAAGGGGTAATATGCTGCTTGAATCGTAATCGTTCTCCGGCCTGGGATTGGGATCGCCGGGTTCGCTGAGGTCGCAGGGGGTGTAATGATTGTCGGGTTGCTGGCGCGGGGATAAGGGAGGGGAGGAGGGGGGAACTGACGTCGCAGGATGGCCACTATCAGCCATAGCAAAAGGATTTATTCGATTGCATCCGTGTCCCTCAAAGCAAGCTCCTTCAACTCGCAGTGTTGTGGTCTAACTGGATTCATCATATGTAAATAGACCACTAGGTGAGCCGGACCCGGATCATAAAAAATCCGAAGGTCCCAGCAACCAGGTGAGGTCGATCCAAGCTCGCACCCTTGGCATTCATCCCAACAACTGACAAAGTTCGATAATGAATAGTTAGATACTCAAATTTTAATACTACTCCATGATAAAAATAGTATTCTTTCAATAAAATATAAGCTGCAGTTCATCCGATCCAACTCGATGTGTCGGACCTTTCCTTAGCAAATGGAAGCATTGCGAGTCCGGCTGTCAGCCCAAAATGGGCCCATACCGTTCCTGACATTCTCAAAGCGAAGGAGTTCGTAATTTACGAAAATTTTATTTGCGATTTAACCAACCTACGGAGAGCGGAGTCACATCAAAAAGTTTATGGTCTGGCACTCAATGGAAGATTCAGGGTGGGGTCCGACGGGAAAAAAATCCATTTTCTTGCCTTGCCATGGTGGAACATTTGAAATCATCTAGAGCCTTGAGGGGGAATGTGGGAGAGGTGCGTAGGCTGGATTGCGGATTGCATGAACCACATGAACTTTCCTGGAAATAAAGGCCCCAAGCCATGGCGAAGGGGCATATGTTTTCATGGGCATGATGGGCAATGTAAAATAGAGGAAGAGGGAAAATACTGATGATAAACATCTCATCAAAAAGGCAGCCTGGGGAGTTATGTCAAACTCTGGGTTTGTGTACTTTGGTTCTGGGGGGACCCCAATACGGTGGCTGTATTTCATTTGTCTGGTGATAGCCTGTGCTCCAGAAGATAGGAGTGATCGTCATAATTTAACCTTAGAAAAAGATAATCTTTGTGATTTTCATGGCCCACTCCGTGAATGATCATAAGACTATGAAGTTCTGGTGATATCGACGATGTTGAAAGTGGTGACCAAAAACAACCACAGAAGCTGACAAAAAAGGTATGATAAAAGACTAAATGTCAAAGCTGGAGAACAATTTTCTTATTTTCCTGCTCTCCAAAAGAGATATCAATTTCAGTTTGCTACACTGGTCTAACTATAGTTGACTGGTGATGTCGGAAAATCAGGCCCTTTTCCTGTGGCTCCCTTGCAAATAATTTTTGGGTCTGATGGCTTTTGTAGATCATACTTTGTGCGTTTCATGGTTTGTTGCCGATGTTGATGCCAATGTTTTTGCAAAAGACGACGCTCGCTATTGGATAAACATATCTCATTCTTCATTTCAACCATATATACATATGCTGTAAGAAGGTAAAGTACTATCCGGAATAACTTATTAAAAGTATGTAATAGGGGTAAAGATGTATTAATCATAAGACAATGGTGGGCATAAGGCATGAAAAATCAGAGAGTCGAAAGGTAAGGGACTTTCGAGTTCAGTGGGAATAACTCGAATAAAAAAAAAAAGGGTGGGGGGGTTTAAGGTAAAAGGGTGATAATTGTCGAGGGTCGAAACAAATACAACGCTTGAAAAAAAAAAAAGGAAGCTGTGTATCATGTCATAAGAATTGCGTCGACTTTTTACTGAAGTAATAAAACGGAAGATATAAGAACGCCTGAACGTGATGAGGTCACCGAGCAAACAAATGAAAAGTTTGAGTTATGCTGATCAGTCGGCAATAATTAGTCGGCCAGCGTGATGTCGCCTAATATAGGATGAGGAGTCTCGGGTTGCTCCTCTCCTTTGGCTTCCTGTTCTTCTGGACGAAGGGAACTATCAAATTTCTCTTTTTGAACCCGGGCAGCTTGTAAACAATCAATATAGGTCCGAAACTTGACAATCTCCCGAAGGAGATAGGACGACTTGCGTTCCCAATTAGCAAGCGACTTAGTTGCATTCGGGTGTCGAGGGGTAAAGGCAAGCACCATGGCTGGTCGAAGCTCATTATGGCGTTTCAGCTCTTCTTCCACGTATTTTACGTAGGAGCGGAGTGCATCAAGCTGCTCTCTTTCGGTAAGGGTTGATGCAATCATGCTTTGTTGCGGTGGCATCCAATCGCTGATGTGAATTCTATCAGCAGGAAGCCGTGGGCGAACGCTTTGTTGATCGATCGAGCTCCGAATGGAGCTCTGAATACTGAGTCGAGTTCCAGAGGAGCTCGTGGGTTTATGGTCCTCGGGTTGAGTCAGAGCATGATTTATGACGGCATCACTCCAGCCGTACTCGATGTTGCTGATTCCACCGAACATAGGCTCTTTAGAGAGTCTGGCGCTCCAGTAGTTTGCTGTGGAAACGAACTCCTTGACAATTTCTGGTGTGCCAACTTGGAATAAGTGGACTGCTCCAGTAGGGAGACTCAACGCCCAAACATAAGGTCGGGACTTGGAGTATCCTGGCTGCGGCAATGCGCTGGCTATCGTATGGCGCAAGAGGAATTTCCATGTTTCCTCTGCATTCTCCATCCAATTCCCTCCGCCAACGACGATACCACCGTTTTGTCTCTGCTTAGGCTTCAGCCGCGTCGACTTGGTTAACGAATTAAAAGAAAACAACCGCATCCACCCTCGCTGAATGACCGCGAAAGTTTCATTCCAGTTCCTATCCTTCGCTCGTTTATCGACAGAGTCAAGGTGGTGTTTATGTTTCAAGCTCCCCTCCTTCGCCCATGGTGCTCCAGCTAGCTCTAACGTGTCATCCTCGAGTAAGGATTCCGCACGCGTAGAGTCTTCCGTTCCAAAAATGCAGCTAGCAGAATCCTCCCTGATGATAGCATGGCTCAATGCATTTGCGAATCCAATCGACTGCTGATAGTCACCTCGCGGGTACTCAGAACCCAAAGAATCGACCGACATAGACGTTAGTGTTTTACCCAAGGAGGCCTTGCTCCATGTGCTGGATGCCGTTGGTGACCAAACTGATTGATCATCTAAACTAGTGCGACTGGACGTCATCGTAGATGGCGGATACATGCGCGGTCGTGACCTTGGTTTGGATGCCCATCGAGCCGTGGACAACCGATGATCCGTGGGGCGACCACGGGTAAAAAGATCTGATGTAGTGGCTCTGCTTAGGGTACTTGGTGTCCTTCGTAACACGTTGCTTGTAAGCGTTAGGAAATTATTGGAAGGCTGCTGTTCCTCAGGCTCCGCCTGGGCTCCGCGCAATGGAAGCCGCCGCTTCTGGATGGAATTGTAGAACTCCTTGAGAGCCGATTCGATCTGATTTTCCCACGCCTTTTTCGTGCCTCGGAATGGAACATTCACAAGTTGGATAGAACTAGCAGCTGAGATATCACCACCATTGATATTAGGGATGTTAGCCGCAGCGGTTGCTTTTGAAATATTATCTTGTGGAGTGTTTAGCAAGTTTGACGCAATGTTCGTTTCGTTGTCATCCCTCTCACCATAGGGGGTTGAAGCCCTCCCCGGCTGTGACCCACTATTGTCAGTGCTTCGAGGCCGGTGGAGTTTGTTGGAGACGATGCCCTCAAATGCGTCAGGCGCCGCATCCGCCACGACTCTCTCAATCGTGGGCATGGTATTACGAATGAACTGGTTCCGTGTCATCTTTTGTTCAATGTCGGCTAAATGAAGGTCGGTATTCAAAAGTAAAAGAGAATAACATATCGTATGTACAACATCTGAAAGGTCTATCAGTTGGACTGTTATCTTGCTTTGGAGGAAAGGTCGAATGCCCAAAACGTACCTGTTGCTTTGAATCCATGGTTTGGATTGCATTCACACCAACGAGATGAAAATGCATCGAGGACCCGATCGACTTGTTGTGTTTCGCCCTTTAGAGCCATCTTCGAGCATAAGCTACGCATGGCGGCCAAAATATCCATACCCGACCAATCAAACAAATCTAGATACGCCTTTCTGACCCCAGCTCTGTCAGGGTTTCCAAGCCATGTGGCTGTAAGCTCAGCCTTCTGGCCATCCTCGACCGAGTCGTAAAGCTTCTGAGCTTGGTCCCGATCTGCGGCACTGGGGCTTCCGCAGGTGCCAATGTCGGCCGCATCCTCCCGTCTCTGACCCTCACTTTCTTCAATCGGCGAGGGAGACGTCGTTATCATTTTTCCGAGGTTTGAATTGAGGTCTTCAGCGGGACTCATAAGGGGTGTATTCAAGGCAGTCTGATAAGTAGAGACGGTGGTTGCTGCTGAAACTGGAGGGGATTGGACCGACCCTTCGAGCAGTGACGCCGGCTTGGTTGGCTCATGCTTTGGATCTGACGATGGGACAGGTTTAGGGCGGGCTTCCTCTCGCACATGCATGCCCGTGCTAACAGAGAGTTTGTTGTCAACTCGAGTAGCCACTTTTGAGTTCTGTTTACTTCCATTGCCAGTTAACATAGCGTTACGTAACGATGTCTCAGGAACAGGGCTTGTCTTAGGGCGTTTAGATAAATCCTCAGGGCTTTGTTTGGGAGCGCCTTCATTCCCACTGCTATCCACCAAGAAAGAATCACCGCGGTTAGAGAGCGCGGAATTCGGATCAATGCCAGTTTTTGCGTTTGAAGTGCTGTTGACATGTGAAAATTCCGATCTACCATCCGTATACGGACGCTTGCTTCCAACCATATCTCTTGGTGCCTCTCTCACGGGGTGTTGATTTCCGGGCTCAATCTCGAGTCTAGCCAAATGTGCATCAGGTTCTGTAAACATTTTTGATTCGTTAACGCCAGGAGAAGAGGCCCCGGTCATGTAGGGCTTCATAAGCTCACGGAGGCTACCGCTCGGGCTCGCCTCCGCGTCTACGTTTCCTTGTGCATGAACAAGTTTCAGATTAGAATTAGGTATAACCAACGGGGGTGGAACATGATCTGTCGAGGATTTCTTTCGTCGGCGGAAGAAAGATGATGGCTTTTTAGTCACGATTGAAGTATTTTCGCGACCCACGCCGTACTGGCCATGTTGAGGATAGCCCTTAGAACTGTTGGGAGCGCTCTGTGATTCCCTGGGCCGACAGAAACCTTCATTATCCCGAGCGTAACTCTGTGTTTTCTCCGGTTGAGGAGGTGACGACGACTTGTACGATCCAAAAACTCGTCGAAAGAAGCCGTATCGTTCTTTGGGCGGTGGGGTGACAGATTCCACGGGAGGGGGGAATTGAACCGGTTTGTGGAGTGCAATTGTGGGGCTAGGGGCAGGTATACGGGCGTGGGGCGGCATCGGAGGGATATCGTGGCGATTGTCTCGAAGGTGCCTACTGTCGTCAGGCCGTCCTCTGATAGTGGTCGTTCCTAAGGTATCAGACCGTCCCTTTTTGTTGTACATGCTCCGCGCAGACTTAGTACTGTTCTTGCGAGACAAAGCAGGAGTCCGACCGTTCCCAGTGGCCACATATTGAGAATTGGAGTAATCCTTAACGGCACGAGAATTGCTTCTTCGTGGCCCCACGGGCACATTGGGTGTAGGTGCGGCGTTGATGTCGTCATAGAGTAACATGGCATTATCCACCGGTAATGTCGCTGGGCCGTCTGCGCCGTAATCGAAACTAATGGAACGCCTTCCTCTACCAATACGACTACCCGCCAACATTTGGGTAATGTCGAGTCCGGAAGAATCGCTGCTGCGGCTTCCATTCCTCAAGCATCGGGAAGATTGCTTGCCCATTGTCGCCCGTTGTGCCTCGAAGACCCTGCTGCGATTGCTCAGTTTTTCTGTTCCGCTATCGACGTCATCAACCCGTCGGATCGTGGACTGGAAATTGGAGCTGCTATTGCTGCGACGTCCACGTGCAGATTGGCCACAATAACGGCTGCCGCTATCATCAAATCGTTCTATTTCCGAAGAAAGGGAAGAAGAGAGGGTGTGACCACGATGACGACTGAAGTATGCAGTCGCATAACGGGAATACAAGGTGTAGGGGTCGGGGTCTTGCGACCGGGAGCGATGTGGTTCCTCCGGAGAATGGAAATTGGCCTCTGAAAACTGATCTAATGAAAGGAGCATGTTATCGACGACGGAAGTTCTGGTGCCGTGCTGCGGAGATAACGAAAGGTCATGGGGATCTCTCTCGTCATCTCCTGAGTCTTCGTGTTGGTTCCCGTCGATTGGAGTAATGTCGTCAAGAAAGGTTTCCGGAAAGGAAGATCGCGTGCCTAGGAGTCCATTCTGGCTATCTATGTAATTGACATGGCGGGGAGGGGTGCGTGGAGGGGAAGCATCGTAATAAGGGTCATGTTGCCAAGGGATTTCGGAAGACATTTGGTATGCAGACATGACCAAGGTGCCTATGGCGAAAGAGATCAGAAGATTTTTTGGTCGCCTTCTCCCAGCTAGAGATGTGAAGGGGGGATTCAGGGGACGTCAATGTAACGGAATATGGTTGACAATATTGCCGTTGGCGAAGCCCCATGGGTGTCAGTACATGGCTGGAGGGACTGCCGGGGTAAACGGCTTGTGCAGTGGGCGCTGAACGGGTTTCGAAGCAAGGATGCAGCAGAGAGCAGGCCCGAGGAGTTTCTCTACGAGACGAACTCTGGGATCGGAAAGAGAAAGTGGTGGTGATGAAGGTAACGAACGTATCGACGGTTCAGAATGCCGTCCCTGAAATGAAAAAGAATAGATTAGCCTGGCCTTTGGTAAAAACCAACTAATAACAGCCCGACGCAAGGGACGACCTTGGGGATAATGGATAATTGCAGGGTTTAATTTGAGCGAACACCCTGGACGTACTCCGGGTAGAAGTAAAGATGGCAGAAACCCCGGTAACTCACGGCGGCGAAGATCAGATTAGTCGTTGCCGTCGTGTCCTCGAAAGCTCACTGAAGCCGCATGCGAGACAAGAGAGGTTCACGGAGTCATCTCTCTGGGACGGAAGATGACGAATGGAACAGGAGGGGGAAAAGAAAAAAAAAAAAAAAAAAATCGAGTTTGAAGGAGTGGTTCTTCGCGGACAAATTGATGGGATCCCTGTTGTTAATTGGATGGGCTATTATTGGCGGTTCAAAAGTTGTCTGATCATGACGCTGATGCGGTTCAACAACTTTGGAAAAGCGAGTGTCGTCGTGAACTCCGGTCCAACAAGGCGAAAGGTTCAATCGATTGGGTTTGCGTGAAACAATTCGTGATACCAAGAGGATGTCCGAAGCCCGGGGTCAATGTGCCATTCCGAGTTCGTCGGTGACGGTGGTCGAGTCTCGCATCGTCCTCTCTTGGTGGTCTGAACTCTTTGGTTGGGCAGGTTGCAAGGGGTCACAGGAGTAGTAGAAAGGGGAAGGTTGCAAGTTCGTCTTCGACTGAATCAGGGGTAAATTACATAAGTACTCCGTACAGGTTCCTCTGTAAGGGAGGTTACCGTGTCTCTTAGAAGGCGGCCAGCCAATAGCCAGCCGTACGCCATGCCACTGACGCAGGCCATCGGGACAGCTAGCTTAATTACAGTTTAGCCCGGACCACGTGTCAGATCTCCATCAAGGAAGGTTCTCCGCTTTTGGTCGGGGGGGATTGGGTTGTTTGTATGTATGTATCCAGTACGGAGTACGGAGTAGTCTATGGATTTTTAATCCACCACCCTGGCCTCACTGCACTGTGCAGTTGACAGGCAACAATAGCCATACATGTTTAAACGGCTTTGAGGTTGGCTATGTATCTTGGTTGCAGAAAATTGGCGGGGATGAAGAAACATACGCATCCTTGGCACTGACATCGGAATTCGAGAGAGTAGTTTGCAACTATAGGCATATTATTGTTTTGCACAGACAGCATTTTACTGTGTACAGTGTGCTGCTCCCGGGACGATGCAATCCTAACTGATGAATAGTGTGGAAGTGCATATAACAATATCTCTGATCTTATTCTTAAATTAATATAGGCTGTCTGTGGAAAGCATGGATGTATGTACACGGAGTACTCTGTACTGTACTGTACATATATATACATACATGCAATACATATAGAGTACTCTGTACGGAGTACAAAAGGCACGAAACACTCCAATGTAGCTATGGTTGGACAGAATACTCTGTATCACACCTTAGAATTGGTGTGCTAAGTGAGATTTTCATGACAAGAGAGCAGCCTCATCCACAAAGTGCACGCGAACCTGCATGTACGGAGTAGTGAACAAGCATTTGTGCGTCATATCCTAACAGAGTGTGCTGAGATCAGGTGTGTGTACTCTGTATGCTCTGTATACATAGTGCAGAACATGGAACGTAAACTGTATGAATTACTTGTGCCATGTAATACCATCCTCTTTGAAGCATTCGATGTTGCATTGGGTACTCCGTACGACTGACAGATGTCCCTCTGACGCGCATATCCGGTTTGTCACCAGGTGCCAGCCTTATCTCAAACCTTCCCCAACCTTGCCCAATGGAGTCCGCCCGTGGACCGCATTAAGGTTCTTGCGAAGCCGAATTCACGTGATGGCGACCGCAATATGGGGTGGATGATTGGCTGGATGACCACAGCGTCATCGTGGGCAAAGTCACCAAACAAACCTGCGCTGAGCTCCATCGAAACACGTTGATACTCTCGAGCGCCTTTTCTAGACTCCCTGCACCGAAAGCAACTGAGGGTTAATACTGAGACAGGTTTTGTTTTTCTTTTTTTTTTTTTTTTTTTAAACTCTTGCATGCAATTTCTCGATCTCCATTGAATATACCCACCGGTTGAGGGGCCATGAACCCTCATATTTCAGTCCCCCGTCAGCATGGCGGCCCAGCCAATTTTGGCGGGACATCTCCGCCAAATCGAAACACCTCCATACGGTTACCAAGGTTTTTCCGGGGGTGAGTGTTATTACTTGCCGAATATGCCCGGCTGTGTGCTGCTTGCGGTTGCCATTGCCTTGTGAGACCATCGGACCATGGCTAATGAATTAGATTGTTTAAATTTCCGCAAATGGACTTTGAAATGGCCATCTGGGAGATGACGTCTCTTCTGATTGCACCAAAAAAGGTTTTCAAGTCAATGTATTATCATGTGCGTGTACCTATCTCTATTTCCGCATGTCATTTCTCCAATCTCAACCGTTACTGACTCGTGGCCTCATTGGACGTAGAAACGTTTGTGTTGCCCAATTTCATCTAGGGAAAATTTTCCTTTTGTTCTTAAATGAATCATTAGTCTGACTATGAGCCCCGAAACCAGAAACAAAGAATACGTGGCACCGACCTGACCCGTCCTTCACGTATCTTCTCTCCTTCTTTCTCCTTCTTACCGCTCTCGCCTGGGGCCTCGCATACCGACCGAGCTTTAGTTCCATTATTCGGCTCGCTGCTTCTTTCATATTTATCCACTTTATCGGCTCCTCCCTTCTTATTTCCGCGTTGGCGTACTTTGCTATGGGAAGAATATTTGGACCCAGTGGACCAGCATCCTCCCTCATCGAATGGCGGGGAATGAGGTCCGGTCTAGGCCGAGTACGGCGTCGGGGAGCTGCTCAGGGGCTGTTTGCGCAGCCCGGGGAAAAAGAGCAGGTCGAGTTTGGATATTGTTTTGATGTGAGTGTCCCTTTCTTATTCGAGCCAGGATTGAAGGGTCGAAATTAACACGAAAAAAGGTCTCCAATCGCGCATTTTTCCCTCTATATCTTCACTTATACGTGATCCAATTCCTGCTTCTCCCACTATTGACTCGGAAATCCGATTCCTCTCCAAGTTTCCTTGCTACACTCCTTGGAAACACCCTCTACCTCTCTGCGTTTACGTATTACATTTATATAACATTTCTTGGCTATAACGCTTTACCGTTCCTCCACCACACAGAGCTTCTACTACTGCCAATCCTCATTCTTGCTATACTCTGGTTTGTCAGTTTGATCCTGGGTTGGGGAATCGTGGGCCAGGGGGGTGCAGTAGCAGGATTATTTTGGGGTATTTAGACCGTTCGTGTGTTGAGTGGGACACTACCGACGATTGGACTTTTTGGCAGCATAATTTGGGCCTACAGTTTGTCGCAATGGCTGCCGATTGCTCAAGGCTCATGCGATGCCTGTCTCTTGTATACCCTCCAGAGTGACATTTTTTAGTTGAGAGCGCTGCATCAACCATAGATTTGATTGCTTCTTTTGATTTTATTCTACATTGTTGTTTTAGCGGGATTGGCTTGTATTACAGCTTTCACGTACGGAGAATTCCGTGCGAAATATCAAAATCGTGATTCCTAGATATGCACTGGAAACCATCGTTGCAAGTCCTTTGCATTGTCACAATCCGATCGTTGTTCGTTCCAATCTGGTGCCAACCGACCGATGAGCTCTCTTTGAGATAAGATCTACGGAGAATCTCCATAATGTATCGACCGACGACTACTGACTCTCTATCCTCCGTATACATATGAGAGATATCGAAGGCCCAAAATCTAGTCTTACGGGATCCGCGAGGCCCGGAAGATTTCTCCCAGGGCTTTAAAGAAGCCTTCTCGATCCCCTGGCTAACGCTATTAGTTAGCAGGAAACCTTATGATAACAGGAAAACTTATAGCCCAACGTCGATACGAGGCCTGACACATAAGTTCTCTCGCCAACATATGACTTGGTGGCGGTCACTCCCGTCTGAAAAGAATACGAGTCGGCGAGCTTTTGAGGGCTGAATATGCCGATATGTTTCCGATTTCGACCTTTGAAACTACCAAGTCGACATACTGCCCACTGTTTGCTGAAGCTGGCCTAAGTAAATATGGGGCATCATGTGCTGGCAATGACGAAAGTGAAAAGCATCAGCTCCTGTCGTGTAGTGCGATGATGGAGTTGTGCTCAATGCGTCACTTGATCTCTATTCGGCGGTCCATGAATATAAAAGGGCGCGTGTAAAGGCCGTTTGGAGATAGGCATCAGCGTCGTTTTGTCAAACCACTTCATAAACACCAAATAATGGCATATCCACCTTCGATCCCCGCGCCGTCAACATTCATTTCTTTCCTGAGGTGTCTCCAATACCATTCCAAGCCGATCACCTCATTCCGGTCCACCTTGTCTAGACGGATCATAAATCCGCGGGGCCACCGCATTTCAGAAGATTGCTATACGGTTACATTGCCAAATACCACTGCGATTTTTATTGCTTCTGCAGATTCAGCGGGTCCGCTATCACAAAAAGTTGGAGCAGAATCAAAGCCGATTGCGCAATTTAGTGATGAGGAGCTCCTTGCAAGGTTCACCCGCGGGTTTTTCGGAGGGAATATCTTCGCGCCCGAGAGGTTTATTTTGGGAATCGGTGGTGTGAAGATGTTCCAGGCCCAATTCGATGGTCTGTCTGCATAAACAATGTTCCTGAAACCAATCGCTTGCTCTATATTGTCTAACCGATCCCCAGGATATCAGCAGCGCTTCGAACATGGGCATAGTGTTGGCGGGATAGACGTACTAAAACCTTCCGACATTCCAAAAGACAAGTTGTTACCAATCAACTCAAAGATCTACGGAGGATTTCTCGTTATTGACTCCCACATACTTCCGACTTCCTCGACACCTTCCCAAGGCTCAACCAATGAGTTGGAGACACTTTATTCATATATCGATATTGGCTTTGGCCTCGGTGACTTTGGGGGCGCGCATCGCTTCTCGATACATCGACAATGCCCGCACGAGCCCCAAAAACAAGCCAACTGGTTATCTAGTGAAAAGGATCGGGAAGTGATAACCTTCAGTTTGTCCCATTTCACTTGCAACCCGAATCGGGCAGAAGACACCCTTGCCACGGTACGGTATTTGAATTGGTTCCATCAGTGGTACGCGAGGGTACTATTCGCAGATGCATTGAAAGGTGTCATGGGCTACTATTGAGCTCCCCGGGCACCTGTGTTAGTTCAGAGTATTGTGTACGATATGATGACAACGGTTGGGATGTACGGCGAAAGGGACTAAAAAGGGCGAAAAAATTAAATACTCCGTAGACTGTCTGGTCTGGGGTAGTTATCTATATAATTTACGCAGAGATGTGGCCAAAGACCGGCACTCTCTGATTTATTCCAGGTCTGGCGCGAGTTGGAGTAGAATTAAAATGGCAAAGGAGGCTGTTTTCATGCATATATATATTTGGCATTGCAACATCATATCATCGTTATTTGAATGAGTTGTCAACATGACCTGGACACAGCACCTCAATTCTAGATCCAATGCGACTCCTTCCAGCCAGTGCAGGAAAAGCCAAAGACCAGCGTCGCCCAATCGCAGCCAGTGAGATCCATGCAATATCATCATTGTCGTTACAGCATAAACGCAACGAGGAACCAAGATTGAACGGACTGGCATTGCTCATTTGCTCCTTCCAGCAGTCTTCTTACCTCCTCTACCTCTGGCACCAGAGCCCATGGCTGCTTCACGCAGCTTGGCCTCTCTGGCCTTTTGCTCTGCCTTCTCACGCTCGCGTTCTTCACGCTCATCCTTTTCTGCCTGCTTTCGTGCTTTTTCTGCCTCACGGCGCTCTTTAACAAGAGCTAGCCGCGCTAGGTCAGCACGAGCCTGCTCTGTCTTCCCTTCTGCGTGCAACTTCATATATCGCTCCCGAGCTTGTTGAGCCTCGATAGCTTCGCGCTCGCGGCGAGACAGCTCTCCAGGAGCCCTCGGAGTAGGTATTCCATTTGCAGCATTCGCTGCCTGCGAGCGCGATTTCGCAGTATGATTAGGATTTGCCGGCATGTCATCGTCGGATTCCTCCTCGCTCTCGGATGGTGGGAGATCTCCTGGAGCTGCCGCTACTTGGTTCTTCCTGGCTATGGCAGCTTCTTTTCGAGCTTTTGCGGCCGCTTTACGCTGCTCACGAGTCATTTCTTCAGGAATAGACCGAGATGGACCGGCCTCATCCTCAGATTCCTCTTCTGACTCAGACTCTTCTTCCTCTTCGGAGGAGAGAGGGTCGTCATCGGGATCCTAGGATAGATGAAAATTAGGATGAGCATTTAAATCAAGGATAGAGAGAAAACGCACCCTCCACATGCCAATAGGATTTCCGTCTTTGTCTAAAGGCTGAACATCACGGCTGAAATGCTTTCCGCCTACACGAACAGAAGGGAGGAGCTTGTCAGACTCGGGCTCACGGGGGGAGGAGCAACGATCTTAAAAGCTTAATCATACCTCCACGAGTAGGTTTACTGAATTTTCCTCCACGGCCACGGGGAGCCATTTTGCACACGATGGAAAGCCGTCTAGTTTTCCAAATACCTGCTGGTGGTGATCAGGTTCAGTCGCGAACAAAGCTGCAAGTTGGCGAGAGGCAGAGTCCAAACGCGGGGCACGTGCAGGATATGAAGCTCAAGACGAGATTTGAATAACAGTATTTTGAAGAAACAGTCACTCAGAAATAGAGGCACCGAACCGGGCTACCACTCAAGACTTTGACCGGAACAGAAGAAGCTGATGGCGGGGAGGGAGAAAGAGGGGAACGAGGCGACGGGCTATGTGACTGTTCTTGAGCTGCATCCTGAATATCACTTGGCACCAATAGGTTGCAGATCCATCCAACTGTTTGCATTGTTTGCCCATCTGCCCCTTTTTGGTCTCGCCGACGACACATCAAAAATCGTCCGCATCCGCTCTCTCGCCATGAGGAATGCCATAGGCACCATGGCCTGCCTCACACCAGAATTACATCCAATATGGGCCCATCGGATACGCATGCTAGTGCGTATTTTGGAAGACTTTCCCCTTCTATTTAGTCCATTTCCCCATAATTGGGCGCTGCATCTGTTCATAGTACCCAGCCCATAGCTAGGAAATGAACTAGAGGATTCACCGTCCTCTAGCCAAGCAAGTTTTCCATTTCTCATAGAACGTTTAGCTCTTATGCTTCGGTTACTATTTTTATGATATCCAAGCTTCTCGGAAAAAAAAAAAAAAAATGGATGGATTTTTGGCGCGAAGCGCAAATGTCCTTCCAAGCGGTAGTGAGGCAATTGCCATTTCCACGCAGGGAGAGCACCTAATTCTATACTACCCCCAGATGGTTCTCTCGGCGCACTGTGATGTGTTCCTCAGTGAAAGAAATTTTCTTTCCTAATGTTTATCTTCTCAGCTCCTGTCACACGAGGTTACGGAGCTAGTGGAGGAGGAACACATCCACAACTGATAAATATTTCTCCAAAGCTCTCAGAGTCTCTCTCCTTTTTTCGTCTCTTTTCCTTCTCACATCCAAGAACTTTTCTTAAGCTTCATTTGCTTTATGCTTATATTGCTTAAGCTTCCTCACGTGTTTTCTTTCCGTCTCAACCCTCCTTCTACTATCAAGAACAAGGCCGGCCTTGCCTTCAATGTTAGCTTGAATTCATTGAAATTCACCTGAGCTAGAGAGACTACTTTGTTGAACTTACTCTTTCAGACTCCATAGTTCATACAACCAGCTCTCTGCTCCATATCAAGAACCTGAGAAAGTGATAATTGTTAATTGAAAAATGTGAGATTTCCTTCAGTTAACACTTGTTGGAGCAATAAAGGTTTACCCTTATTATATCACTGCTCAAGCTAACAAAGTCTCACTCTGGCTTGCCTTTGCAGTATCCTACATTGTAACAAGGAAGGGTCCTTTCGATCGAAATGGCAACGGCTTCTGAGTTCACTTCTCCTCGAGAACTAGAGCTTCCAAATTTCTCCACCCTCGCCAGTTCGGTGTCCCGCATGGAGCATCGTGTCCTCACTTGCAACCCCGGCATGCCTGGAGGCTTGTTTCCTTCGAGGGATTCAAAGGTGGGGAAATTTGATGTGTTTCCTGTCGAACTCATCTTCAAGATTTTCGCAAATCTCGACTTTGCTTCCCTAATCAAGTTTAAAAAGGCCAACTACGCAGCGTTTGCATTAGTTTCAGCCTATCTACCGTTCGAGGTCGCAATGAAACATAGCTCTGAAACCCTTAGAGCCATCCAATCTGTTGGAACCTTGAAATTTGTGAATGCTTCAGAGCTTTTCGAAGTCATGCGGTCGACTAAATGCTCTCAATGTGGGAACACTGGCCCGTTTTTATTTATTCCTCTTCTAAAACGGACCTGTTGGAAATGCATTCCTACATTCCGAATCTACAAAGTTAGCAGCGTTAAAAGATGTTTTGGCCTTGATGATTCACACTTTCGCAACGTTGCAACATTCCGAACCATCCCAGGGACCTACGGGGTGCCACTTAGACAATACGATGTGATCCAGCACTTGATCTCAGAGCCCGGTGCCCAGCAAGCTCGGTTGGAAGCTGGTCATTTTGATCAGATGCAGAGTGACCGCCGAACGTCTCTGACTCTTGCTTTGTCTCAATATCAGGGATACCTTCGCAGTGCACGAGCCAATCTGTACGATCTGTCTGCTCTTCCACAGGGACGTACCCCTACTCGCGGACCTAGAACCTGGGAAGCAAGTATTAACGAGGATACTCATCAGTATACTTACCTCCTAACCACCATTCTGCCCTTTGCAAACCTTGCCGAGAGGACCATACAGCACCCTAGATACTGTGCCGGATGTCTCTATGAAAGGCATATCTTTAAGACCCAGGTCAAGCGAACAATGTCAAACGAAGTTGAGGCAGAAAGGATGGAGATTGATACATTGTTCAAGGCCAGTAGAGCTTGCTATCTAAGGACCTTGTGGACCATCTTGCGGTCTGCGAATCGGTCCCTATACTCCTTGCAAAATCGCCAGTCAACTACACTCTTCGTTAGGCTTACAAACTGGTGGCATCCTTCGGTCTCGTGCTTCCCTAGCAGTCCTTAGTGGTGGTTCACTCTTCTCTTACCATTTTTGTGCTTTTTCCATGCCCTGCCTTTACGCGGCCCCTTTGTCCTTAATTTTTTTACCTTTTTTCTTTTTTCTCCCCAAATTGACAACTTTCAATTGTCCCTATTCCATTTTAAAAAAGCAATTACATGAATCCCTTTGTTATACCCCCCCATCCCAATCCTAATGCGACATTAAATGCCCCTTTTCACGTTTAGCCCTTGTGCCTCGCAATAATACCCGATTCCCCCACCAACATGCCCTCTCAGTTTGTAATTTCCTTCTCAAGCTTTCTGCGATTTTCCCACTTCGGCTAATCTGAGATTCTGTTCTTTTTTACCAAGGGCCTTAGGAAATAGCTTATGGAATAAAAATTGAACTTTGCCCCTCTTAAATTTCCTTCATACTAACTGCTATATTCTGGCCTAGCCAACGTCTATCACTAACTTTCAAGCAGGCACAACGTCTAACACCCGAACTCGCTTCGCCATGCATGCATGTAAAAGGAAAGAAGAGATAAACCGAACTTTTGAAGGCAGCTCAACAGACAAGGCATATGTCTTGCCCTCCGGCTACCTTGAGTAAAAAGAAGGCCGTTTCTATCCACGGAACTCCTTACACTTTGGCCTTGATCTTCGCACCAGTTAATGCGTAGCGGGACATAACCAGCACACTCGTTCCCACGAGCATCGATAGTGCAGCAAATATCTGTGCATACAAGTAATCACCGTTGCCCTTTTGAATGAGTGCGCCGGCAATTGGCGGGCCCGTTAGTGATGCGACACTGACTATGCTCAGAATCATACCGAATCGAATTCCTGTTTTCTTCAAGTCGGTTGAAAGACTGGTTACTACGGCGGGGAACAGGGCCTGGAGACCGGCACCGAAGAATCCGTAAAGAATGGAAAAAGCGTATAGACCGGGAGAGTCCTTCACGCCTATCCACGCAAAAAGCATCATCGAAGTGATGAAAGTGAATGGAATGATCGTGTTTAGTGGTCCAATGAAGTAATCTGCGAGGTAGCTGGGTACCATTCTGCCGATGGTCCCCAGGGCATTCATGATCATGAGAAGAGTGATGCTTTCGGTTTGGGAGACACCGAGTTTTGCTCTCGCGAAGCTGCTGACGTAAAAAAAGCCGATGTAGAGGGCCCAGAAGTTGAGGTACATTCCTACGGCGTAAAGGGAATACGGGCCCTCTTTGAAAGCTGGCCACTCGAAAAAGGGCCCACTGCGCCGGGGCGGAATACGTTGGCGGAAGAATATGAATCCTGGAGCCAGAGTCACCACGGTGATTAGGCCCAATACTCGCATGGTCCACGGGAATCCGACACGGGGCAGTAATTGCTGAACGATTACAGGGTATATAATCCCACCAGTTGCAGATCCACACGCACCGATTGCAAGGGCTATTGAACGCCGCGAGGAGAAGTATGTTGACAGGAGTGTCATGGTTGGACAGAAGATCAACCCGCTTCCGATACCTAGACAGAGCCCCTGGGCCAAGAACAACTGCACATATGTTTTACAGAGGGACGTCATGAAGATGGCAAACATAATGGTAACAGCTCCCAAACCCCAGACGGGCTTGAAGAATCCAGCATCCGTTGCCCGGCCGGAAAATGTCCCTATGGCGAAGAGGAGAAAGGTTTGAATGCTTCCAACCCAGGAGATATCGGATGGTTGCCGCTGAAGTGTTTGAGTGTAGTATTCCTGGAACATTCCAAAGCTATTGATAAAGCCCCAGGTGTTGAAAATGACCAAGTGGGCAAGGCCCGCTTGTAGCCATGCCTCAAATCCACCATCAGGAGGGGGGCCAGGGTCCCGTCCAGAGTCCTTTGTCCGTACAATGGAGAGAGTTTTGGTTATAATGCTCTCTTTCCCAACTGTCTTGGTCGGCTCGCGGCTAAGCGAGTATCGACGATCTTCCTCGATTTCATCGCCAGCGTGGAACGATCCTTGTTCCACATCGCTAGAGAGCGAAGTCGATCCATTGTTTGGCAGGAGATCGTGATCAGAGGGTGGCTTTTCGAGATCCAAGGAAGAGCCTTTCTCCCCGGAGAGTGCGAGGCCTCTCTTCTCCATATTGCTGGCGGCAGTTTATGTTGTGGATCCTGCGCGCGGCTCCCAATTGAGGGATTTACTTCTGTTTTTACACCTGAACAGAGTGACGCGGTGGGGACCAAGCGAACCGAGCAATCGGTGTTCCCGCTGTCACTTGCTGCGACGTAATCGTTGCCGACTGGTGAACTGTCAGCTCATGGGAGAGTCATCCGGGGAAAGGGTCCATGACTACTTACCTCAGTACCACGGTATTCGCAGTCCAATACTGTGGAGGAGCGATGATTTTCAAAGCATGGGGACTTCAGAAACACAAGCATATATGTATATCGATTGACTATGCAAAAGATACCTTACTAACAGATGGTATATACCCGCCTCTCCCCGTGGGTATCTCTGAAAAAGTCCAACAGAAGGAAAAAGGGATTACAAATCGGGGGCAATGTGGAGAAGGGTTCCTTTACACACATAAGGCAGCCATAGCCTTTAATTTTCAAAAGGAAAGGAACAAATACGAAATATTGTCAAGAGAATTTCAGTGAGAAAAATGAATCATTTCCTTTAGCTAAAATTGTCCGCCATGCAGCGGTCAATCTGGATTCGCCTGGTGTCTCGACCCTCAAACCATCTTCCGAGAAGCGGGCTTCAATTTTTAGCGCCGGGATTTGAGGTTCAAAGTGGAGTGCGACCTTTTGAGACAATCTTCAACTTTGGTTATCTTTCCAGAGATATGGAGGCATCATCAATTGGATTGCGGCAAGATGCTTCGGGGCCTTTTGGATCTCCAGGATCATTGCTCCTGCGATTGGTTCGCCAAACTATCTGACTTCCATTATCCATGCCCTGCTGCAGGCCACGGGCCCCGTGAGCAACGGCGGGAGGACGCCAGGGTTGGCGGTCCGGGTGAATCGGCACGCACGTTTTAACTGCCGGCCCGAGATCGTCGTGCGAAGGGCGTGGGGGGTCACGTGGGATGCAAAGAGGACAAACAGTGCAAACAGAGCAAATATCGCATACAGAGCAAACTAGTACGGGAATATAATATTCCGCCCCGACCCCGGAAAATTGAATTTGCCAGCGCGAGTTTTTGGGGAGAGGCGGAAGGGAAAGCAGCTGTCGGGATGATTTAACCAGTTCATTTCTTTCTCTCTTTTCCTTCTCTCTTCCTTCGTTTTTCTTTTCTTTTTTTCTTTTTTGGGACGCGGATACTCGTTCATTCAGAGAGAGTGTTGCGTCGCCTGTGGTACTCTTTGTTCGCTTGTTCTACCAAGGAAAGCTTACATCTTACCTCTTCCTATGCGATGATCTCTCAACGCTCAGCTCGCAGCGGCTTTGCTGCTGCCTCCACCTGCCGGACGAATGTCACGATGCTTATATTTCCCATACCGCTCCGTCAGAGAGCCATTTGTCATGGGGTCGCTCATTTTTCGTCTTCCTCCGCGGCCAGAAAACCAGCCTCACCTTCCGACAAATCATCACAAGTTCAGCCTGTCTCCCACTCCGCCTCGTCCTCAACGTCTACCTCCGTACACCCCCACCTATCGTCCGCCTTAAACCCACCGCAAAGCACACGGCCTGCACAGCTTGAACTTCCCGAAAAATCAGCGAATTCCAGTGGAATGTTCAAGTATTATATATCTTTGGGAAAGGCATACTACGCGTTTTACAAGACTGGTTTGAAGAACGTATATCACAACTATCGCGCCGCCGCGCCGATTCGCAAGAGGCTGGGGTTTTCAGGGTACTTACCTACTTCTCTGCCTCCGCGCTCTCTATCCGGAACCGCGGCCTTTGAGCAGCTTGTCAGGAAAGAGGGTGTAACGCGAGCAGAGTTTCAGCTACTAAGAAGAAGCGCCTATGACATTAGGAGGATGATACCTTTTGTTTTAATTTTGATAGTCTGCGGAGAATTCACGCCGTTGATCGTGCTGGCGTTGGGATCACGGGTCACACCCCTGACTTGCAGGATTCCCAAACAGCTTGAGAAAGAAAGGCGGCTAAAATTGGATCGGAAGAGCGCTGCGCTTCATGCGGCTGTTACTTCGTTCGAAAAGGAATGGCTTAACGCAACTACATTGCCGAAATCCATAGCTTCGGCCGTCCGGCATGCGTCCGCGAACGACATCCTGAGCTCTTGTGCCGTGCTCGGCTTGTCCAAGTCGCACCGTCTGCCAGCTTATATACCAGGGTTTATGCAGGCTACATTTGTGAATTTGGTGTATCGGCCGAAGTTGAGGAGATGGTTAGAGTACTTATCCGTCGATGATTCGTTGATGAGGGAAGCTGGAGGTGCGGCAGGTTTAACTGCAGATGAAGTGAGAATTGCAGTGGAGGAGAGAGGCGGAGTGGATGTTGGAGCCGATCGGATTAGGGATGAGGAGAAAGTAAAGATAATGCGCAGATGGCTGGAGCGATGGATAGAAGAGGGTGGGAAGGCCTAAGGTTGGGATTAAATAATTCGAGACAACCCATTTCGCTTCTCTTGGGACCTGCGTGTTTCTCGACCGCTTAAAGAGGACCTTGGGACATTTCCCGGATGCACCTTTTTATTTCATAGAATCTGTATTAGTATCATGGCTGTTGGATCTACCGGGAGCTTGCACGACTCATGAGGTACTATTTGGGAGAAGAGAATACTCTGGATACCCATTTAAATCATAGAATGCTCTGATATTTTTAATTTGACAGCTTAGGGGAGCGAAGAAGTTCCGAGAAACCATGACGCCATCGCGGCATAAGATATCCGTGCCTTTCCCATCAACTCCCGGCTCCAAGGATGACTTTATCCCTTATCCTCTCAAGCCGCTCGTAATCTCCTCCCAAGGCAAACTGCAACATGCTCACAGCTTTCTTATCGTCACTATCCCTTATTGCTTTGGCAGTTATCAACTCCACGCTTGGCTCCCTATTTACCTTCTCGCTAGCTATTTCATCAAGACTGTCGTTCCACTCGCGATCCCACGCTTTCACAGCTGCCCGCAAGTCAGCATAGACGTCCCCAAAAACCTCCTGAATTTCGAACGTCCGAAAAGCCTCCATCCCAAGATCATTCATATAGTTTGCCGGATCCTGCAGACACAGTATATGGTACGCCAGCTTGGCCGATCTTTTCCCGATGCTTATCTGTCCACGGATGTACGGGGCTTCCGATTCAACCAGTTTAGAGGATTCACGAAGATGCCTGCATTTGCGGAATATAGATGGCGGATCTACGGATATTCCATACCGGTGGAAGTCAAC